GATTTCCTACCTGAGTTGAATGTGTGAAGCTGGAATAATTCCAAAAAAGGATGTAAACCCAACTCACTCACTCACTCACTTTATCGCGGCGTTAAACAAGTTCACCCACAACAGTTTCAACTGACATACTCAAATACCTCACATCCAAACCTTCATGGCCAATATTATGTACATCCCTGATTCACATATATGCACTGAGTGATCTATTAGCTTTAGTGTCGACAACCCCCTCTTTACAACGAGTCTGATCAACGAGACATCTGACGGTCGTAAAGACCCGCTATACAGCACATCAGTCATCCGTTGTTTCATGAATAAATTGAAGAGGATCCATGCATATATGTGTACTGACTGTCAACCTGCGGAAAATGGATCTATGTCGATCTTCGGACTCTAAATCAATCGCGTTACGACATCGCACACGGTGATTAATGACGTATCTGTGCGAGTACCGTGTCTGGCATTGATCGGGGTCTGTCTGTACAGCACGAGACGCCCGTTTCCGACAGTAAAGGTTGGGAACCACATTTAACACATATACCGGAGTGGGTGAAGCAATAACCCCCCAACACCTCCAGACACTCTAGTTGGAGGTGTATATTCATTGCACTTGCAACACTTCACACCAGTATCAGATACTAGACTCATATCATCTTCTCCATGATGACGAAACGATGTCGGAACGGCGACTTCCTTCACGAAATCATTACTGCTTTATCTTGGTACTGGGTGATGTTAATTCTAAGTCTCATGTTAATTTCGGTTGCTTTTATTCATTACCATTCCAAGGAAGCGTCATGCTATGGATCTAGCATGCAGTTGATTCTGATGCAGGATTTCACCAGTTCATGGTGACCTATACATGATCAAGTCGGACCAAATGATCCAGAGATCCATATTTTCGGGGTAAAATGACACACAAGCAATTGCAGGTCACCGAGCCTGACCACAACCAAATATGAGGTTCGTATCAGCTTTCTAACCGGTGCTCCTTTTTAATTTAGATGAACTTTTTTCTAGTATCTAAATTGCATGTCTTTATAGGAGCTGTTTGTAAGGTGACAAGCAGTTTTAAAATCCGAATTCCAGCGGGAAGGTTACAGTGGCTGCTTCGTATAAAAATGATTAGAATAGGCCGAGGTAGTCGTATAAATATAGCAGCTAACGTCGCCTGGTCCTCTCGTCGTTTATTATCAGTTTTTCAACACATATCTACTGGGGCATACGGATTGACCCGTTAAACATGTGCGCCAATGGTCTCTTCTTCGACTGACTGACAGTGTGTAACGCAACGGTTTCATTTCTGAACGTGAAGGAAGGGAGCTAACTCTTGTCAGCATGACCAACCCGAAACGCCCTGTTGCAATTTGATACGATCTAAAATGTTTTTCATTGCCAGGTACATTTAGATATCAACTCAAAGCAGTATTTCACGTTGTATTATATTTGATGAGTGACGGCGATGTGGGTTACATACGAATGTTCCTGAAAAGGTGATAAACTTGAGGCACAAAAATTGCGGGTAAATGGAAGTGTCAGTAAAATCTGATATTTTGCGAGGGGCGTGCAAACACAACCGACCGCATATGTGTTGCAACGAAAGACGATATTGCACGGGCACTCCGTGATGGTGGGTGTGCAAAATGTTCGAATCACTCTGAAATTGAACGGCTCTCCTTGATATGGAGTTTCAGATATTTGGCAGTAATGTCAAGCAAGCTAACAAGTATGGTGGGATCATGAGATCTCACACCACATTCTAACACTTACCTCTGTAGCGATGACCTTCACCTTTGGTTCAACGACAAGTCGTAATCGCTGTGCATGTTTGAAGGTTGTGGTTTCGATATGTTAGCTCGTCTTCAGTTTAAATTTGTGCACAAATCTTGGATATAACGTTTCAGCATATACATGCTTCGAGACAGGTTCGCAAGCAACGTGTGATAACTCAAGCAGCGCGCGATAACCGTGCGAGAACACATTTGTGCTGGCTGCGCATGCCCAAAGTATGCTTGCGTTCGATTCCGAACCCTGCACGATCTCGGCGGACCTGCGACATGGCCCAAGCGAAAATGACCATTGGAACTCTCGTGAAATTGAAGTGTGTGCACAATCAGTCCCTGGATTCGGTTCACTATGTTAGTACATGTTAACTCACTAATGTCATTCTTTGGATGACATTACTTGACACCCACAGCTACTTTGTTGTATGTTAGTAACTGTTGCACTCAGCAATATTCCAGTGACGGTGGTTTGTAAATAATCGAGTCTGGACCAGACAATCCAGTGACTGAGCATCGATCCACGTAAGTGGGATATGATGACATGTGTCAACCAAGTTAGCGAGCTTGACCACTCGGTCCCGTAGTCGCCTCAAGCATGGGTTGCTGAAGACAGGATCTAACCCGGATCTGGGGCGGTGGGGTAGCCTAATGGTTAATTTAAAGCGTTCGCTCGTCACGCCGAAGGCCCGGGTTCGATTTTCCACATGAGTACTATGTGTGCAGCCCATTTTTGGTGTTCCCCGCCGTGATATTGCTGGAACAATGCTAAACTCACTCGCTAACCCGGATCTACATCGGTACTAAACGTAAAGAAACTCCGTCGAGCTGTGCATGTTGGTCGCAAGAAGAGACCAGATAGTAGTGCTGAGTCTCTCTCGCCGTTACTCCAATTATATCTAAACAAGTTAAGCTTGCAATTGACGTCTAACTTGCAACTTCCATTCATATAAGGGGCGGTGGGGTAGCCCAGTGGTTAAAACTTTAGCTCGTCACGCCGAGGACCCGGGTTCGAATCCCCACATGGGTACAATGTGTGAAGCCCATTTCTGGTGTTCCACGCCGTGATGTTGCTGGAATATTGCTAAAAGCGGCATAGAACAAAAACTCAGTCAGTCAGTCAGCCCATTCATATATCTAACTTACAACTTCCATTATGACAAGGTCGGGTTGCTGAAGACCCATTCTAACCTGGCTCTCACTGGGTCCACAGTGCCACTAACTCATATTGGCAGCTTCCAAAGCATTTAATTCAATATACATCATGTATGAATTATTATATGTATCAATAAACTATAACACGTGTTTTAGGAATGATAATGCATGTCAGAGAATGATGTTGCATCTATTTGTTGCTCTGTGTGTTAATGACTATTTTCAAAGTATTTAATATATACATCATGTATGAATTATTATATGCATTAATAAACTATAACACGTGTTTAAGAAATGATAATGCATGTCAGAGAACGATGTTGCATCTATTTGTTGCTCTATGTGTTAATCATTTTCAACTTAAATGTGTTGTTTTATGTATTTAATAGGTACAATGGCAGCTGGAACAAAACATTTGTTAATCTACCAAAGTTTTGCTATAGCACTGCTCATGACTGTGGTGGTTTTCTGACAGCAAAGTTATATCACATGTAACGTTGCATATTCGATCATGAATTTAATGCATGTGTGAATGGGAATTTAATACATGTGTGAACAAAAAAGTGTGACTCCCTGTTCGTAGTTAATGATCCAGCCTACCCGGATCATACACCCGTATACAGGAGCATATCGGGTATCAGTTCCACCCACATACATACACTGGGAGGATACATGTGACAAAGAGTGCCATCACACTTGTATTTATTGTATTCTCCAACAATGGAGTGCGATTTCGCCACAAAGCAGTATTCTGTTTCATTGCTGAATATCATTGTTGAAACTACAATGGATGTTTGTTGACATGTGTAGATTAACCCACTAACCGTCGTTGAGTTAGGTGTTGTAGTTTTATAGATGAGTCACAATTGTCATCAGATATCGATCCTGTCTATCAATTTGAACTTAAAAGATTTTTTTAAGTTTTAAATGTATGATATATTCAGATGTGAGTGATACTGTTTTAACGCTCATTTGAACAGTCGTCAAGCTGTATCACGTATTGTCGGCTTTGCGTGGGAGGAAAACCCGAAGTAAGGTAGGTCTCGGACGTTTACACTTTGGTGAAACCCATGTGCACGGGTGTGAAGCAGACACAGAAAAACATAAACCGGGATTCGAACTCACAATAATAGGTTTCTGGCGTACCCAAGGGACGCAACTCTGCACAGCGAATCGCGTCGTCTCGGGTAACTGACCTACTCGTTGCCTAAATCATATCAGAACATTAATCAACCTTTAAATAATACGTTTGTAGTAGTATGTATTTAAATGAAGTAAGAGAATCACATAATCTCAAATTAAATCCACATATGCATGTTGTTAACTCCGTTAAAATTAACTTACTACAGCACTGAAGATGCTGACACTAGAAAAGTCCAAAATGTTATACAAGTGGAACCAACTTCTAGAATGTAAGCATTGTTTCCCACAGACTTGAATTCTTGCAGGCGTTAACACTTTTAGACCATAATATCAGTCACCTTGGATAACCTCACCTGCCAGTTGATAAACCAAATATGATCACAAATGTAGAGTTAGCATCATCGGGTGGTACACATTGGTCAACTTTATTGATACATATCAATGTGCTCATGATGTCAATCACTCGTTTGCCTGGTCCAGACTCGAGTATGTACAGACCGCTGTCATATAGCTGGAATAATGCCTAGTGCAGCGTTAAACAACAAAACAACAAGACCGAAACACCTATTCTGTGAGATTATATATGACTCCACAATAACAGCCTGAAAAAACAACGTTTGGGAAGATTAGATCTGTCGTATTTATGTGGTTAATGTCATAAATGTCTTCTCAAAACCAACAAAAGCGATCAACCTGTTCTGGGTCATTTCCCACAAAACTGCAAGGCTTAGCGAGCAAACACAAAACCTAACACTCACTTAAAATACAAAAGCAGGTATGTCGACATATCGACGTAGCACTACCTGTTTAGAACAAGTTCAGTGTAAAAATCAATTAATTATGCTTAATTTCTGTTGTTATCGCTGTTAACTGTGAAGCGTAATTCATCACGCCTTATCAATATAAACTATTACAGGCAAATGTTGATTTCTCTATCGCGTCGTTGCAGTGTTGTGGGGCGGCGATAAAGCTGTCACCAACGGCGACGCTGATGAATTGACTCCACTAGAGCCATGAAGTTGGGTTGTTCAGAGCAGCGGAGAAAATATTATCACTGGTAGAGTTGTAAGTATTATTCTCATAAATTTGTTTAAAAATGTGATTGGGATTGGATACCCTGGGTTTGCCACCCGCGTTGGTTCCATTTTGAAATGATTCAAGTTTAATCCTGAAAGTAGATTATATGTGCTGTGCGTGTTGTTGTAGTTTGTAGTGTTCTAACGGGGATATTAACGGCTAAACAGTGACTAAACTCTTGTCAAAGGCACTGTAAATGTGTTCGTGCTTACTATATGAACGAGACCCGTGAAGACCCGAGTTAGATATGGTCTTCAGTAACCCATGCTTGTCGTAAGAGGCGACTAACGGGATCGGGTAGTCAGGCTCGCTGACTTGGTTGACACATGTTATCGTATCCCGATTGAGTAGATCGATGCTCATTGCTGTTGATCACTGGATTGACTGGTCCAGACTCAATTATTTACTTGCCGCCGCCATATAGCTGGCATATTGCTGAGTGCGACGTAAAAGTAAACTCACTCACTATATGAACGCTATATATTGCTCATGATACTAATCACTTGATTGTATGGTTTTGTCGCCTAACGGGAGAATTTCTTGATGCGGCGTCAGGCAACAAACCAACATTTACTTTTTACAAAACCAGTGTCGGCAAAGGGTTCTTCCGGTGGAACAGGACGCGCGTTCCACACGATATTATCGGCGAGAAAAGGCATTAGGACAATTTCATGATTTTAGGACATTGTTCTTTATCCTTAAATGAATCTAATAATGAATTCCTACACAATCTGGGTGACGATAAGTGTATATGTTAGTAATGGGATAGAACTGATCGAAAGAATAGACTAACGTTTCGCCTCTGAAAAATATATATCTCTGAGAGAAACAAATATGATTTTGTAATGTTGTTTAACGCCGCACTCAAGCAATATCCCCGCTGTATGGCGGCATCCTGTAAATAATCGAGTCTGAACCAGAAAATCCTGGAGAAACAAATATATAGCTCCACTTATATTGAAAAGGCGTCCCGTGAGATGAGATGAGAATCTAAGGAATTCTAGACTATTTATTTAGAGCGTTTGCATTATGGGCAGTGCTCGGCCAAAGGGACAATAATGTGGTTAGGGACTGTGAGACAGACTGATCTGAAACCCTGCGATTTCATTCAGAAAATCACTGCCCGAGTCACTAGTGATAGGGTCTACAAGAAATACACGCTATCCCTTCTTGTAAATTGTGTCTCTTGCAGCTAAACAAGAAAACCCAGGACTTTGACAGAACAAACATGGCGGACGATCAAGGACAGCAAAAGAGAGGGAAGAGTGGGTTACACCGCCAAACCTCGAGTATGTCAAGGACGTCTTGCCACTCACGTTCTAGTTCTTGTGTGTCCAGCAGTTCGAAAGAAGGCTCCGCTAAAAAGACAAATGGCAACATCTCGCGTGAATTGACGAGAACTGACACACAAATTAATATCAAGGGTAAGGGCACCAAAACGGCTACCCTGTATCTGAGTCAGAGCCATTCTAAAGTCAAGCTTCCAAACTCCGCGGAGAGGCCTCGCGGCATCATCCGGCAGAAGACATCATCTGACACGTCACAGCAGACGACAGGCACCAGGTCGAGACAGACGACATTCGTGTCCCAAGACAATGGATTTTCAGAACCACCAAAAATCAAGAAAGACCTAAAACGTGAATTTACTTTCACCGGATATGACATCATGGAGGATTGTGGTAAGTTTGTTAATGAAAGTGGTGACATGTTAGGTCAAAACTGCACTCCTAGTGAGGTTGTTTTCCGAGCGCCGCGTTTGGCTTTGGGGAAGCGATTTTCGTAGCAAAACAAACCCCAAACAAAGACATGAAACCAAATAAAATACCTTAGTTTTATTCACACATGTGTTCACTGCTTAGTTTTATTCACATTATTGATACATGTGTTCACTGTATTATTGATAACGTTCTCTGTATTATTGATACATGGTGTTCACTGCATTATTGGCATGTGTTCACTGCCTTATTGATACATGTGTTCACTATATCATTGATATACGTGTTCACTGTATTATTGATACATGTTCACTGTTCACTGCATTATTGATACACGTGTTCTCTGCATTATTGATTCACGTGTTCACTGCATTATTGATACATGTTTTCACTGCATTATTGATACACGTGTTCACTCACTATTGATACGTTTATTGATACATGTTTTCACTGCATTATTGATACATGTTTTCACTGCATTATTGATACACGTGTTCACTACATTATTGATACACGTGTTCACTACATTATTGATACACGTGTTCACTGCATTATTGATACATGTTTTCACTGCATTATTGATACAACTATTGATACATGTTTTCACTGCATTATTGATACATTGCATCATTGATATACGTGTTCACTACATTATTGATACACGTGTTCACTACATTATTGATACATGTTGTCACTGCATTATTGATACACGTGCTCACTGTATTATTGATCCATGTTTTCACTGCATTATTGATACATGTATTCACTGTATTATTGATACGTGTTCACTGCATTATTGACACACGTGTACACTGCATTATTGGCATATGTGTTCACTACATTATTGACACACGTGTTCACTGCATTATTGATACATGCAAGACAACCAGACTGTTCGGAGGCTCAACGTATCAGGTACAGAGCCAACACCTCTCTATTTAATGGGTTTAATGGGTACGAGGTCAGTTGTTGGACTTGAGAATGTTATCTTCATATATGCTGAAGGGAGTGGGGAACAGGTAACAACAAGTACCCCAAACTTGCTCTAAGGACTGACTCATCGGGATTGGTGGTTAGCTGCAACTGACTTGACGTAAATATATACTATCCCAAAAAAGAAACGCATAGGCGTTTTGCATGTTTTTAAATCTATTAATTACCAATTGTGTTCAAACAATCGTTTGTGCACAAGTAAAAGATCGACATTACCTGAGAATGTTGATTTTGATGAGATTTCTTACAAGAATTAAAAAGGCATCGCCACAAGGCAACAGAAATCATCTTCCAGTTGAAATTGTGCAGCAAAGAGCATGCACTGCAAGCTATAAATATCCATATTACTTTCGAAAATCTGCATTCGTCTTGAAGGAGTTTCAAGGTCAAATCACTACACCACGTCTTGACGCTGCGACACGGAACATCGCCATTGAAAGAATGCACGCTGGAGATTACCAATTTTCTGTTGCCAGGCGTCTGAATGTTAGTCTGAACACGATATCACTGCTCGCAGATCGTTACAACCAAACAGGTATAACAAATGACCGTCCCCGTACAGGCAGACCTCGAGTCACCACTGCAGCCCAAGATCCGTACATCCGGGTACTACATTTGCGTGATCGTACTGCCACGGGTGAGAGCACAGCAGCCAGGGTGCCTGGACTTCGGAGGATATCCGGTTAAACTGTACGGAACAGGTTGAGAGAGATTGGACTGAGGGCCAGGAGACCCGACGTCGAGACCATGCTACGTGGTCACCATCGCGCTCAAAGACTCCGTTATCTAAAATTATCCACTTGGTTGTAATAGACGTTACCTTCTTCTAAACTGATGTAAAAAGTCATGTCCTAACTCCTAAAGTCTCTTTGTGGACGAGTTATACATGTTTAAAAATGCAACATTTTCTGGGTTATGCGTTTCTTTTTTGGAATAGTATATAATTCATAAAGACTGTTTACATGTTCCTGTGATATATCGGAAATAGTGACGGCTTAAAACAACATTATATCTCAAATTGTCTCTACTTTAAATGCACTTACGAATGTACGCGTTGTGTTCTCCTTTCACCAGACCCTCCTGCACCGCTGCCTACCGACCCGGATGAGATCGAGAGGCACGGCTACGTGAACGTCTACATTAACGCCTGCAAGTCTCTTGGCATCACGCCTGTGACGTTAATCGTGAACAGCCTCATGGCGCCGAAACTAGTAATGCGCAGTCGCTCGGTTGGCTCAAAGGCGGCACGAGCTATCTTCATAGCTCTTGTGGTATGTGCGATAACATTCTAACATTCAATGATGCTAACATTCTAACGTGATTTTGATAGACACTAGTTGTTATCCACATACCACAGCAAATTCAAATTCCGTTTTACAAAAATGTATTTTCGAACATTTCGCCAAATGGGTATTAAAACAAACAGTTTAGATTTCCACATATCATATGTAAATAAGATCTTTGAGTGAACCTTTTTTCAAACGGGATTGTCAACATTGTCAGATTAAAATTGAGTAATATTGATGATGCAAAGGTCAATTTTCGCCACCAGGGTAATCAACGTATCTGTGGCCTTGACCTTGAAGATAATTGGCTTGGTGCAGAGGGTGCTAGCGCGATCGCAGAACTCCTTCCGCAGAATAATCTCATTACAGAAATAGTAAGTCCATCGATATATCTTATCGAATTAGCACGTTAAATTGGTTAATAAAATACGAAAGCATGTAAATTATCATCTGACATCAGAGTTAGTGGTTAATTTTCACAAATCTCTGATTCAAGTTTCCAACGTTTCGATGCTCGTAAATATATAACGCTGTCTCCTGGTTGTTTAACCTGTGAAGATCTGGGTTAGAATTGGTCTCCAGCAACCCATGCTTGTCGTAAAGGCGACTAATGGGATCGGGTGGTCAGGTTCGCTGACATGGTTGGCACACGTCATCGTATCCCAATTGCGTAGATCGATGCGCATGGATTGTCTGGGCCAGACCCGATTATATACAGACCGCCGCCATATAGCTGGAATTTTGCTGGACGCGGCGTAAAACTAAACTCACTCGCCCACCTGGCTGTTTGACTGAACGAGACCAACATTTCTTATCCGGAAATCATCTTGGATAGTCTGGCCCATCTTACACAAGGCTTTCGTCGACAACACAACGTCGTAACTTTTGTTGTTGTGCTTTTACTTCAGAACATATCTGAGAACCGCATAGGAGGTGACGGGATCCGAGCACTGGCCGCCGTCATGCAAGATAATCAGACTGTTCGGAAGCTCAACATATCAGGTACAGAGCCAACACCTCTGGCGTGAACCTTTAACTTGGCATATCCAATATATTGTAGCAATTTCGAGGCAAACAGATTTGGAAGCAAAATCTCGACATACACTGGAGTTATGTGTGTTGATTTATTGTTTAACGCCGGCCGCCGTCTTAAAGCTTGAATATTGCTGAGTGTAGCGTTTAACAACTAAGTAACATATTGTGAGTGAGTGAGTGAGTGAGTTGGGTTTAAAGCCGCTTTTAGCAATATTCCAGCAAGATCACGGCGGGGGACACCAGAAATGGGCTTCACACGTTGTAACCATATGCGGAACCGAACCCGGGTCTTCGGCGGAGGAGCGAACGTTTTAACCACTGCGCGACCCCGCCGCCCCTTAGCGGGAGGAGCGAACGTCCACTTGGCGACCCTTTGGCGGGAGGAGCGAACGTTTTAACCACTGGGCTACCCCGCCGCCCCCTGCTGGCAGAACGAAACTGACTGCCACCATCTTATCTTTTGCAGGAAGTGAACTTTACGATCACGATGCGAAGTATTTGGCGGAAATAATTGAGGTAAAATATCACCTTCTTTTTTATTTTCTCAATAGGTGCCACCGAGTTTGGACTCAGTTCGAAAACAATTGTGTTTTCGTTACCTTTTGGATAATACCACTTACCTAGCTATTTGGCACCCATCATTTAAACTAAGAATCCCCATTTACATAACAACTATTAAATGTCAAAGGATCGGACGGTATGCGGTTTAGAGTGAAATCCAGCATTAGCATCCAGTTGGTGCTGGAGGTGAGCTGACGGAAAAGGCCGAAGGGAACCGAAAGCATCCGAATTCTCCATCCACTTGGTGACACTGGTTCATATTAAATGTGTTATCACGTGTACGCCAGGAGGCTGTTTTGTGACACTGAGAAGTATGTGGGGATCTCTGTACGCTTAAAACGGCTGGGTGGCGGTGATTAGTTTCAGACCTACTGACAACTGAATGTAAAATATATCCTGCCAGTTTGTTCTTTTTCTATTGTCTTCATGGAGAATATTTGTTCAAAATATCAAGTAAATATATCAGTAAATATTTTATCACATATTATGCTACAATAATTAGATAATTTCCAAAACCCTGAAGATACTATACGGGTGCTTCAATGACTATTGAAGAAATATTAGGTAGAGTTACCTTTCCTGAACTGTCCTGAATATTGAAGAATCTCTGCCTGTCTGTGTTTAGGGGTGTAAGTGTGAACTATTTTGTGTTTTGAAACAAAGTGACCATAGATATGTCAAAATGATTTTCTTCACATGCGAAAGAATAGAAAGTAGAATGAAGAATATTTTGAAATTATAGTTATTTTTTCTATTTCTTACGCACATATAAGGAGTAAAGACACGAGTGTGTTTCGTTGCTGCGCTTGCCCTAGTCATAACATACAACGAATCGGCTTAACAGATTATAGTTATTTGAGAGATCGAACCCGGGCCTCGTGAATGTCTGTCGACCGCTTCACACCCAACGTGACGTGCGGCCATTACACATGAGGTTGTCTCTTCTATTCCTAATTCGGGACGGTGGGGTAGCCCAGTGGTTAAAGCGTCACGCCGAAGACCCAGGTTTGATTCCCCACATGGGCACAATGTGTGAAGCCCATTTCTGGTGTCCCCCGCCGTGATGTTGCTGGAATATTGCTAAAAGCAGCGTAAAACCACACTCACTCACTACTCTTTAATTCATTTTAGTGGCATTCAACCCAGTTTCAACACCCACAACAATTAATTATCGCAGTTTATTTGTTGAGTATAAGCTGCAAGTTGAGGCGTAGAGAGATACAAGAAGAGAACTATGTGTATGTAAGAAATATTTATTAAAAAATATAATTTAACAGAATGTACAAGTGTTGTATAACAATAATAACAATTATTTACAATAATCAGGAAGTTGTTTCCAAATACAGTTCATTGGCAATAATGTAACGTTCATTTTTGTACATTATCTCCGATATTGAAGTCAGTAACAACCACACAAACTGCATGCTGCACCCACATTCTGAAATGAAATGAAGGAATGCTTAATAGTGTTTAAGAATGTTCGTAAATAGCATCCAGTGGCGTGGTAAATAAAAACAAATATGGACTCGTTTCCATCGCATTTATAAAAATGTTGCAAAAAAACCCGTCTCTGTTATGGAAGGAACGCAACCTATTTTTAAGTAATGTCAGTCTAGACACGGAATAAATTGAGGGGTTCAGTTCAAGATGGTTAGTTTTACAGGGCTAATTCGCCACGTGCTACAACGACATCATTAAAATAACCAGATGATTACTCCGTTTGTATAAAAATCGACTTTCATTTACTCCTCGTTTTGAGATTTAGGGGATGGGTGTTGGGGTGGGTCCTACCCCCACAGCACATTACTTCAGTCCTACCCCCCCACCCATCCCCAGTAATACAGTCCTACCCCAACAGCACATACCCATCCCCAGTAATACAGTCCCACCCCCACAGCACATACAGTCCCTACCCCCACAGCGCATAGTGTATATAAGGTCCCTGTACAGTCCTAACCTAGTGGCCACCCCCATGCATACAGTTTCCCCTGTACTAACCTAGTGGCCACGTTTCCAAGCCCTACTCCTCAATCGGTCGACGATGTTGGAGGAGTGGTTGGAGTCTCCAGATCCGTTGTGGACGAGGAAGGTGCTACTGTCTGCAAGCGAGAGTGGAACGCCCGTTGAAAACAACAATTCTGTGTTTGAAAGATGATAAAGTGGCACCTAATACAATGACTGTTGTATGGGATCCTGGTCTGATTTTTCGAGTTTAAAAAAATCGTTGTCATAAATTGTTGAATAAATGCTGTATGGGTAAATGGAAACATTAAATGCAATGTAAACTTTGAGTCTGTCGAGCGTATATTCCTTTTACGCCGCTTTAAGCAATATTCCAGCAATCACTGCGGGGTACCCTTGAAATGGTCCTCACACCCGAACACGTCGATCGACACCCGATGTAAGTTATGAACATTTTCCATATGATCGACGCGCTTTAATAACTTGTAAGAGTTAATGGTTAAATTATAACTATCTAATACCGGTTAATTATTATAACTCATCTAATATAGGGCCGGGTAGATTAGTGGCAAGCGTTGGCTCGTCACGCCGAAAAATCTTCGAATCCCCACATGGGTACAATGAGTGAAATGTTTTCGTGTACGACTGCAAAATAAATTTCAGTCACCCACTTAAGCCATAACAAATGTTTTCGTGAGTTTGGTTTGGTTTCCGAAATCGCTTTGGTCTGGCTTCCGACATGTCTACTGATGTTATCCCTTCCTCCAGTTTCCTCTTTCTGCATCCCACAGCCGACATGGTGTCTATCATTTCTCTCTCTTCCCTTATCGCTACTCTCTCCTGTGTCAAAGCTTCTCTCTCACGGCGCTGCTTTTTCTTTCGAATTCGGACCTGCCTCAGTCTCTCTGCTTCCTGCAGTTCGTACTCAATGACCCCGGCCCGCCCCCTCATGCGGATAGGCAGGGTGGGTGCTATGTGGCGGGTTGATAACCTCATGCTGGTCCTCTTTATGGTTTCCAGGTCTGGAAGGAAACGTGTATTCAAGTTACGATATGTCCTACCATTTCCTAGGGAATATGTTGAGTTTAATTAAAAACGCGTTTATAAGAATTAATATTGTTTAAATTTATCAATAATATTTTGTTAGTTGGTTGGTTTGTTGTTTAACGCCGCACCTAGCTACATTCCAGCCATGTGGCGGCGGTCTGTAAACAATCGAGTCTGGACCAGACAATCCAGTGATCAACAGCATCAGCATCGATCTACGCATTACGATGACATGTGTCAACCAAGTCATCGAGCCTGACCACCCGATCCCGTTAGTCGCCTCTTACGACTAGCATGCATATGGGTTGCTGAAGACCAATTCTAACCCGGATCTTCACGGGTACAATATTATCTAATCGACGTAATGAATTCTCGCAGTTTCATATTTCTATATTCGGCTTCGATAGTTTGAAGTCGTACCGTTTCTGACATAGTCAAGCTGTCTCTCCGTCCAGATAATGGCGGCATCAACTGGACTAGCGCAGGTTTCAGGAACGCTGAGATCGGAATGAACAGACGCGAGATGAAGGTCTGATCGGAAAGCCATCCTTCCAGCAAATAAGAGCATGTCCATACTGGCCATGTTGTATACTCGGGGCCAGTCTGTCTCTGGGTACAGGAAACAGTTGCCGCCTGGAAGAAAATGTATTATAACTTTACAAACTTGGTCTTATAATTTAATTTAAATCATGTGTATACAATGCTCCTCAAAGCGCAGTTACCCATATATTCCTAGTTCATAAAAGTCAAATTAGCATATTTTATTTAATCAATAGAATTCCGAATGCATCCTGAACACCAAACATCAGCTGATTGAAAATGGCCCGGATTAATATATAGTCACGCAATGAGTTTGAATTTATTTCAGCAGTGTACAAATTCCAGTTGTTAAAAGTGATACTTTAAATTGTATACATGTATGAAGGTGAACATGAAACAATTAATTCTTTCTAAATGCTCTTATTAATGATCAGGTATAAAAAGACCCAAAAATTAAGCCTGTTGAAAAACATTAATGGTTATTCGTGATGGTCAATGCCAATTACTATTGACCACAGCAATTACTCTATACACAAAATAAATCTACAATTATGCTAAATTGAAACCATGTTTTCGTATTGATGCGAGGTACAAAACAACCATGGTATACAAAATTTTTCATTTTGTGGTCAAATACTAAAATCCCGATTACGATCGCCGCAAGATTCCACCCGCTAGTTATTATCTAATTGTAAAACCCGTGCATTAAGATGTTGAATGTTATTAAACTCAAGGTACATTTGTTTTAGCTTATACCGTTCAAATGAATATTTCCTAAATTGTCTACTAATGCCTGATATTTTTATAATTTCCTTATAGTTATGTATATGAACCGACATTCTTGGATGTTTTGCGCAAAATATGTTAACTACGGGTTTCTCAACAATATATACTATGGGTATTTCTGCATCAAATCTTTGTTGAGATGACAGATGAAGACGAAAGAAGACATTACAAATTGATAGCATATAGGCATTCAGTGATTTCAGACTATTTCTTACCTCTATTTCTTTTAGAATCCATTAGAATATTGGTCAGTCAGTCAACCAAAACAATAAAGTAGGTTATATTCTTTCTGTCGGCCAATCTCACAGATGAAATTGTAATTTTGCGGAGCGTGGCAATAGATCGACTTCGTATGCTGAGCAATGACGATTGTCTATGACGTCACAATAGCGTCAACGCCATGACGACAAACTACAAAGCTAACTAAACTTATGGTTTCGTATCCCTTTTTTTGTCTACATTTCCAAATATATGTTCTTTCTGCTTCAGTATCCATATGTTAAACAGCAAAGATGATTATGTATCAGCCATCATGTTTGAGCTCGCAATGTTACGATAGAGGAATCATACTTGACAAAGATTACCGAATAGATTATGACGTCATCTTCGTTGTGACGTCATAGTTCTGTTGAAATGTAACACGGCCGGTTGACCGAGGCCGAAGTCTTCTGTTGTGGTTCGGCCCGACAGTGTCCGGTGTCCGAATGGGAGACTAAATCCTGACCTAAAACGACACTAATTAAAAAGCGACGAAACCTGAGGTTCAGTTTACACTTCATTTATATAAAAATATTTATTTTCCATTAAATATTTACTTATGTCGGTTCCCAGTTCTCTACCTCTGCGCGTCGTCAACTTGCGCATCTAATAGTTACGATGTTAAAGGCACAACGTCACACCACACTGCTCTTAAAATTAATAATGCATTTCTCTCAATAATACGAACTATCAGCCCTTAGGGAAGCTACCACATAATTTATTCCAAATATGATTACGCAACTCGAGCCCTCTACCGGCCGAACATTATTTCACGCAATCCCTATAGAGTTATGTCCCTTGGAGCGCTCTTTACGAATTGCCAAATATCCTACGCACAAGTTGTGATTAAAACAAACACCGACAACACCACGTGCGACAGTTTTCGATGTAGGGAGCAATTTTTTACATTCCATATATGGCAAGTGTTCTCTGTTTGGAAGGTGTCGGCCTCGAAGTTTCAATGATCGATTTCAGGCAAGTGCATATGCCCAATTCATATAAAATAGGCCAAAATATTGTCGAAAATGTGTGACATTGTGCCTTTAAGTGACGGAAACAAGCGTTGTCGAATATCTCGACAGTAAAGTTAGTAAAGCGTAGAGAACCATTCAGAGAGAAACAACAACATGTTAATGCTTATTTTCTTTGTGTTTTTTTAATATTTATTTATCTTTCATGTTTTCTCGCCTATGGATGAATTGGATGGATGATGATGGATGGTCTGTTCATGATCATACTATGTTGTGCAATACGAGTTGTGTCCCTCTTCTTTCACTGTGTTCAGCACCAAATTTCACAAGAGAAGTGCTTTTCTTACCGAAGCCTTTTAGGCTAGCAGAGGTTAAAAGCGTTCGTTCGCCACACTGACGGGACGGGTTCGTATGTCAAGTTCGTTTTAGTTGATATTGCTAACAGCGGCGTAAAATCGTACTCATTCACTCACTACAGAATAACGTGTGGCTGCGGGAACTACGGGCCAGTCATAACAAGTTTGGAGAGGTCGGGGGTCTTTATCTGGGGCCCGCTATAGGTGAGTTCAGTCTTATCCTCGGTAACATTGTTGATATGTGAGGTGAGGTGAGGTGAAATTGGGTTTTACGCTTGAGAATATTTCGCTTATATGACGACGTGTGTGCGTGTGTATGTGTACGTGAGGCTGCTTGTACTAGCCCAGACTGAAGCTGGTTTTATAGTGCCTGCCCACTGAGATACCATACCCCAGTGAAGCATGAATACCCCACTCAGACACATTATACTGACTCCGAGCCGACCAGTCCTTGATGTACCCATTAATGCCGAGCGCCAGGCAGGGACCAACAAGTACCATATTTTAACGTCTTTTGGTATGACTCGGTCGGGGATCGAACCCGCGACCTTCCGCTCTCCGGGCGGACGCTCCAACCACTACACCACGGAGGCGGTCCTGGAATGTGACTAACAGATGGCGTAAAACCCAACTCACTCACTTGTCGCTGGTTCTGAAGTAACTGTGTCTATGTTTAAGTGACAAGTATATGTTGAAACGTTGACTGGTGTATTTCCGTTCATTCAGTCTGATTAATGTCATTAAAGGTATATTAAATAACCAATGAATGTAGTTGTGTACACTTCATGTGGAAGCATACCCCCCAGCAATAATCCATCATCTCACATTTTCCCCACATGAGTACAATGTGTGAAGCCCATTTTTGGTGTCCCCCGCTGTGATATTGCTGGAATATTGCTAAAAGCGACGTAAAACTAAACTCACTTACATATGTCGAGTTGCTAGCATTTAGTCATCAATTACATTATTAACATTATAATCGGTCCAAGTATACGTGTTCAAGCAGTACAATAAGTTTTCAGTAATATGATATTGTTAATCAGTCTTCGCTTTGCAGTTCCGTCTTTATTGATACTAGTATCCTACCCACAGCTAACAATGACACTCTCGAGATACTGGACCTCAGCTGGAACCATCTACGGAGGCAGGGAGCACAAGCTGTAGCAGCAGGATTAGAGGTAAGATATCATTGTGATTACCCATTGCCTGTAACCTATCTCTACGTCTACCATCCTCGATCATCATGGGTATTATAAGTCATTGTAAGTGAGAAATCAGGCTATTAGCATTGGTAACGATACACACCTCAGCGGACGAAGCCAGTCAGCCATATGGCACTTTGTGGTCTTGTGGCTGGTTCTTACGACTCGTAGCAGGGACCTACATAACTCCACGTGATCGCATACTGATTTGAAAATGAACATAAATCGGTTAGTTTCATGAGGCGGCTTTGAGGCGACCCAGACAGAACGCCAGAACCGAAGAAAATGGGGACTGGGTAGTATATAGGTAGTGTTCTCTCACACAACGCTACGGGTGACTGATTGTGTGCCGTTGTTCATACTATCTATCACTGGTTTGTCGAACCTGGAACACCGACAGGTTGCTGTGAAAAAACTAATTTGTGATGCCTGTGCGAAGCCCCTTTATGATGTTCCCCGTCGTGATATGGCTGGACTATTCCTAAAGACGGTTCTGAAGCCTCCCTCCTTTCCTTACTCACACTTTCACTCACTCACTCACTCACTCACTCACTCACTCACGCATAAACCTATGCGTTGTCTCCCCTAGGATAATGGCGGACTGCTGATACTGGACCTGTCATGGAACGGGTTGTCCCGGGCTGGGTGCCGCACCCTCGGGCTCTCCCTGGCTGAGAACTACACCCTCGAGCAGCTGGATCTCACGTGCAACCGGGTGGACGCAATAGCTGTGGGCAGTCTGTTGGAGGGGCTGCGGTGGAACGAGTCCCTCGTCACACTCAAGGTAAGAAGATAATGAGATAGAACAACCGCTCCCTAACAGTTTTGATCTTTGGCGTAGGAGGTAAGTATACTTATGTGTGAGGATTGTGATCTTCAACTCTCCTTACACGCCCGACGCATTTCCCCGGTGTCTAGATGTTTGTTGCATAATTTGCGGATTGGCTTTTGACTGACTTACTGACCGAGTTTTGATTTTACGCCGCTTTTAGCAATATTCCAGCAACATCACGGCGGGGGACACCAGAAAATGGGCTTCACACATTGTACCCATGTGGGGATTCGAACCCGGCTCTTCGGCGTGACGAGCCAACGCTTAAACCACTAGGCTACCCCACCGCCCGATTGGCTTTTGACATGACTATGGAGGGGTTGAGAGTTGTAACAAAGAGACAGTTTGACATGTATGAATCAGAACGACACGACATCCACACTTCTGGAGATTTATTTTCTACTAAATCCTTTCAACGTATGATTAAAATTACCTTTGGCATCTGTTCTCTCGGACGTAGACATAAAGTGTCTGTTTTACTCGTTCATAATGTTGGGGTTTTGTTAATGGTAGTAATAGAAACAATTCTAAACCTTTTAATAACTATTGTTACAAGTGCGTATGTGCGTGCTAAAGAGGTGCGTACATATATATACAAATTGTGACAATAAAATTCTCGTTGGACAGGCGGAACCACCAGGAGTCTTGACTTGCGTGTATATATCAAAATACTGGTTTTAGAAGATTTATTTTACATTGCTCGTATCATATCATGCCCCTGATTTTATATTCTTCAGCTGGGTCAAAACCCAATCACCCCGGACGTAGCTCTGCTGATCCTCAAGACAATAGAGAAAGCTCCTAACAGCGTCCTGAGGGAGCTCGATCTGACGGTGAGTTTGTGGCCAACCCTAAGATTTAGCTTATATAACTACTTAACGATATAAAATCTGCGTTCGTAGAGAATATCCTCGAGGTCTGTGCTTTGGGCTAATACCACCTATAAATACTTATGGACGCGATGGAGAATATTTGTTTAATTCAGTGTATAACAATGTTGCCAGTACAGTTAGTTAAGGCATGTTACCGTTCCTGTTGCTTAAGTCGATGTTCATGATATCAGTAACTGGATACTCTGGGCCAGACTCGATGTGTACGCCGGCACACAGCAGGAATATTGTTGGGCATAGCCTGGAGCAAGTAACTCTGGCGGGCAGTTAGAATGAGCGTCATGCATTCTATCAACGTAAGGAATCAAAACCTACAACCAGTTGACTTCCTGTTGCCCCATCGCTACGAGAAGCATTATTATGAACTATCTTGTGTCTATTGCAAATATATTAATTGTTCTTGTTCCTTGTTTAATTTTGCCAGATATAGAGTGAGTGAATTTAGTTTTACGCCATACTCAGCAATATTTCAGCTATATGGCGGCGGTCTGTAAATAATCGAGTCTGGACCAGACAATCCAGTGATTAACAACATGAGCATTGATCTGCGCAACTGGGTTACGATGACATGTCAACCAAGTTAGCGAGCCTGACCACCCGAACCCGTTAGTCACCTCTTACGACAAGCATTGTCGCCTTTTGTGGCAAGCATGGGTTGCTGAAGACCTGTTCTACCCGGGATCTTCACGAAATATTCTAGAAATAGAAACAAATCATGTGTATTAATGTCAAGACACTCCAGAATCTTAACTTCAACACATACCTTACAACGAACCCGCACCTACAACCCTAGTAACACGCAACAGACAACCATTCTATTTCCACATGCAATCTTTCATACGACCGCCTCCATGGTGTAGTGGTTAAAGCGTCCGCCCGAGTGTGGAAGGTCGCGGGTTAGATCCCCGACTGCGTCATACCAAAAGACGTTAAAATATGGTACTTGTTGGTCCCTGCCTGGCGCTCGGCATTAATGGGTACATCAAGGACTGGTCGGCTCGGAGTCAGTATGATGTATCAGAGTGGGGTATTCATGCTTCACTGTGGCATGGTATCACAGTGGGCTAGCACTATAAAACCAGCTTCAGTTTTGGCTAGTACAAGCAGCCGCACATACACATACACACGCATGCACGTCGTCATGTGAGCGAAATATTCTCAAGCACGACGTTAAACCCAATTCCACCACCACCAATCCTTCATACCTTCTCCGTCGTCTGTGTTGCAGGACGTTGTGGTGGACGAGGAGTTTGTGACGTCGCTGAAGAAGATGCAGCAGAAGCGTGTACTCCGGGCCAGGACGGGGCCGATAATCAACAAAGGGGAGGGAATTCTCGCTCAGGACGCCGGAACATTCCTCACCAACAACCCCATGAAGGCCATGTTCGACTTCATGAACGAGCGCGGTTACCGTGTCATCGACTTGTTCAAGCGGTACGACAACGACAACACCCACACCGTCTCCACACAGGACTTCACCAAGGGGCTACTGGTATGTGGCGGTTAACCTATGTTATCGTTTACACTCCAGAGTCCCGATCCAAAAAGCGTTCGTAACGTTACGACCTGTCGTAACACTATAGTTTATCATAGGCTTACGAATGTCTTGGCGCTAAGAACATTTTGTGGATCGGGACCCTGGTTAGACCTAAACGTAGTGAAAGTATATTGGTTTTCAGTTTATAACTCCGAAGATATCCCACGAACAGAATGCATGAATTTCTGCTATGTGTACCATATGTTAATTTACATATGCAACGGTAAGGGGTTTATTTTAGGTTGTCCCGAGCTTGTACGTAACATACGTACTGCCTGTGTCCTTGCACCAACTTACGTTAAATCATCGGTGTACAGAGTTACTGCATTTCATTTTCACGATAGGTGTGCCGTGAGTTCGAGGCCATAATTTTCCCGCGTTTTTACCTTCACCTGAGAGGAACACTGGGTAGACAACTTCTTTACTGCAATGCGACTTTTCAGTATGGATCTTAACACCGTTATCAAGCAATATTGAATAAAGTTGTCTACCCAATCTGTTCCTCTTCACCAGCTTCTAAATGCCACTTTAAGTGTAATGTTTGCCATTTCGAATCCAGAATTCGCCCGGATTGTGACCTTGATCTGTATTATCATAACCGTTTATATTGGCATTTGGCAGCCGTCGTTCTTCTTACATGAAGTGAAGTTACTGGCATTGTAAGCTTCTGGTATTGTCAATCATTACTTGTAGTTACTGAAACACAGCTATAAGTACGTTAACTCACTGACATGTGTTACTCTCAGAACGTCCACCTGCCTCTGACTGTTGGTCAGCTGGAGGAACTGGTCAACGAGCTGGACTCGGACAAAGACGGCAAGATCGAGCTCAGGTGGTGTAGCTACAACAGGAGTTACCTCCCTTTGTGCTAAGAATTAATCCCATAAACCATAAAATCTGCCATATCGCATGTTGTGTACAAACATATCGATTCGGCTAACAGATGTTTCTCCTTATTGATTGCTTAAAAGAGTATATGAATAATTCTCATTGTTGGAAACATATCTATCCTAACGCTCATTACTTAATATACCACATTTCATATACCACTTATTACATGAAAGGTTGTTAAAAGTCGCTGTATCCCTATTTCCTCTCTGTTCATTCTAACCAACTAACCCAACTCTGCTTCACATTTCTATAGCCATGTAGAACATCTAATGGACCAGATGACCTCGGTAAGTTGGACACAATAAAAGTCGCTGACCACGTTCATATATTTGACTGACTGAGTATGGCTTTACGCCGTTTGAGCAATATTCCAGCAATATCACGGCGGGGGACACCAGAAATGGGCTTCACAAATTGTACCCATGTGGGGAATCGAACCCGGGCCTTCGGCGTGACGAGCGAACGCTTTGACCACTAGGCTACCCCACCGCCCCTCATATATTTGAACGGATGTTGTAAGTTAGATATCATAGGAATGCCAAGTCTTTATGGATGATCAACTTCATGCCTGAAAACGGATTTAATATCTATACCGAAACGTCGCTGTTGTAAAATGAAGAAGTTGATCATCCGTAAAGGCTTGTCATTCATATTACTTACAACTTCTAGAATGTCTCTCAAACAGTTCAAGTTAGATGTCGGTTGTAAATTTATTAACTTATTCAGAGATAACTGGAGTAACAGCGGAGAAAAACGCAATTCTACTTTTGTTGTTGTCAGAACCAGACAATCGATTTGATCTCTTCTTAAGATAACATACAAAGTTACTACCCATGAAGGTCCAGGTTAGATCTTGTCTTCAGCAACCCATGCTTGTCGAAAGGGGCGACTAACGGGATCGGTCGGTCAGGCTCGCTGGCTTGGTTGACACGTGTCATCGTATCCCAGTTGTGTAGATCGATGCTCATGATGTTGATCACTGGATTGTCTGGTCCAGACTCGATTATTCACAGACCGCCGCCATATAGCTGGAATATTGCTGAGCGCGGTGTTTAAACAACAATCAAACAAATAAGTTAATGTTGAGCTCATTTCTTTGAGACATACATATGCTTCGTTTTTGTTGTTTTTTGTGTTGTGTAAAACCATTTTGTAATATACTAGGGATCTGACGGAAGCTGAAACGAATCACAGACGTAAGATGTTCCGCCGGAAGCAAAAGATGGCACTGAAAGAGACGAGCAACAAACAAAGGACGAAAACGCAGAAAGCCAAGAATAGAAAGAAGCGAACTCTTGAAGCCATCCCAGATGTTGATAGCGTCTGATCATTATTTGTTGCATCTATATTTCATTGTTTTTCATTATCTTTGAGGTTCCTGAGATATGTACGTCATACCTCTGTGATGGACAGTCGCATGTTGCAGGCTTGCTTTGATAGGTCAACAGAACAGCATCGTCAATACATAGGGTATTTGCTTATACTAGTTCCTCTATCGTCGCTTGTCGTAAGAGGCGACTAACGGGATCGGGTGGTCAGACTCGTTGACTTGGTTGACACGTCATCGTATCCTTATTGCATAGATCGATGCTCATGCTGTTGACCACTGGTTGTGTGTCCTGATACGATTATTAACAGACCACCCGCCATATGGCTGGAATATTGCTCATTGCGGCATTAAAAAACAAACCAACCAACCTCTATCACCGTGATTTACACGATGGTGGTCACGACAGTAGCCATTTTATCCACTAGTTAGTGCTTTGTCACGTGATGAGGGAATTCGGAATAAACCTCCAGGGCTCCAGATAAGCACCGTATCGGCGTATGTACGAATAAAAATTATGCAAGATACGGTAGGAAATATATTAGAAAACGTACCCGATACGCACCACAGCAATGGTGTACGGACTTAGACTGACTGACTGAGTTTGGTGTTACGCCGCTTTTAGCAATATTCCAGCAACATCACGTCGGGGCACACCAGAAATGGGCTTCACACATTGTACCCATGTTGGGATTCGAACCCGGGTCTTCGGCGTGACGAGCCAACGCTTTAACCATTAGGCTACCCCACCGCCCTGTACAGACGTATTTATCTGAAAAAGTACTGTTTTATTGTTTATTGACCTGTTAACACAAGACTAGCAATGTTGTGGTGCATATGTGAATCGAAACACAAGATTACTGATTCTCCATTAAATGCCATTCAGAACTCTAAATGTACTCTTATTTTGCTGAGTGCGGCGTAAAACTAAACTCACTCACTCACTACATGTACTCTTAAGTTTTTCTAGTACTCCTATATTGAAAAAATAATGAGTACGTCCTCTTGATGTTGAAAAATTATTTGGAAACGTCCTCAATTTTCCAGGAACGTGAAAGTGTTCCTTCTAGGTGAAGGAATAAATGAAGGAAGGAAGGGAGGAATATACACTAATATTAGAACTGTGATCCCCTGATACCAGGCAAATTAATTTTCAATTCATCCAAAACTGATTTAAACATGTACACATTTTAATATTTCAGTTTATCTGTTTTGCAATTTGAGTTACATGCATACGAAACATTTCTTGTTTATACATGGTGGAATAAAAGCACATGTTTGATAGATATGATGATGATCTGTTCTCTTATCGACATTCCTCAAGGAAGGCTGTTCACCTGGTGCATTATGTTCATTCCAGAGGTTTGTTGATTGTGTTGTTTGTTGATTAACACCTCTCTCAGTAGTATTTATCTCAAAGTAATCGAATTTGGGCCAGACAATCCACTGATCGACCTCCTGAATGTTCAACAATACTGGGATACGATAACATACATCAACCAAGTCAGCGAGCCTGACCAGCCGATCCCGTTAGCCGTTCTAACGATATGTACAGGTTGCTGAAGACCAATTCTAACCCGGATGTTCACGGTGAACGGATATGTGCTGCTCTCTATACGCTGTGCATTGAACATTTACTAAATAAATATTCACTATTATTGTCTCTGAAACCGGTTGGTAGTGGGTAAAGGTGTCCATATCATAATTTAAACCCTATCGGGGACAATAGGACATTTCCCTTCATTGTGTCCCTTTGCGTCGGTTTTTAGCAATGACCGTTGCCAGTGACAAAACAGGAGTTAGTGACTTTACTTTAAAACACACAATCGCAATACAAATTCCAGTGCTGTGAGTTGTCATTATCAGCTTTAAGAACATAGCTGGACATCACAGATCAGTCTCCTGTTATTTTATATCACATTGTCATTTGGGCAAGTTTCAAGCTACTATTCTCCATATCCACGTGTCTTCCGATGTGCCCGGTGATGCTGATACAAAAAGAACATCAACACAGGTCAGTATTTGATTATTTATACATTCTAGTCATCACATGTGAAGCGTAAAATTAAGTTAGAAATGAAACCATTACTACCGAGTTGATAAGACGAACACAAAGTAAGCAAACGACCATGTATTATAACCACAAATTTAAAGCAACAAAATGCAACTCGGGATGTATACTTCCCAGGGAGTTGAGAATGTAATTTGAAACGTAAGAGGATTCTCAAAATGCCTTCCATGACAGGGCATTGCTAATGTACTGTCGGAAATAGAAAAAAAATGTTTTTAGGCTGTTACTGTTGGGCTGTATCCCCTAAAATTTACACAACTGCAAATAACATATGTCGAAATAACCCACTTCGGCCTAACGTGGTATTCAGTGGGATGCGTAATAGGATATCCAGAAAAGCATGTTTACTCGTAAAATCAGGCAAAACTTGGAAAAAAATAGAATAGCTGCTGAAAACAATAGATCAGACTATAGATGGCAATTAGGTCACTCAGCCAGGTATGACGACGGACCGTCGACTCACCTGGCATGAAATGCATGTGCTGCCTACAGGCACAAGCTTTAAAGGGGTCATCTCAAAGATATTTTGTGCTTTTTCATGTGTGTTGACTATGCCTCATCTATTGATGAAAATCTTACGTGTCTTTCTTTCATAAAGTTTATGTTGAGATATGTAAAAGAGTCATATCTGCACTAATCTCTCCTCAGTAAAGTCCTTTTTCAACGTTTCCTATCTCCCTACCACCGAGACTGTAGTTAGGCCGAACTTGGTTTAACAGATATTTCACACTAGCACATATCAACTACATAAATTGTAGAGATAAATGAGAAAATACAGGTTTTTTTCTATTTCCGACAGTACTTTAGTGTGGAGACTGCAGTTGCATGGAGCAAGTTATATCAAAATATATCATTTATAAAATATCCCTAAAAGATATAGAGGACTTCATATATGAATGAAAACATAAATTCCATGTAAAAAATATTAGTTTGTTGTGGAATTGTCGGATAACGCATGAAACCCGTTAGAAATCGAAGTCATGTTACCTCACTGTCAGTGATGTTATAAACAAGTCAGGCAACGTCTGATCTATTAGGCGCATCATACGACGAGCACGTTGCTCCAGGCTTACTATATATAACCCGGAATCCCCTCCACTAATGAAAGGTATGTATCACAAGCTGTTTTAAGAAAACCCGTATTGCTTGCCTTCAACGATATACATACATGCATGTTACGCGTGTATCCACAGACGGATCACGAAACATTGCATTTGATGATCAAGACACGTGAGTGAAACTGTAACTGGACAAATTGCACCGATCTATGCATACGCTCACTCACATCGTATGTCATACAGGTACTTACAGGTATATATACAATGATTTGCCATCTTTGTGCAGTTGGCAGTTGATGAGGATTATTATTTGCTTGTCACCAACGAAATAAAACTGATGTTCCAGGTGAACGAGCTGTAGAAACAATTTTCAGAAGCTTGATATTTGCTTAATGACGATACACGTATTGCACGTGATGTTTACCTTTTATAAGCGCCTGCATATCTAAAAAATGTTTGGTGCCCCTGTAGGATCAAAGTTATCATACAAACGGACTTCATATAAATGGCTATATAGGGGTTAATAATCACAGGTGTTGCGATACCCTTTTCCATGTGTATATCTCACTGTTCTGAGGCGTGTGGTACAAGTATCTCTCCAAGTGCAAAGCTCAAAATCGTTTTGTCTCCTGTTCCGTTAATAATCGGTTTTACCACATATAAGTACATGTATAAAGATAGCACCTCAAGCGGTACCACCATTTCAATATTGGCACGTGCAAGTGTCGTTTTAACTTACTGTTGCAAGCGTTTTCTCAAATTACATTCCAAAAGGAGAAAACGCTTGACACCGTCAATCATATTTCTTAAACCTCAAAGAAATGTCGATTCCATTTCAGGGAACCGTTCCACGAATCGATCTCATCGTTACGACGATCGTAAGTCAGTATTACAAAACTGGTGTTGCGATCACCTAAGCAGTAAGATCGTTTTGTGGAACGGGCCCATGTCCAGATATAGATTCCTTAAAAACGCACCCAAGACCTTATTATTGGTCAGTCATCATGCGGGAGTTATTGTCACCATGACAACTCCTGTAGGATTTACACGGACCGTCAGGCCCTGCAAGAGACTCAGCCTCGCCACTTTATCCCCAGTGAAGGTATCTGTTACGAGGTAGTACACCGATGACCCCGAGTCGACCAGCTGGTACATGGCGATTGTCACGTTACTGGGACCGCCACCTACGGCAGAGTTGAACATCGTGGCGGCGGTGCTACCCTTGGGCAAAATGGGTCGTGTCCAAACAGAAATCTGACCAACCTGGAAAAATGAAAGATTCAAATCTCAGAAGCAATGAGTGACTTTAGTTTTGTGACGCATTTAGCAAACATTCCAGCAATATAACTGCGGTGGACACCAGAAATGGGCTTCACATATTGTACCCTGGGACTAGAACCCGGACCTTTCTTTGGCCTGACAAACGAACGCTTTAGCCGCTTGAAACCCCACCGCCCTTGTCACAGAAAGGAAGTCAAACCAAAGCATCAACTTTCTTTCATCAACAATGTGTCTATTTCATGTTTCCATCCAGGAATGTTCATAATAATTCATAATTCAAATATTAAGTGTATAAAATACCTTCGGCCCATATACATGAAATGCATATGGCACAGTATAGGATTATTTTAACAAAAGATTCACAATTCGAAAGGAAGTACGATCAAATCTTACCATCATACGAACGGTTCCAGGGACCCCTAACGGGTCCTGGCTGACAGCAATCACTCCTTTGTTCAGAAGGAGGCTTTTAGACTCCGGCCGGATGTTGCGTAGGTCTACTGACACGAGCAGTGGCGCCGCCCACATCGACCACAGTGCCATCTGTGTTCGTTCCTGGTCAGGACTGAGTGAGAAGTCCCCAATAACCATCTAGAACAGAAACAGTTCCAGTAAATTCATCTTCATGATTTGAACCATAACTTACATTTCAGGTCTTATTTCAAATTTTACAATTATCGGTTATGATTGGCTGGCTATCCGCTTCTACTTTTCCATGACATGTTTTTGGCTGAAAGGTAGTTGAGTGGGTAACTGGTGTGAAACAAGATCAGATGAAGCACAAAATTTACAAGTTCTTGAAATAAACATTCTTATAATTTCATAACAAATGACACGTGAAGATCCGGGTTAAAATTGATCTTCAGCAACCCATGCTTTGAGTTTGTTTCTTTGTTCCTTAACGCCGTACCGGACCAGACAGAGTGAGTGAGTGAGTTTGGTTTTACGCCGCTTTTAGCAATTTTCCACCAATATCACGGCGGGGAACACAAGAAATGGGCTTCACATATTTTGCCCATGTTGGGAATCGGACTCTAGGCTACCCCACCGCCCCGGACCAGACAGACCATTGTTTAATAGTATGGTATCTTTCCGGTCACCGAGCCTGACCACTCTCCTCACACTTGACCATCTATCTGGTAGCTTCTTAAGACCATCGTACAGGGCCGTCTTGCACAAAACGATCTTAGCTACGCAAATCGTAGAGCTTCGTTCAACAGGAACCAGGGTCCCGATCCACAAAGCGTTCGTAACCTTACGAACTGTCGTAACTCTATAGTGTGTCATAGGCTTACGAATGTCGTAGCGCTACGAACGTTTTGTGGATCGGAACCCAGGAAGGTTGATGGGGATCCATAACCACGTGGAATCACCATGGGGCCTTTCCTACCTCATCCGGGTCATTCCAGCCACCGGGTCCGGCTATCTTGCTGAAGTTGCCGATGTCTTTGGCGTAGAAGTTGATGACGCTGGCGATACTGTCCCACTGGTCGTTGATATCGTCGTAATTCCTACAGGTATTGCACACCTCCAGGACTGCAGTGTAATTAGCCTGAAGAAAATACAGATGATGATGAGGAGGTATAGAGCATGGTGTAAACTACTCATTATAGATATTGAAAGTATACAGTAAATGTCTAGAACTATATGATGCAAGAGTGGTAGATTTACGGTAGTATTTGTCATTCTGGAAGAAATTAAGTATTTTGAATGTAGTGGTGGCGGGTGTTGTGATTCTGATAATAGTAGTAGTAGTAGTAGCAGTAGTAGTAGTAGTAGCATCAGTGATTCTGGTAATGATAGTAGTAGTAGTAGCAGCAGTGATTCTGATGATAGTAGTAGTAGTGGTAGTAGTAGTAGCAGCAGTGATTCTGATGATAGTAGTAGTAGTAGTAGCAGTGATTCCGATAATGATAGTAGTAGTAGTAACAGTGATTCTGATAATGATAGTAGTAGTAATAGTAGTAGTAGTAGTAGTAACAGTGATTCTGATAATGATAGTAGTAGTAGCAGTGATTCTGATAATGATAGTAGTAGTAGTAGCAGTGATTCTGATAATGATAGTAGTAGTAGTAGTAACAGTGATTCTGATAATGATAGTAGTAGTAGTAGTAACAGTGATTCTGATAATGATAGTAGTAGTAGTAGTAGCAGTGATTCTGATAATGATAGTAGTAGTAGTAGTAACAGTGATTCTGATAATGATAGTAGTAGTAGTAGTAACAGTGATTCTGATAATGATAGTAGTAGTAGTAGTAACAGTGATTCTGATAATGATAGTAGTAGTAGTAGTAGTAGCAGTGATTCTGGTAATGATAGTAGTAGTAGTAACAGTGATTCTGATAATGATAGTAGTAGTAGTAGTAGCAGTGATTCTGATAATGGTAGGAGTAGTAGTAGTTTGTTTTGTTTGTTTAACGCTGCAACCAGCAATATTCCTGTTAATGGCGGCGGTCTGTAAATAATCGAATCTGGACCAGACAAACCAGTGATTAACAGTATGAGCATCGATCTACGCAGATGGGATACAACCAAGCCGGCAAGCATGACCGCCCGATCCCGTTAGTCGCCTCTTTCGACATGCATAGGTTGTTGAAGATCAATTCTAACCCGGATCTTCAATGGTGCATTAGTAGTAATAATGGTGGTTGTAGTGGTGAAAGTTGTGATGGTGTAGTAGTAGTAGTAGTAGTAGTAGTAGTAGTAGTAGTAGTAGTAGTAATTGTCAGTTGAATGTCCCCAAGGTCAGATTAAAGTCATATGGACATAGACAGTTCTCTTACACAGCTCCCCTTTTCTGGAACTCACTGCCTCTTCACATCCGACAAGCCGCGTCCGTGGAATCTTTCCAGTCCCAACTGAAAACTTTCCTTTTTAAACAAGCTTATGAACTTTAATCCTTTCTTCAGATCACTCTATCTTTTAGCGCCTAGAGAAATTGCCTTGCAGTTTGATTTGTGCGCTATACAAGAACACTTATTATTATTATTATTAATAGTAATAGTAGTATCTCACCGGACGACGGTGCAGTATATCTCCTAGGGCCCACTCACAGGAGTACAAGATGGGCCGCCCCGTCTTGTTCAGGTAAAACCCCATGTCACGGTAACCTTAATAACACATAAAGGTAATACAAAAAGACTGCTATCACACTGACGTCAGCATTTTTCTGACTGGTTCTGACCAGGACCCAGTTTTCAGATAGATACCTCTAAATAACGCCTTTTCGCACAAGAAACACGTGCGAATAAATACAATCATAGCCAAAATACCGATCAATACAACATGGATGTCGATAATCCGTCATAAGTGCAATCATTCGTTATTGAAATAATTAATGGATGTTTTTGATGTCTCAGTTTTTAACCTTGTGCTTTGATGATGAGAGGAGTACAGGCTATGATTAATCAGACAGAATAAACATGTATAATTATTGTATATACCGTCAGTATCTTTGTGCCGACGCGATTTTAAATTTTAACTCACTCATTCACTCATTGTGTTGAAAGCCTTCAGCAATGTAACCTATTAAATCGGGTTGCTGGAACACGTTCTTTAGTAAACAAATATATATTTGATAGGTGTATTAAACTACAAATGCCATAATGCATACCTTCGCTAAAATCATCCGGACTAATATTACACCCATCGAACTTCAGAAGGTCAATACCCCACTCGGCAAATGTCTGTGCGTCCATCTCATAGTGACCTTGACTTCCGGGGTACTTTGCGCATGTCATTGACCCCACGTCCTCATAGATGCCAATCTTCAGACCTTTGGAGTGGATCTGAAACAAGGCCCAACAACACTTGCAAAATAAGGAAGGAACAGATTGTTGTCTTCTTTAAATGTTGCTTAATTTGTTTGGTTTACTCTGCAAAATCAGAAATTCAAAAACTTAGTGAGTGAGTATTCCCGTCTTTTCCTGACAAACCTGTGATCGATAGTATAAGGACAATGACACAAAATCAAATAAGTCACAAAGACTGAGCAACTATGCTCTTTGTTCGTGGGCGGTGGGGTAGCCTAATGGTTAAAGCGTTCGCTCGTCACGCTGAAGACCCGGGTTCGATTCTCCACATGGGTACAATGTGTGAAGCCCATTCCTGGCGTCCCCCGCCGTGATATTTGCTGGAATATTGCTAAAAGCGGTGTTAAACCATACTCACTCACTCAATCACTCTTTGTTCGTCTCTCACGGTAACTCTTTAAGGTAACGAGAAATCATCCTAAGAACTTACGGTAAAAGTTTCAGGTTATTTAATGGTGTGTGAGCTTAATGATGATTGTGTTGATCGAACAGATGTAGAGTGTCGTAATCGGGGTTAAAACCATGACAAAACATGAGTTCACATAATTTATGTTCAACCACATTTTCTTATCTGTCCACAAACTGATCACCTACATAGTCCGCCAACGCCTTCATGCCGTGCGGGAATCTATCCGGGTCGGGCTGCAGGCGGCCATTAATGTCACGTGACTTGGACAGCCAGCAGTCATCAATACACACATACTGGTAACCCGCTTCTTTGTATCCCTCCGCCGCTATGATGTCCGCCATCCTCATGTAGAGATTCTCACTGAAATAGTGCAGCAGAGAAATGTAAAGTTTTCACACATGGCGTTTTTTTCAGTTAATCAGTTAATAATTGTTATTAATCAGAGATTAAAGCCCAAACCGAAACATGAGTCTCATTAATCTATTCAGACAATGACCTACTTTTCAGCCGATCCGAACTTTCTCGTGTGAAAGTGAAAAGCGACACCACTAACAACTATGGTTACAGTGAATTCTAATTCCTTGCTTCATGTAAATGGTATTTACAAGTTCATTTTAATTTCAAACTTTAATAACATCGTATTTCTATATTTTATGGCGAGGTTTAGGCAGCATGACCTTAACTTAGACGTCACAGACTGCCCCTGTTTGATGAGGTCGTAAAATGATTCACAATTCATCTGGCTCACTGGTTACACCTGTTATGTGTTCTTTGCGCCTATTCAGTGTAGTTCTGTAACGCACAATGTGGTTGATATAATATCAAGTCCGTACCAGACCGCCAAACTTTTTCTAGCGGCCGAGCCTCGTTTTGAGATTTCCAGATTTCCGTTTGTCAGAGCACGCTGTACGACAGAGCACGCTGCACGACGTGTTTGCAAGGATTGGATGGCACGTAGTGTTGCAATATACAAGTGCTTAGATGTATCAAATAATACTGATTAATATTTTTTTTATCCAGCTGAATGAATTGATCTCAAAATTCTGGACTGGTTATTGTACAAAGGTGCGCAATAGGACGGAACCCAGTCAGCAGGAAACGAGATTGTTGTGTAATCAATGTTTTGACTTGGTCGGCAATCACACTGAATAATAACCTACGAATGATCTGAGTTTTGCATGAAGGCATTGTATTGCTGAAGGAGTCATCGACATGGGTACTACTGATACATACCCTAGTTAAGTTCCAGTATAGGACAATATACCCTAGCAAAATATAAAATTCAGAAAGTACGGTGGACGAGTCATGTTCCTACAACCGAAACCGAAACCAGTTCGGTATCATTTTGTCTCAAACGGCTTGTAGTTCATGTTGTAGTTCCGGTTCTACTGATTACGAGTGCATAGTGGTACACTTAGTACATCACACATATTAAACCGAACTTCACTGAATATAGTCGTATTTCATATCTAATATATATATATAATAGGAAATATTTCCTAAATACACAAAAGTATTTCACAACATACCTGATACAGTTATCTGGGTCATGTTGACAGTCAGTGTTGCATCTAAAACGTTCCCATGACAACCAACCCATCGGCGGTGTGCGTGCGAGACCATTGTCAAGGGCAACGACAGCAACGGTACCGACGGCCAGGAGCAGCAGCAACGTCGACGGCTCCATGCCGGTATTTGGCTTGATACTTTGACGTCTACAACATAATCAGTAGGTATACATACACTGTACTGAGCACTGCTTTAAATAGAAGTTGTCAGTTGTTCCTACTTCCGTCTCTCATGTGCATTTTCTGTTTGGAAGGAGAACGTCGGGTTAGATTACAAAACATCACAAAAACTGGCACATTTAACCCTATAATTTATACGGGCGGTACACTAAATATATCTGCGTCATATTTCAATAAACAGAGCAGCATTCGAGCATTTTGGCCTTTAGACATTCATTTCTACTGAAATTATAACAATTACTGACAGACAGCTACTACATCCATCACTTGTGCGTTGATGTGTACTTAACGGCACTATAACACACCACACTTCTCTAAAAATAATAATGCATTTTTCTCTCAATTATATTATCATACCCCATGGAAACTAACATATAGTTTATTAAAAAAAACATTACGTATTTAGATCACAATATTAAATTAAAAAGTTCGAATGAATTAATGCAACCTGCATTAAATCGACTCCCGCGCCCTCTACCGACCAAACATCATTTCAAGCAAACCCCATAGAGTTATGTCCCTTGGAGCGCTCTTTACGAATATCCTACGCACAACTTGTGATTGGAACCATTCGGCAAACACCGACAACATCGCTAAAGTAAGTCTATTATTGCATCAATAGGAAGCTCAAAGTGAGTGCATATGCTCCGGAATATATAATGTAGGCCAAATTATTGTCCAAAATGTGCGACATTGTGCATTATCACGACAGTGGAGACCAGAAACAGGCTTCACGTTATATCAGTGTGGGGAATCAAACCCCGGGTCTTCGGCAAGACGAGCGAACGCTTTAACCACTTGGCTACTCAACCGCGTCAAACGTATAAAAAAACGTACGCACTTGCTGGCTGTGACAAAAAGCAACTTGTTCAATAAGTGTAAAGGCGTATGTAATACACCTTTTCCACTTGTATCTAAAAAACTTGCTGTGCGTAAAAGACATTGTTTCAACTGACAGTATTCATTTCGGTAGGGCGGATCTTTGTCATAGGCCTATCAATGACAAGAGCCATTTAACATGGGAAACAGAACCAGTACAGAGACGGTTATATATCACAAAATCTGAAACATTCAGTATTGCATCCCCTGCCTGGCTGATGCGGCTTAGGCCTACTGAAGTATTTTAATCGGCGGTCGATGTTAACTGGGGTTTAAGAATCGGAGTTGCGTCCCTTAGTACATCGTCTGCTCACGTTTTCCCGTAATACTATCTCCCAAACAAGGTAAAATGTATTGCATTCACATGAATAAATTATAATTTAAAATTTGAATGTATGGCACAAGACGAAATGTTATCTGGCAGTTTTCGTATCATACCCTACATCAACCCGAGACCACATGAGCCCTCTGGTCTTCGGGCGGATTCGGACGGATCATGCTACGGACACTTCCGTATACTACCCTGAAACTGTGACACCTCAACAACAACAAATACATGAACAATAACAAATGATAATATGATCATAATAGTGAGACATCTTAGTATAGCTTAATCTCTCCACTGTTTCTTTGTCCGATCTACATGAGCAGGTCATGCGGAAGAAGCACTACATGGCGGTTTTTTATGTAGGTCAAAACTACATCCGCTGTGTACACAGAAACACTATAATTATATATGAACGGGGATTTCGTGGCTGCTGGATCGGTGGCAGACGACAGCAAAACACTAACTACTCACCTGAACATGAACTATACACCGTCGAAACTTAAAATATAGTGTAAGGTAATACATCGTGACCTCTCCAGCATAGAGATACCATATTAACTCGATCCTTTTGTTTACAATGAAATCATACACGAAGGTCGGCTGATTCAGTGGGTGGGAGTGACAGCAGACGACAATGAACTCACTACAAAGAATATTGAATGTATCACTACATTAATCTAGCCGTCAAAATCCAATACATTTATTAAACGTGACGTATCATCAGTGTATGATTGCAGCTTGTGCTCTTCGTGTGCACTGATGCAGCATATGAAAGAAGGTTATCGAGGAAGGAGCGAGGTCCAGCGACAGTGAACGAACTCCATATTGTTCGACGAACCATTTAAACATACATCGCGGTACATCTTACAAAACAAATCAACGACATTCCATTCTGAGCAAGATGTAGGCCTAAAAATACGTTAATTGCTACTACCATCTTCAGCAACTATTTGGTACACACACTTTAGAATAAAATATAACCCGATGTATTGTCAGTAAATTCTGTAACACGCTTTTTGTAATTACACATCGTGGAAAATCTCACAATAATCCTGGCAATATTCTCGGCCCCACCTGGTACGTCCGATCCGGTTGAGTTAATGTCGCTTCCCGTCACATGATTTGATGAATAACACTCCGTGTGTGTTAATACAAAAAGTCATGTCAGAGATACAGATATGTAGTGATTTCTCTAAAATGTACATGTACCTGTTGTGTAAAATACTGATTCAGAGATGTCGCTGTCCACCCGATGTACCGCGTTGAAAGGAAACAAGGTTGGGGAGCTCGTCGGTGTTTACTACGATGCGTTTTGGCGATTCGTTTGCGTGTTTCCAACAACTGGGTTTCAATATGTATATCAAATTTTAGAAACCTACTGTTTTAGTTGTTTGTGGTCTTTGACGTCAGGAAAAATGAAACGTAGTTTATATTCAGGAAATGCATGCATGTATGTGCATGCGCACATATAATCTTACTGCAGAATTTACAAATACAATTTTAATATCAGGGGAATGGACTGGGTATGGGGTAATATGAAGTCCCAGTTACTTTGTTCATTGAACACAACTCTGTATTCCGATTACTTACTTATGTTGTTTCTGCATACCCTGGACCAGTCAAATGATGCATCAGGGAGTGTAGGGGTTGTGTTTGGGGAAAATCATCGTGGTGATGGGGTTCTAGATAACGCTGACCCCCAATAACTTCTTACCCTTGATACTTACTCTCTATAGACCCGTGAAGATCCGGGGTGGAATAGGTCTTCAGCAACCCATGCTTGCCACAAAAGGCGACTATGCTTGTCGTAAGAGGTGATCGGTGGTCAGGCTCGCTGACTTTGTCGACACATGTCATCGGTTCCCAATTGCGCAGATCGATGCTCATGCTGTTGATCATTGGATTGTCTGGTCTAGACTCGATTATTTACAGACCGCCGCCATATAGCTGAAATATAGCTGAGTGCGGCGTAAAACTAAACTCACCCACTTACTCTCTATAGTGAGTGAGTTTGGTTTTACGCCACTTTTAGCAATATTCAAGCACTTTCACGGCTTCGCACATCCATCCCATGTGGGGAATCGAACCCGGGTCTATGGCGTGACGAGCGAACGCTTTAACCACTAGGCTACCCCAACACCCCCTTACTCTCTATAACATGAAATGGAGCTGGGTCCTTCTTCGGGTACCTTTGATACTTACTCCTCATTAACATAAACTATTGCCTCAAAACCATTCCCTGTCAAATGGTCAATTGGGGCGGCGAGGTAGCCTAGTGGTTAAAGCGTTCTGTAGTCACGCCGAAGACCCGTGTTCGATTCCCCACATGGGTACAATGTGTGAAGCCAAGTTCTGGTGTTCCCAGCCGTGATATTACTAAAAGCGTCGTAAAACTCACTCAAATGGTCAATTATTGAAGCGTATTACTGCCACAGTCTAAAACAATTAAATCATCTACGGAGGCGACACTTTCATCAGCGTAGATGAAACTTTAATCTACGTTGAATATAAGAACCATTAGACAGTGGCACAACCACGCTACCATAGTCCATTCCATGATTTTCACTGTTAATGACCGTTATTTCATATAAACAATATATGTACGAGGGTTTTAGGAATGTATATAGTTGTAGGACAAATATTTCATAATCATGTTCTGTTCAAAATAGTAGAGTACATGTGATATCACCAACACAACAGACCAGAAACTTGAATATTACATTTTCAAACATTTTATTACAAAAATATTTCATACATAAGCGCAACGATTCGGCATGTCGTCGTTCATGTCGAGAAATCATCAAAATGATGAGCGTGCTACACACTTTCTATACAACTAACTGAAAATCGTTCCTCATATGACGTCACTGCAGTGCTCTGGCGACAGAGTTACGTAACCTGTCTGTGGTTTCGTTGGCGGGCAAGAGGGAAGCAGGCGACTTTTTGGCCACTTTTAATCGCTCGGTATTAATTAACCACAAGTTTTTAAAGAATAAATTTGGTGTTCCGCATAAGACTAACCACAAATCTTTCATATGTAATGGTTAAAAGAGTAACAAAAAACAAAGTTTAGTGGTTCTTTAATCTACATTGAATATAAGAAACATTAGACAGTAGCACAACCACGCTACCGTAGTCAATTCCATGATTTTCACTGTTAATGTCCATACGTTATGTCATATAAACAATATATGTACGAGAGTTTTAGTAATGTATATAGTTGTAGGACAGATATTTCATAACCATGTTCTGTTCAAAATGGTAGAGTACATGTGATATCACCAACAGAACAGACCAGAAACTTGAATATTACATTTTCAAACATTTTATTACAAAAATATTTCATACATAAGCGCAATACAAGTTCATCCATATACATTTGTACTTACACCAAGGAACAATTGACTTTTTTCAAGCTACTATTCTCCATATCCACGAGTGTTTGGCTGTGCCCAGTGATGCTGATATATATACAACATCAACACAGGTCAGTCTTTGATTATTTATACGTTCTGGTTATCACATGTGAAGTATATTGGAATTAAGTTTGAAATTAAACCATCATTACCGAGCTTGATAATACGAACTCAAAGTAAGTAAACGACCATGACATTGTACTCTTAACACAAAATTAAAAACAATTAAATACAACTCGGGATGTACACTCCCCAGGGAGTTGAGAATGCAATTTGAAATGTAAAAGTATTCTCAAAATGCCTTCTATGACAGGGGCATACTAGTGTGGAGACTTTAATTGCAGAAAGTTACACAAAACATATCACTTGTTTACCGGGAAAAAATATCCCTAAAAGATTATCTAGAGGACTTCATATATGAATGAAAACATAAATCCATGTAAAATACATATGAGTTTGTTGTGGAATTGTCGGATAACGCATGAAACCCGTTTGAAATCGAAGTCATGTCATACGATAAGTCCACAGGCTGCTCGAGACCAATATCATGACCAATATCCAAATATATTAATCACTATCCTTAACATGACCAAATCGCCAATGAAACGTATGTTTCGTATGAAAAGCCTACCGCGATATACCTACCTACCTGTTGGCCATTTATTAACAGCCGAGTCTCGAACAGTTGTAATTGATGAGCAAGACACGTAAGTGAATATACTCTTTCGAATTTAACTTGACATGTATCACCGATCTATGTATATGCTCACTAACACCGAGTTACATTACAGGTATTTATACAATGACTTGTAATCTTTGAGCAGTTGTCAGTTCATAAGGCCTTTTATTTGCATACTTGCTTATCAAGAACGAAATCAATTGATGTTCCAAGTTATCGAGTTGTAAAAAACAGTTTGGGTCAATTTGATGTTTTGTTTAGCCTAGGGGGTTCAAAAGTACGCTCGTCACGCCGAAGTTCCGGGTTCGATTCCCCACATTGGTACAATGTGTGAAGCCCATTATCCGCCGTGATATTGCTGGAATAGAGCTGAAAGCGGCGTAAAACTAAACTCACTTACTCACTCCTATGAACGGTTACATTGGGGTAAAAAAATCATAGATGTTGCGATACCTTTTTCCATGTGTATATTTCACTGTCCTAAGTCATGTCATACAAGTATCTCGCTAAGTGCACAGCTCAAACTTTTATAGTCTGCTGTTGCGTTAACCGATCGATTTTACCTGCTATATCATTGTAAAGCATAGTACCTAAAGCGGTACCACCATTTCAATATTGACACGTCTTTTAACTTAGCAATAGTTTGATAGGCATCCAAGAAGTTAATAAATGAATAGCAAAGGTTACAACTTTATGGATAGGTTGTCCCTCAAGTTATAATCTGTGTAACTTAACGTTGCAAGCGTTTTCTCAAAATCTATCGCTTGAAACCGTCAGTCATATTTGTTAATTCTCGAAGTGATGTCGGGGAACAGTTCCACGAAGCGATCTCAACCTGAAGTCTACGTTACTGTTATGGAGTTACGGTCACCTTAGCACTGAGATCGTTTTGTGGAACGGGCCCATGTCCAGATATAGATTCCTTGCAAACATATCCAAGACTTTATTATAGGTCAGCCAATCATGCTGGAGTTATTGTCACCATGGCAACACCTGTAGGATTTACACGGACGCTCAGGCCCTGCGAGAGACTCAGCCTCGCCACTTTATCCCCAGTGAAGGTATCTGTTACGAGGTAGTATAACGATGGCCCCGAGTCGACCAGCTTGGACACGGGGATTGTCACGTTAGTGGGACCACCACCTTGGGCGGGGTTGAACATCGTGACGGCGGTGCTACCCTTGGGCAAAATGGGTCGTGTCCAAACAGAAATCTGACCAACCTGGTACCGAAAAAATGAAATATTCAAATCTCCAAAGCAGACCACAGTTCTATGCTTTTGACAACAATAAAATATTCACATCTCTCAAAACGACATGTTTTATGCTTTTGATAAAAGAATAACTTCAGTCCAATATGCCAAATCAAATCTATTCTTAGCAAATAATACAATATTTTTACTTTTATTACCCTTTTTCCAATTTCACCAACGTAATTCGGAAAAAATCTAAGAAGACCACAGATTAATGTGTTTGATATGGCTAAGTAGTTGAAACGTTACCATGCCAACAAAAGGCCATTAATATTTTATTTCTTTTCTTCTTTTTTTGTGATCATAGAGACATCAGAAAAGCCTTCAAACTCTTTTCAAACAAGAAATTCACACCAGTGCATCAACTTTCATTCATCAACAATGTGTCTATTTCATGTTTCCATCCACGAATTTTAAAGGAAGTACAAAACAATCTTACCATCATGCGAACGGTGCCCGGGACCCCAAGCGGGTCCTGGCTGACAGCAATCACTCCTTTGTTTAGAAGGAGGCTTTTAGACTCCGGCCGGATGTTACGTAGGTCTACTGACACAAACAGTGGCGCCGCCCACATCGACCACAGCGCCATCTGTGTTCGTTCCTGGTCACGACTGAGTGAGAAGTCCCCAATCACCATCTACAGAAACAGAAACAGTTCTAGTAAATTCATCCTCCTGGTTTGAACCATTACTTACTTACTTCCGGTCCAAGTTCCAATTTTAGAATTACCGGTTTATGATTTGCTGTCGGCTTCTTGTCTTGATGACATGTTTTTGACTAAATGGAGGATGGGATTCATGGATGACCCAGGAAGGTTGTTGGGGTTTATACCAAGGCTGAATCACCATGGGTCTCTTCCTACCTCATCCGGGTCATTCCAGCCACCGGGTCCGGCTATCTTGCTGAAGTTGCCGATGTCTTTGGCGTAGAAGTTGATGACGCTGGCGATACTGTCCCACTGGTCGTTGATATCGTCGTAATTCCTACAGGTATTGCACACCTCCAGGACTGCAGTGTAATCGGCCTGCAGAAGACAGCTGGTGATCATGATGATGGTAATGATAATTGTGATCATGGCATTCAACATTTTGTTGAGGTTGCAATGGTATGTCATGAAAAAAGGCCCTGTGAATTATTATTATTAATAATAGATAGTTGACCGCCTCCATGGTGTAGTGGTTAGAGCGTCCGCCCGGAGAGCGGAAGGTCGCGGGTTAGATCCCCGACCGCGTCATACCAAAAGACGTTAAAATATGGTACTTGTTGGTCCCTGCCTGGCGCTCGGCATTAATGGGTACACCAAGGACTGGTCGGCTCGGAGTAAGTATAATGTGTCTGAGTGGGGTATTCATGCTTCACTGCGGCATGGTATCTCAGTCGGCTAGCACTATAAAACCAGCTTAAATCTGGGCTAGTACAAGCAGCCGCACATACCCATACACACGCATGCACGTCGTCATATGAGCGAAATATTCTCAAGCACGACGTTAAACCCAATTTCACCTCACCTCACCTCACCTCAATAATAGATATTTGATTGTCCATTGTCAACTAGAACGTGTATCAGGTGTAGCAAGGTTTATTCATTATTGTTCATTATTGTTCGTTGAGATATTGAAAGTGTACTGTTTCTAAAGTGATGTAAAGTTCATGTCTGGAACTATATGATACGGGAGTGATACATTTACGGCAGTGGTTGTCATTCTGGAAGAGTAAGCGAGTGAGTTCAGTTTTACGCCCTTTTTTAAGCAATATTCCAGCAATATCACGACAGGGGACACCTGACAGGGGACACCCGAAATGGGCTTCACGCATTGTACCCACGTGGGGAATCGAACCCGGGTCTTCGGGTCTGACAAGCGAACGATTTAACTACTAGGCTACCCCACCGCTCCCCATTCTGAAAGAAGTTATGGAGGTAGTGTTGTTGGTGGTGGTGGTAATGCTGTTGATGATATAGTAGTAGTAGTAGTAGTAGCAGCAGTAGCAGAGCAGTAGCAGTAGCAGTAGCAGTAGAAGTAGTAGTAGTAGTAGTAGTAGTAGTGATGTCTCACCGCACGATGGTGCAGTATATCCCCAATGGCCCATTCACAAGAGTACAAGATCGGCCGGCCTGTCCTGTTCAGGAAAAAACCCATGTCACGGTAACCTAAAAAACAGCAATAAAATAATAATACTAAAAGTCTAACATGACACTGACGATAGCTTGATTCTGATTAGTTCCAACTAGGTTTCCGTTTTCTGATCGATACCTCTTAATAAATCATTTTCATATAAACAATACAATACATTCAAAGAAAAATCAATAATACATGGATGTTGAAGACCATCGGACCTGCATTCATTCGTAATCGATGGCTCATACATACATGCATACTAACATTTGTATAGCGCCGATATCCAGCTCAGCTCAGCTGCTCAAAGGCGCTTTGTTTTTTCCCTCGTTCACTGGATGTCAATCTCAACGGCTCATCGTATTGTCAATCTCAACTCCCTGGGGATCATACAACTCTTGCAGCCACTAGGCGCACCGAGTTATTGTGGCATTCCCATCCTTACGAGGTACCCATTCACAGCTGGGTGGACTGGGACACATAGTCACAGTACCCGCAACTGGGTGTTTGCACGTATTCATGTGGCCACCATCTGGTCATATACCAACGGATTCGTGGGTTCTTTTAAGTGCACAGGGTTGTGTACTGTACACTAGGGGTTGTGACAACACTGAAAGAGTCTGCACACAAAGTTGACTCCAAGGTTTTTACACCCGGTCACAGGTGGGCTCGATCCCGATCCCGTCACCTCAACCTCGCTGGATCACTAGCCTGGCGCTTTAGCCAGTTCGCCCCTACGCACCCCCAGTCCTTAACCGTGTGCTTTGATGATGAGATGAGCACATACTATGATTGTTTGGTTGGTTTGTAGTTTAACGTAGCACCCATTAACATTTCAGCTATATAACGGCGGCCTGTAAATACAGACAATCCAGTGGTCAACAGCATGAGCATCGATCTACGCAATTGAAAGCTGATGATATGTGTCAAAGTCAGTGAGTCCGACCATCCTATCCTGATAGTCACCTCTTACGACAAGACCAATTCTAACCCGGATCTTCATGAGTCCAAAGGCCTCTGATTAATCCAACAGAATAAACATGAAAGTGTATTGCATAGACCGTCAATATCTCTGTGTTCAACACCTTCAGCAAGGCACCCTATAAACGGGGTTGCCGGAACAAGATTCTTCTTTAGTAAATAAATATATATTTGGCAGGTGTATTAAACTACAATTGCCATGATGCATACCTTCGCTAAAAGCATCCGGACTAATATTGCACCCATCGAACTTCAGGAGGTCAATACCCCACTCGGCAAATGTCTGTGCGTCCATCTCATAGTGACCTTGACTTCCGGGGTACTTTGCGCATGTCATTAACCCCACGTCCTCATAGATGCCAATCTTCAGACCTTTGGAGTGGATCTGAAATATGGCCCAACAACACTAGTTCAATTTGTTTGGTTTACTCTGCAATAATAGAAATTCAACAATTTAGTCAGAGCGGGCATTCCAGTCTTGGCCTGACAAATCAGTGATCGATAATAGATGCACGATGCACGGCCAGAGCACGTTGACACGAAATCAACCAAGACACCAAGGCTGAACACCCGATGCCCTTCGTTCGCCATATTCCAGCATGGTAACAAGAAATCATCCAAAAATCAGGCGGTAATGATAGCAGGTTATTATGGCGTGTTAGCTTAATGATGCTTGTGTGCAGGGATGGTACTGGCAGATTCATCGGAGATATAGAATATTGGGTTTAATTCCATACACTATACAACCTCGGTCAAGTCTACCATGTCCGCACATCACAAAGACAAGCATGTTTTTCAAAATCCTGGCTCCACCTCTTTGACTGCAAGTGGCACAGATCCTAGACGTTCAGTAAACACAAGTAAAGTCCGCGAACTAAGGATCTAATCGGCTCAGTTTGGTTTTAACTGACATTCAACACTTCACCCAATATATATTCAGCCATAATGTTCTTATATGTCCATAAACTGACCACCTACATAGTCCGCCAATGCCTTCATGCCGTGCGGGAATCTATCCGGGTCGGGCTGCAGGCGGCCATTACTGTCACGTGACTTCGACAGCCAACAGTCATCAATACACACATACTGGTAACCCGCCTCTTTGTATCCCTCCGCCGCTATGATGTCCGCCATCCTCATGTAGAGATTCTCACTGAAATAGTGCAGCAGAGAAATGTAAACCTTTCACGCATGACGTTATTTCAATTGATCAGTTCCACGTTTTAAGAGATTAAAGTCAGTCGGAATAATATTTCCATAAGCTCAACGATGAATAATAACCTACGTATGACCTCACTCTTTTGCATGAAGGCATAGTATCGCTGAAAGTGTCCTGCGTACTACAGATACGTACCCTTGAAAGGCTCCTGTATAGGAAAAGGTACCCAAATACAAAAATACAGAAATGTTCCTCCTGCCGAAACCAGTTTATGTAGTTTCGGTTCTACTGTTTATGAGTACATGGAGGTAAACGATGTGCATAGCAAATAAACCGAACCTCACTGAATATGATCGTATTTCATACATGAAATACTTCCTAAATACACAAAAGTATTTCACAACATACCTGATACAGTTATCTGGGTCATGTTGACAGTCAGTGTTGCATCTAAAACGTTCCCATGACAACCAACCCATCGGCGGTGTGCGCGCGAGACCATTGTCAAGGGCAACGACAGCAACGGTACCGACAGCTAAAAGCAGCAGCAACGTCGACGGCTCCATGCCGGTATTTGGTTTACCACCTTGACGTCTACAACTGAATCAATAGGTATACAGACGGTCTGCAGAATACTGCTTTATAAGGAAGTCGTTAACAGTAACTTCCGTCTCCCATGTGCATTGAGTTTCTGTTTCACTGGAGAAAATCTGGTTAGATTAGAAAATATCACAATAATTGACATATTTAACCCCATAATTTATACGGAAGGTGCACGTCATATATTTTGTCATCCATATTTCAATTACCAGGGCACAGCTGGTGCATTGTATCCTTCAGACGCATATTCTACTTTCTGAAATGATAACACTTAGCGTCTGTCATTCACTTCATCCATCCTATCAATAGCAAGATACATTTAACAAGAACAACAGAGCCAATACAGAGACGGTTATGTTAGAGAATATGTAACAATCATCATTAGTGGTGGTCCGATTAATTGAAATAATCGAAGATTGGTCGTAGTGACTAAACGACCAAGCAATCGATCATAATTTCTCATAATCGAACACAGACAATTGTGGAACACTTGTTTTCATTAACAATATTTTTCACATGGTTGGTTTTGTCTGTTACAATTTGTAAGCACTACAAGCTCGTTTCCTGTCATGATTTAATTTATCTTAAAGATTCCAAGAAATTGATGTTCCTAACATACTAGTCATCCTTTAAAGATGTGAAATTTTGCCCAAAAAAGCAAGAAAAACTACATTTTTTCCCCTCATTTTAATGTGCATTAACAAATTTCATAAATGACGCTAACCAATTATTTTCGATGATTGATCGGTAGTAATGAACCAATCATCAATTATGAGATTTTAACCAATTCCCAACACTAATCATCATGCTGTTCATCACTGGATTGTCTGGTCCAGATTCGATTATTTACAGCCCGCCGCCATGTAGCTGGAAAATTGCAGATTGCAGCGTAAAACTAAACTCACTCACTGGAACAGTCAGACCTGTATTGCATCCCCTGACGGGCTGATTGAAGCATTGTTATTGGGCGGTCGAGGTCAACCCGGAGAGTAAGAATTGGAGTTACGTCCCTTCCAAACACAATGAAAATATATTGCGCTCGCATGAATGAATACAATTTAACATTTGAAATTCTGGTACAAGCTGAAAATGTTATTATATCATACCCCACATCAACCGGAGACCATATCAGGCCCCTAGCTGGTCTTCGGCCCTCGGGTGGATTCGGGGACAGGGGTTGATAAGGATTATGCTATGGACACTAAACTCGATACTTTTGTTTACACTGAAATCATACACGAAGATCGGCTGATTCAGTGAATGGGAGTGACAGCAGACGACAATGAAGTTACTGCAAATGGATATTGAATCACTACATTAACGAACTCCATTTGCAACCTGTTCCCCCAACCATAAAAGGAAACATCGCTATATACATCTTACAAAACAAATCAATAACAATCCATCCTGAGCGAGATGTATATGTCGAACAGATATGCAGCAACTACCTTTTCAGCAACCATTAGGTACATATACCTCAGGAGATCATAATATCCTATGTACTGTTAATAAAACTAGATTCTGTAACACGCTTATTAACACATCACGGAAAATCTCACGCAGACACACCACACTCCAGGTAATTCTCGGCCCCACCCGGAAACTCCAATCCGGTCGAGTCAATGTCGATTCGAGTCACATGATTTGGTGAATAACACTTCGTGTGTGTTATTACATGTCAGACATACCGAGATATGTAGTGATTTCTCTATAATGTACATGTACCTGTTGTCTGAAACACAGATTCGAAGATATCGCTGTCCACCCGATGTACCGCGTTGAAAGGAAACAGTGTTGTTCAGCGCGTCGGTGTTTACCGGGCTGCGTTTTGGCGATTCGTTTGCGTTTCCAACAACTGGTTTTAATATAAGTATAAAATCTTCGAATCAAATATGAATGCTTGATCGAATATTTTCCTTTGAACCACGAGGAAGCGTGGATGACCTATACTTTGAGGAGTTATCTGTGTATGACCTGTATAATGATTAGGTGTATCCATCACAAGTCTTTACCTTTAAATCAAGTGTATGATACCAAGTAATCTAATTGTTTGTTGTGAATGCTTAACGAAGGAAAGATCGTGTTCACGGTGTAAAACATGAAACACGGTTTATATTGCGGAAACACAATGTCATACACGCGTGCGCCCATATAATTTTAGAAATTACATTTAAGACGTTTAATATCACGCTGAAATATGGTGTAAATGCCTAATATGGGGTAATAGACAATCCCAATTACTTTGCTTCATTCGGACACAACTCTGTTTTCCTATTACTTATATTGTTTATGTATATCCCTGGACCAGCCCAGTGATGACTCAGGGGTGTAGGGGTTGGTTGGGGAGCCTGGGCGTGATGTATATCCCTGGACCAGCCCAGTGATGACTCAAGGGGTGTAGGGGTTGTGGTTGGGGAGCCTGGGCGTGATGATGGGGTTTTAGATTATGCTGAACCCCAATAACTTCCTTATGTTGAAATAATCGTACAGATTACAAAATGGAGCTGGGTCCCTCTTCATGTACCCCTTTCTCTTCATAAACATGTAATATTTCCTCAAAACATTCCCTGGTAAACGTTAAATTATGGAAGAGTAAGTGTCACAGTCTAAAACAAATTAATATTCTTCATTTACGATGGTGTAAGTATCATCTGACCCGTGAAGATCCGGGTTAGAATTGATCTTCAGTAACCCATGCTTGTCGGAAGAGGCGAAAAACGGGATCGGGTGGTCAGGCTCGCTGACATGGTTGACACATGTTACCGTATCCCAATTGCGTAGATCGATGCTCATGATGTTGATCACTGGATTGTCTGGTCCAGACTCGATTATTTACAGACCGCCACCATGTCGCTGGAATATTGCGTCAAAGCTAGCTATTTTTCGAAACGTTCGAAGCCCTACGAACTTCTTAAGCCCATTCTTAACAAATTGGCCACGATCAAAGTTAAGAATTCTTTGGGCTACGAACGTTTCGAGAATATGGGCCCAATTTACTGATGCCCTATACTTTCGCTTTGTCAAGTAATCGTCCGGACAGTGAGGTTTCCGGATAGACAGAGTCAGAACTTACAAGGTGTCGTGGGGCGGTGGGGTACCCTAGTAGTTAAAGCGTTTGCTAGTCACGCCGAACACCCGGGTTCGATTCCCCACATGTCCTCCGCCGTGATATTGCTGGAATATTGCTAAAAGCTGAAACTAGACTCACTCACTCACTACAAGGTGTCGCTGTTCGCAAAATGGCCATAGACTGCTATGGAGACAAGAACTAGAGAGTAGGCACTCTTCTGGACATGTACACACGAGAGCCACAGTCGTGTACTTACAATGGATGAGCATATGAAAAGATACAGTCTGTGTAAGATGTACGTTGCATGTAACCATAACCTGTCATACAAATATGCATCAAATACCCCCTCCCCTCCGTCTCAATAGGGGTGGTGGGGTAGCCTAGTGGTTAAAACGTTCGCTCGTCACTCCGAAGACCCGAGTTCGATTCCCCTTTTCTGGTGTATCCCGTCGTGATATTGCTGGAATATTGCTAAAAGTGGCGTAAAGCCATACTCACTCCGTCTCATATGGAAATATATACGACTACACGAAATGGCATCTCTCATACATTATATACAGCGAACGTCTGTAAAAAACACAAACACGGAACATTTATTGTAAAGAAATATGTATTGTAAAAAATAACAGTTGGTTATAGAAATATAAACAGGTTAACATGAAAATACAAAACCAAATATTGGCATCAAGTGGTTAGAACTATGACATTGTCATCAGAATAATTAATAAGATTGTAATTATTAAATGCATAAGCAGTGGTGATGGAAATGATATTTTAAGAAATGTTCTTTTCTTCAGGACGCGTTAATTGAAAGAAAGGATGTTTCTAATAGATTCATAATGTAGTTTACAAAACATCGATGTTCCACATAAACATGTGAATAACAGATGCAGTAAATTGCATGATGAAATAGAATTTGAATTTGAATGTTGATATTCAACATTTTGTGTGATAACATTTTAAATACATCCCCCAAAAGACTGAAGCATAACGAGGTGCAATGTTTATGGAAAGCCTCTTCTGGTTTATAAATATATTACAAGGTTTCGTGACTACAGCCAACCAAAAACTCGACGTATTGATATTAGTATGAAACAGGAAAGTAGTTTCCTTATTAAGTGGCTCCTTATGAAAGAATTTAACATACGTGATAAAATTCTGCATTAAATATCATCGAAAGTACTTTAATAACAGATCCAACAAAAATTAATGATTTTAATCAAAAACTAATCTCATTGTTTCGTTTCGTTTCCATTTCAATATTTCACTGTCCCAGCGTGATCACACGCTACCCACTAGTGAAACACAAACAAAGCAAACACTTCCCTGCCACCAGGGCGGTGTCTGAGTATAGATTGCATGAAACAACAGTCAGTGTTTCAATTTAGTTCAGCATCCTTCAGAATACACAAGAAAACACCTTTGTGTCGAAGTCGAAGGGGCCTATGGAAATACTTCGAGTCAAAAAGTTCGACACAGCCGCCAAAGGATGATTAAATAAGGAATATGCGAGGACCAAGCTTTTACTTCGAGACAGGGGCGGTGGGGTAGCCTAGTGGTTAAAGCGTTCGCTCGTTACGCTGAAGACCCGGGCTTCTTCGTCACAATTTTGGACACAATGGTGTTTTACTGTATAACTTAGACAACAAGCCCGAAAAGGGTATTCTTGATGAAGGTTCTCGTTGAGACAAAGTACGGACATTGAGTCATCATTGCATCCTTCGCCCAAGGTAATCAGGCCGGAGTCATTGTCACCATGACAACGCCAGTTGGATTAACCCGCACTGTCAAGTCCTGGTGGTACGTCAGCTTTCCCAGTTTAGACCCTGTGAATGTATCGGTGATGAGGTAATCAAGTGCATTGCCATTAATGAGGCGGTGCACAGGCACCGAGACATTCAGAGGAGCACCACCTGACTGCGAGTTGAACACCACGACGGCAAGGCTCCCCTTTGGGAGGATAGGTCGTGTCCAAACAGAAACCTTACGCATCTGAAATACATAAGAACAAATAGGCGTTAGAGTCACATGTAAAGATTAAAGTGAGTTACAATGTAGTATGGTTTTACGCCGCTTTAAGCAATAATCCAGCAATATCACCAGCGGGAGACACCAGAAATGGGCTTTACACACTGTACCCATATTGGGATCGAACTCGGGTCTTCAGCATGACAAATGGACGCTTTAACCATTAGGCTATCTTACCGCCCCTAAAGGCGACTTGGGCTGTAAACACCAACCTCTTTTATCCTGTGTGATACGTCGATGTTGGATAAGGGCCGTTTGGGGTCATAAGATCTGCACCATTTAAGAAGTGAGAGGAAAATAGAAATTGTTATAAGGGTTGTTTTAATAGTCAGTGTTATACCTTGTGCAACTGTATGCCAACTGTTATATGTTTATTTAAGCTAGAGATTTAATAAGGGACTTTGTGTACTATATTTGGCTTGGGCTATATTTAGACAGAATTCTAGAGGATTCCACCGTTTTCTGACCCACAGAATATTATAGAACGATCTGCCCTAGCGCAGAAGTTTCCAGCAGTGTAACTGTGTATGCTTGTCTATATAAGACGAGCTAACTATTGCATCTCCTCTTCCATCTCTCCTCACGTCTGAAGTTACCAGAATTGAGTGAGTGAGTTTAGTTTTACGCCGCACTCAGCAATATGCCAGCTATATGGCGGCGGTTTGTAAAGTAATCGAGTCTGGACCAGAGTTACCAGAAGACCAGCGTTATATGAGATGGTCATATACCCTGCTTAGTCCAAGTTGTAATTTGGATTACACGTGTTGGTCTACTCCCATTTGTGAGAACTCCCAGTTGTGAGACAGTGAAGTAGGTAATTAACAGGAAAAAACACCTTACTCCCCTATCTGATAGAATGGATTAACCCCAGCTAATTATGGATTAGCTATTTAACTGAATCTTGTGGAGGTAACTTAATAAAACTCTAAAAGATAAAGTAATGAACCTACTCAGATAAATGGCTTTAAAAAATAAACACTTTGTGTAGGTAACTTCGTGATCATTTGAAAGAGAAATTAATTTACCTACTCAGATTTATAATTAGTGACAGCCCTGTTGCTGTCCCTGTTGTAATCAAATGTATTTGATAATCTTTTTCAGTATTTCAGTATCTATTGAAAACAATAAATGCTCTTCAACGAACAATATCTTCTGATTAACTCATTAAGGAACCATGCCTCCTGCGGGTACTCTTCAGCAACAGGGCTGTTCCCACTTTCATCGTAGGGATGGGGAAGCACCACCTGTGTGCACTGAACCATTAATGAATGTGTCTCACAACTGGGAGTTCTCACAAATGGGAGGACACCCTGGTGTTGAGAGGTGAACATTACCAAAACAATACACATACCGTCAGTCTAACAGTACCCGGGATCCCCAACGGGTCCTGGTTGACAGCAATCACTCCTTTGTTCTGAAGGAGGCTTTTGGACTCAGGCCGCATGTTACGTAGGTCTACTGACATGATCAGTGGGGCCGCCCACATCGACCACAGCGCCATCTGTGTTCGTTCCTGGTCAGGACTGAGTGAGAAGTCGCCTATCACAAGCTGGAAACACATGAAAATATAGTGAAACTGCTGCATTGTAGTGATTGAGGGGATTTACGCCGCTTTTAGCAATATTCCAGCAATACCACGGCGGGGGACACCAGAAATGGGCTTCACACATTGTACCCATGTGGGGAATCGAACCCGGGCCTTCATCGTGACGAATGAACGCTTTAACCACTAGGCTACCCTACTGCCCCTGTATTCTACAGGGCCGTAGTTAACTTTTCTTAATAGGGAGGGCACTATCCACGGTAAAAGCGTGTTAGGGCAATGCTTTGATGTACAAAAAATAATCTGTAAAAAAATTCTAGGGGGGCTACCTACGTCCCTGTTCTAGGTGAGAGTGTGTTTCGTTGAACCATGTTTTGAACAGTATTTCAGTTGTGTCTGTTTAATGAGGGAGAGAGCCCGAGGTGATGAAGGTTTCAGACGTTTATCATGTTGTTGAACCCCAGGAAACCCTAGAAACATCATCAGGGTCAACCGGAATATTCGAACCCACGAGCATATACTTCTACCTTACAGGAGCGAATCTGCACTGCTAATAGCTAACTGTATGAGTTACGGATATTTACTTGCGACACCTATACTACAATGCGGGTCAAAACGTCCTTTTTATGGTGCTAAAATAAAAAGAAGAAGAAATGCTTATTCCATGGCGATGTATTTCTTACGGGTATCATTGTTGTGGTTTGGACTCTAAGTTTGCAATGTTTTCAGACGAGCAACGTTTCGGTGGCAGTCACATTTGTTCTTTTTTAGCTATATAAATGTTCCAAGATTTAATTTTTGGTTGACAGTTTAGCATGCAGGTTATACCACATTTTGAGTGAGTGAGTGAGTTTATCAACGCTCTGATCAGCTGTATGAAATATACCAGCTATATGAGACCTGTAAATACGTGTCCGGACCAGCCGGTGTGTAACACCAATGACCCACCCTTTCTGATACGATAGCAGACAATCCACCCTCTTATGAAACAGTGCCTCCACACCTGATTGGTTCTGAGCACCAGCAAATACTGTTACGTACGTATTCTGTACCACAATTCCAAGTGATATACGTTAACAAAGTCATATAATCTTCATTGCATTATTTTTCACCTAACGTCGAAACATCGTTCTTCCTACCTCATCGGGGTCATTCCAGCCCCCGGGCCCGGCTATCTTGCTGAAGTTGCCGCTGTCTTTGGCGTAGTTGTTGACTTTATTGAGGACACTTTTCCACTGATCGGTGATGTCCACGGTGTTCCTGCAGGTGTTGCACACCTCCAAGATTGCCGTGTAATTAGCCTAAAGTGTAAGGCAGAGATTGTATTAAAGTAGATGGCGGCTTTAAACTCTAGAAACTTTCATCGCGTCCAGGTGTTAAACGATCTTTCACCTGCAAATTAAAACTAATGAAACAATCATATGACCGATGTATGACACAAAATAAAGCAGTTGTATGACTTTAAATATTGGAATCTGGACCAGACAATCCAGAACTGGGATAAGATGACATGTGTTAACCGAGTCAGCGGGCCTGACCACCCGATCCCGTTAGTGTCCTCTTACTACAACAATGAGTTGATAAGACCGATTCTTACCTGATGTTGGGGTCAGTAGTAGTAGTAGTAGTAGTAGTAGTAGTAGTAGTTGTAGTAGTAATAGTAGTAGTAGCTGTAGTAGTAGTCAGGCGCATAGCAAGCCAATTTTTCGTGTAAGTCTGATAGGTTGCAAAGCTTTATATTTAGATAGTATTTGAGGTATTTTTGGCAATAATTAGAAAAAAAATAAGCAAAAATCTTTTGTAAGAGTAAGAGGGTAACGGTAGTTGCGGCAGATATGGGGTCTTTGAGATGGTCCGGGTTATGAACCTTCAGTAACCCATGCCTGTCGTAAGAGGTGACTAACGGGATCGGGTGGTCAGGCAAGCTGGTTTGGTTGACACATGTCATCGGTTCCCAATTGCGCAGATCGATGCTCATGCTGTTGATCACTGGATTGTCTGGTGTAGACTCGATTATTTAGACTGCCGCCATATAGCTGGAATATTGCTGAGTGCGGCGTAAAACTAAACTCACTCACTTTGAGATGGTATGTTTTGACAGTCGCCAAGAGGCTTACCTGCCGCCGGTGCATTATCTCCCCTATCGCCCACTCACACGAGTACAGGATGGGTCGACCAGTCTGGTTCAGGTAAAACCCCATTTGACGGTAACCTAGACAACGATATACATCATATAGATTGGGACATTTGTGTCAGTCAGATAACATACCAACTATACACTTACCAATTATACTGATGAACGATAAACATAATTACATGATTGTGCGAATGTTTAAAAGTTCCGGTCATATGATAATAATAATAATAAGTCATCTTCTATAGCGCACAGTCTCCAAACACCAAGTGATTGCTCGCGGCGCTTAATCAGAATCTGATTATTATTACCCCAAAGAACGATTTGATATGCCACGAGTGGTGCTCAAAATGTTGAATTATATATTTTTTACGCGAGTAATTATTAAATATGAGGTTGGAAATCTGGGAGCACAACCCTGTGAGGAAATATGTGTCTTCCTTTAAGGGCATCATTTTTTATGTGTTTCACGTAGCCACCACATTCTGAACATGGGTCGGTCGGGGGAAAAATTATTAAAGTAAAAATTATCGGAATAATGTTCTTGATTCTCATTTATTGTAATTCTTATTACAATTTCTAGCGTTCTTTAGACTTGTGGCAACAACTGATTAAAACAGTCTAGATAGTTAAACAGTTCATATGACGAGGCGGTACGTTTTAGGTTAGAGTCGGCGGTGTTGGAATGAGAGTGAGAGTTGAGGTGTTTGTTGTTGTTTTGTTTTTGTTTTTGTTTTGTTTTGTTGTTGTTCTTTTGGGGGGAGGGTTGTTGTTTTGTTTGTTTGTTTGTTTGTTTGTCTTGTTGTTTTTTACTGTACTTCCAAATGCTTCACACAGATGTTTTCAATCAAAGCCAACAACAACACATACAAACCTTCATCAAAGTCCTCCGGATTAATATTACATGCATCAAACTTCAACAGGTCTATCCCCCACTCAGCGAATGTCTGCGCATCAGTCTGATAGTGACCTCTACTCCCAGGATACCTTGCGCACGTTTCCGCCCCGACATCTTCATAGATGCCGAGCTTTAGACCCTTGGAGTGAACCTGCAGCATGGAATCAGTATCAGGTTGGGGACACCAGAAATGGGCTTCACACATTGTGGCCATGTGGGGAATCGAACCCGGGCCTTCGGCGTGACGAGCCAACGCTTTAACCACTAGACTACCCTACCGCCCCTAGTGAACGAAGAATAAACATTCTGGTTTGATAAATGAATGATGGTATTAATGACTATGCAAAGGTGACTTTAATCAGGTTTCAGTGAAACAAGATAATGTGAAATGCTAAATCATTGCAATTTCCTTTTCCAATGACTGACCAAACTGCCAAACAAAGCGAATGTATACCCTCTATCAAAATCATATATAATGTTTTGGTTTGTTAGTCGTTTAACTGCGCACTCAGCAGTATTCCAGCTATATGGCATTCTCTATATGGCAGAGGTCTGTCATATCTTCCTACGTAATCGAATAACCAACCATATTTCCCGGTTCTCGTACCAAGCAAAAGATCCAACACCCCTTCTTTCTATCCAATCAAACTTAAGTGTGAGTTTTGACTTAAGTTAGAGTTTTTACTCAAAAATGTGAGCAAATGCATTTCCTAGAATAAACTGAAATTGATATTAAACTCAAACATAGCATACAATTTGAGTTTGGTGGATAGATTACTTAAGTTGTTTGGGCTTTTTTATTTTAAAATGCAGTTGAGTTACAAATTCAGCTGTTTCAAATTGTCAAACTCAGTTTGAAATTTGAAAGTAAAAACTTAAGTTTGTTTCGAGAGAATTGGGGCCTGTTCTAGTCTGGACCAAGCTGGATTCTAACCCGGATCTTCACGGGTCTCATATATTTTGACAAAAGGTCATTACCATATGACAGTAGTCTCAAATACTCTTCAAATATTTATGGAACAGGTATCCCTGAGTTGATACTTTGACCTTGATTGTCAGAAAATACGGCCACCTACATAGTCCGCCAATGCCTTCATGCCGTGCGGGAATCTATCCGGGTCGGGCTGCAGGCGGCCATTACTGTCACGTGACTTGGACAGCCAACAGTCATCAATACACACATACTGGTAACCCGCCTCTTTGTATCCCTCCGCCGCTATGATGTCCGCCATCCTCATGTAGAGATTCTCACTGAAATAGTGCAGTAGGTGAACCAATATCTCTACTTGAGCAGGGGTGGATCCTTCATTTATGTCAATGTAGTACTGTGCCTTTTTCTATTGAGATAAGTCGAGTCAGTGTCACCATCACCCAACTCATGAAATGAGACATGGGCACCAACTTTCAGCAGGAAAATGCCACAATCATTTCCAAAATCGCTCACAAAACCAGGAAATCCATCTTTTTGGTGAATAGGTGGATTTGTTTTGTTTCCACCCTGTTGAGATTGTTTAAAGCAGTCACTCAGCAATATATTTGCTATATGACGGCGGTCTGTAAATAATCGAGTCTGGACCAGAATAATCCAGTGATCAACAGCATGAGCATCAATCTGCTCAATTGGGATACGATGGCATGTACCAACCATCTTCAGCGAATAGCCTGGATTTGTTTGGTTTCCCGTTAGTAGCCTCTTACGATAAGCATGGGTTACTATAGATCAATTCTGTAAATCTGAGTCTCAGACTATATGAGGTGTTCAAAAGATGACTGACTGATCTGCTCAGTTGGGATTTTACGCCACTTTTAGCAACCCAGTCAGCAACACACGGCGGGGACAACAGTTATGGCCTCTTACGACAAGCACGGGTTACTGGGGATTCGAACCTGATTCTGGCGTTGAGCCAACGCTTTAACCATTAGTCTATATGAGGTGTTTGAGAAAGAGGATATGTGGGTTTGATTGAGTCAATCTATGTGTTGTTTTTGGAGAGACAATAATATGTTGTTTCGGTGAGTCAGTATACGTGAGTGCGTCAATATTAATTGTTTTGGCACCAGTGATCATTCCATACCGCGCCTTGCGCCATTCGCGCACTAATTTTTAACATGGCGCACTGTACAGATAGGGCGGGTCTTGTCTGCGCATTCATAAATGTCAATCTGAAACTCATCACGAGTTTGGTTTCGCTTGGCAACTCAAGCAAAACTCAAGCAAGTACGTCTTTGAAAAACAACAGTGCACCTTTTTGACATGACACACGATATTTTCTAAGTGACCCACATAACTGAGGGCTGGTGGGCCATGGGCTCAAGTTTTAGAAATGCTAGAATGAACACTGAGACACGCCAAGTTTGAATGAGATAGTATGCTAGTTTGTGCGAATAAACATGTGTTTTTATACTACAAAAACGACAATATCACAGAAATAAGGCGCTACAATTTGTTGTGCAGAGTTCACTCCCTTGGGCGTGTCAGAATATTATTATTCGCCCTGACTATGATTACAGATCAGTACCAGTCACACCAAAGGTCTCAGACCTGTATCATTTCGACCTTGCTCCTATTTATCCATTAAGTTAACACGATGTGTTATATAACTGACTGTTCAATCAGTCACATTTTTCAAAATCATTTTAAATGGTGATATTTGCTTACCCATCTGACAGACATAGGGTTGCCCCATTGCACTCGACACTTTAGTAAATAACAACAATAGTCAATACAAAGCGATAAAATCACATGATGAGAACTTGAGATAATACGATATATACCTACTGACCTGATACAATTGCTCGGGTCATGTTTGCAGTCAATGTTGCATCTAAATCGTTCCCATGACAACCACCCCATTGGCGGCGTGCGGGCTACCCCGTTGTTTAGTGCAGCGACAGCACTTACTCCTGCTAGGAACGTCAATAGTTTCATCGTGAAACTTGGCTCGTAAAACCCTATGAAACAACAACAAAAAAGTTTACCACACAATCACACCAGAGACCATATAATAGAGGGAAGTTAGCAGCAGGGTGTCGATGTGTATCAGTTGCATGCCAGGCCGTAGCGCTGATGGTTAGTGATAAACTGTTGGGGAGGGCCGTCCCTCTATTATATGGTCTCTGATCACACACAGAACAGCGTCTTTCATGAGAAATCATGAAAAGAACCTGCCAATATTACAAGAGAGGTAGCTCTTAAATTACAGGTAAAATATAACTTATATATTATATAAACAACAAAATCCATTTATTGAAGTAAAATATAAGGACACCTTATTATTTATTGGTTATAACAGAGACCATATAGACCTTATATATAACAGAGTCTCTTCAGGTCATATAAAAATAAATGACAACTGAACTTTCCTAAGCACCGTCTTGTCAGTCATCTCGGATTAGTCACGTTTGGAATATATCAAAATATACGAATCCAAAAATGTTTACATCGATTTCGATCGGTCGACATTGTTAGCAGGGACGATACATTGTACTCTAACCACAGAGGTGACCTCTTACCCACACCCGGAAGAGGTAACCCCTGATATGAACAGAACAGATGGTTTTTGGTAATGCATTCCAAAACTTGTTACTTGTAACTTATAATATTAGTTGCACTAAGACATTATAACAATATAAAAGAGATATCACCAACCCGCTTCCCTTTGGAAAGATTGTCTACCTCAACTCTCGGTCTCAGGTCCCATGACCATGAGTCAGTCATTTATAGTTACGGGTATCTGAGCATGTTGTATACGTTGCGTTCGGGCGACCTCTTACCGCCCATGTTCTTGACTATCGTTCTGGATTGAGGTGAGGTGAGGTGAAATTGGGTTTAACGTCGTGCTTTGGAATATTTCGCTCATATGACGACGTGCATGCGTGTGTGTGTGTATCTGCGGCTGCTTGTACTAGCCCAGACTTAAGCTGGTTTTATAGTGCTAGCCCACTGAGATACCATGCCGCAGTGAAGCATGGATACCCCACTCAGACACATTATACTGACTCCGAGCCGACCAGTCCTTGTTGTACCCAGTAATGCCGAGCGCCAGGCAGGGACCAACAAGGACCATATTTTAACGTCTTTTGGTATGACGCGGTCGGGGATCCAACCTGCGACCTTCCGCTCTAACCACTACACCATGGATGCGGTCTTCCGTTCTGGTTTGTTCTGGTAGGTTTATCTTGGTAGTGTTCCCTCTTTGCCTGCAGGTATTGTTTAAGGATTAAAATCAGCGGACCATACGAAACCTTAGAACAATGGGGATTAAGGCTCTAGTCTGTATTAGAAATGCAAGTATGCCAGCAAATACGGAGAAACGGTAAAGTTTATCACGATTCTTGGGAGGCATTAGAAGTTGGTGAATATATAAGACGAGTACATGGATGGCAACTTCTTGTTTATTGTATAACACGACGTTTCTGGGATACTTCTTGACCCTTCTTCAGGTGAAAACAGATCCCAATATGTGCGGGCGTGTGTGTGTTCTAGATGGTTTAACAGCGCTACTATGCTAGTGTCATCATGTAGCCATAATGCTTCTAAACACTACTGATTTTGATTTGATTTCAGGTGAATTGTACGAAACATGAGGACCAATTTTGACTTGTAATGTTAGTACTAACAAGTTCCAAATTTGAATTTATTTATTTTTGTTTTTGCTTTAGTTCAAGGCTTGGTGTTTACATGCTTTTGAATTGTTAAATTTATTTAAGGAGACAAAATGAAAAATTTGCTAAATATTGTTATATTTACTTGTTATTTGCACGTGTGTTCTTTAAATGCATTTATATAAATGTTATTACACACACACGCACGCTCTCGCACATATTGTGTGCTGGACATTAGGTGCCTCACTTTGAGCGTGTGGGTTCGAATCCCAAATAGGAGGGAATACTTTATTATGAAAGTGTAATACCAAAAACAGCATATGTTACATTACATTTTACATTCTCAACGGGAGCGTGCTTTCCCATGCGTTTGAAACGCTAGATGTCTTTGACGCATATCTCATCCATTATTACTTTCTGCCTCTGTGTTATGCAGAAGACATTGAGTGAGGCGATGTCGCAGTCTGCAATGCATAAGTGTTTTGCACGTGGCTCTTCAAATACCGTAATCGTGTTTGGACCCGACAAACCAGTGAGCAAAAGCAAAAGTATCCACCAGGGGCCGAAACCACGTCATAACCAAATATGAAAGTAATAGAAAAACCAGTGTTAAAATGTTTAATTATGATGTAAATTGTTTTCAGGGATCGAACTAGTCGGCGTGGCTGTCATCAGGTACACGCCAGTCGGATCAACAACAATTGGACCAATCGTATCGTCAGGATTGAAGTGACCGAGACTTGTGCCGTCAAACGTCTCTATGACGTCATATCCGCTTGCGCCGGTGAGTCCGATTTCCTTAGCCTGGACGGTGACGCGTGCTTGAACGGCGTAGTTTCTGGTGATGTTCATGTGCACTAAAGCAATGACTTGAGTTCCGGTAGGCATGATAGATCGAGTCCACACGTCAACAGCACCGATCTTAAAAAAAACAAAACATAATATTTTTAAATATTGAATATTTATTAATGTGAACAAGCATTTGTGTCCATCTAGTGAGGCATACATCGTCACCTTTCCACTTCATCAGTGTTGTTGATCACTGGATTGTTTGGTCCAGACTCGATTATTTACATAAAGCTGGAATTTTGCTGATTGCCACGTAAAACAACAAACAACAGCATCGAGTATCATTGATGTCTCAAACACTCCGTAAGATACGATTTCTTAAGAATTCCAGATTATATGCAAATAAACAGAAATCGATGGTTAGCTATTTATGGGTGCATACATAAATTATCCAAGAAGCAGTTAAGTGTTCATACCGTGGTTATCCGTCGTGCGCTGGTGCCGAGTTGCTGCTGGTTAATGGCGATGAGCCGTGGGTTGAGCAGAAGCTGCTTAGACTGATTGCGGATGTTCCTGAGGTCATTGGACATGATCAGTGGGGAGGGGAGCATCGCCCACAGCGCCATCTGCACACGTTCTTGAACATCACTGAGCCCGAAATTGCCGATCACCAACTGCAAGAGAGGTATAATAGGACTAAATGCGTTTTTGTATCTGATAAGAAAATATCTGAAATATTATAAAGTACCTTCATATGAATATTTTAAATCATATCACATTAAAATAGGATCTAGGGCTGCGAATTATGTATATTTGCTTGAAGATCTCAGCATATCGCTACAGAAAGACAAGTCTGTGACCGCTCCAAAACACAAAGGACTTTGCAACATGTATCAACTTTAACGCCTCTATTCCGAAACCATGGAACCATTCATTCAACATGGCGATTTGGTGAATGAATGTATTATTGTGATGGTTTAGCATGTGTGTGGCATTTGGTGGTGAATGGTACTTTATGTGATGCAGATAAAAATCAGAAAAAAACTCATGCATAGCGTTGAGTGCGTTGGAAATACCTCATCGGGGTCAACCCAACCCCCGGGTCCCGAGTAAGACATGAAGTCGTCGTCGTTCTTGACGTAGTAGTTGATGATGTCGCTCAGACCGTCCCAGTTGTCCCAGATGTCGTCGTAGTTACGCCACAGGTTACACGACTCTTTGATGGCGGTGTAGTTTGGCTGCAAAATACATTGATACACTGTCATATAAAAGTATGTCTATCATCCTTAGGTAACTACCCAACAGATGTTCATTCTGTTTAATGTACTTCAGTGACCCCAGCCTTCCCGATCGCTTTAGTCGCCTCTTACGACAAGCATGGGTTCTTGAAGACCAGGGTCTTCACTGGTATACTACTACTACTACTACTACTACTACTACTATTACTACTACTACTACTACTACTACTACTACTACTACTACTACTACTACTACTACTACTACTACTACTACTACTACTAACTACTACTACTACTACTACTACTACTACACTACTACTACTACTACTACTACAACTACTACTACTACTACTACTCCTACTGCTGCTACTACTACTACTACTACGGCATTACTGTTCAGTGTATTCCTTCCATAACGTTTCAAGGTGATTTATGCATGTTTACCGTTATGCCTGCCAGTATTTGGTACTTGGGCCAGTCACAGTGAAACATGATGGGTCGCCCTGTTAGGTTGAGGAACTTGGTCATTGCTGGGTAGCCTGTAGAGTGACAAGAAGAGTAAGATTAAGCATCTACTGCAAGTGGCCCACACGTCACAGGCGCTATCTAGAGTTGCTTCCCCTGCTCTTTCAAAGAGACCTACAATCGTGGGTTGGAATGACCCATTATGTTTCTTGTGATAAAGTGGTGATGTTAGTTGTGATAAAAGAAGATAAGATAATACTTTATTATCCGTGGGGGAACTTTGTGTACATCAGAGGTATATGACATGATAAAACAGAAAGCACGATACAAACAGACAGACAAACATAGGCATAATAAGTTATGACCATAAGTACGTGCCTAACACAACAGATAACAGAATATTTAGACTGGTTTAAAAGAGATATACTAACGGGAATAAACGTTTGTTTTGCTCTTAGATTTAGCATTGGTGATAAGACCTCATGACGATTACTATCTCCACTTCCGGCTAAAACTTGCTACACCGATACGTAGTTCAAGGAATAGAAGGAATATTGGAAATTGCTCGAGCAGCTTCATTTCGCAGAGTGGAACCCATTTTTCATTTAAATCGCCCCTAGAAGTAAATCTCAGAAACAAGTTCCTCTTTAAATGATGTGGAAGTACTCCTAAAGGGTTGTTTGAGGATATATTTTCAAAGCATATTAACCTCTATTGACACATGTTTATCTAAATCTGAAGACTTTTCAATAAAATGAAATAAACGAAAAAACCATTTAAAACATATGTTGAAATGACTCTTCAAGCTGGGACGATTCTGGATTTTTGTTGTTGTTGTTGTTGTTGTTTTGGGGTTGTTTTTTTGTGTTTTTTCGCGTTGTACTGGTGTGGCCGCCAGGAACTCTGGGTATGAGAGTGATCAATAGGTTAAAACCTACTGCACAGTTTGTTAGAATACAACTTTACCGTAGTCATAGTCACGGACGTCGCCATAGCAACCATCCAGCTTCAGCAGATCAACTCCCCAGTCAGCGAAAGTCTGCGCATCCTGCCTCAAGTAGAACTCACTCCCTGGATATTTTTCGCACGTAGTTTTTCCGAAATCTGCGTAGATTCCGAACTTTAGTCCCTTGGCATGGACCTAAAACCCAAAGTAGAACAGGTTCACTAGCTAAGATCTGAGGAAACGTTTTGCGTTGTGTCATTTCGCGAGATACTTTCCAGGTATGGCAGTTACCTGTTTGTCTAATTAACATGATCCAAAATGCGTTATAGTTGACATGTATTACAGAATATGTCCACACATTTGCTTTGTCCAGTACTGTTGATTACATGCGAATGTTACTGAACACAGACTGTCGTTTGAGCCACTGATTCAAGCCACATTGTGTGGACCATTGCTTCAAGACACATTGTGTGGACCATTGCTTCAGGACACATTGTGTGGACCATTGCTTCAGGACACAATGTGTGGACCATTGCTTCAGGACGTATTGTGTGGACCATTGCTTCAAGACGCATTGTGTAGCTTACTGCTTCAAGACTTTAGTTTCTGTATAAACCGAACAAAGGAAGACGTTTTTAACACACGTCTTCAAGACAAATACGGCTAGGATATATAATGAGGACTAACATAATCTCCAAGAGCCTTCATTCCACTTGGGAACCGTTTAGGATCTCCCTGGAGAGATCCATCGGCCGCCCTCTCCGTGGCCAGCCAGCAGTCATCAACACACAGGTATTCATAGCCGGCGTCTTTGTATCCCCCGGACACAAGCAGGTCCGCCATCTGCTGGAACAGTCTCTCGCTGAAGTCAATACAAAATACATTGTTGATCAAGGTAGGACTCAAATAATGTGATCTTAACAAGATATGAATCTTGAACATACTCTTCATCAAGGTGTGAATCAGAGAACATACTCATCATCAGAGATCATACTCTTCATCAAGGTGTGAATCAGAGAACATACTCTTCATCAAGGTGTCAATCAGAGAACATACTCTTCATCAAGGTATGAATCAGAGAACATAATAATCTTCATGAAGGTATGAATCTGAGACCATATCTTCATCATGGTGTGCATCAGATGACATGCACTTCATCAAGGTATGAATCAGAAAACATCTTCATCAATGTGTCATCAAGAACATCAAGGTATGGATCAGATAACATACTCTTTATCAAGGTATACATAGTCAGTACTTAATGACTTTGTATATACAAATCGATAAACGCTATAAAACCCTGTCTGTATTCATAAATTATCCTTTTTCTAAATGCAGTGTTGATTGCGTGATTCCGATTAAGTCATTAGGATCTATTTATTTATGTATCACAATCAAATAGTTATGATAACAGGTGTTTCTGTCCCACAAGCTGCACCCGTCACAAATAGAAGCAAACCAAAATTTACATATCCGGTCGCAACACTCCGCTGTGCTGTGTCTTCATACGTTACTCTGTGAATGAAATTTGTGTTAATCCTACCAATCAGTGCTATTAAACCAATTTCAAGTGGAGACAACTATACCGGTTTTTGTGTACCCACGACAAACACTACCTTATACAATTGTCTGGATCATTGTCACAGTCTATATTACACCGGAAGCGTGTCCATGCCAACCAACCCATGGGAGGGGTCAAGGCCAAGCCGTTGTCTAGGGCTGCGGTCAAAGTCACCGCAGAAACGCAAAGTGCGACAACTATCCACATGTTTACCTGGTGTAGAGAACATGAATGACAATATATATAAATCAAAGCCAATGAAATACAACAACGCGCTTATCTACGTAATAATAAAATAATGATTAGAACAGGAATGCGCTCTGGATAAATACACGTCAGAGCAGGGTAATCTTTGGGCAGTCATTTTATTCAAACAGTCTTCATGTCAGTTGCAGATAAACGAATGCATAAAAAATCCTCACCTCCATCATGAATGTGTCCCCGACCGTCACTAGGACATAAACTGAGGGCCAGCTTCTGATTGCCAGGTATTATAAGTTATCACGTTCAGCGATACGAATGACCCGTATCAAAGTGGCAGGAAACAGTGTCAAGGACGTTCAGTTCGTATCAAGCACACGAGAGAAGAGTGATGATAGACCCAATAGGTTAGTGGCTGATAACTACCACCGTCTTTGATGAATAGCCAACTTGGGCTTTCACCGACCTAGAAGTGAGTGAGTGTGTGGGTATGGGCTTCATATATTGAACCCATGCGAGGAATCGAACCCGGGTCAGCGTGACAAGCGGGTGCTTTAATCATTAGGCTACTTTGTGACAATGAGTACACACCTCTTTCTTAATACAAAATAGTACTCTAGTGAAAGTTGGTTGGTGGGCCTATTTTCTTCCTGATTTCTTCAATGTGATATTCTAGAGCTGACGTCGATATTTGTTTATGCATGGGTATGTGTACACATGTGACCTGTTTACAATAGTTCGTTGATATTGATTCTTGTTTACACAAATATACGAAAATTACTTCATATTATCGGGAACAGTTCACGAGGATCTTCACACAACCCATCAACAATTACCCTGCAAAGAATAGCTACTCGTCGTCACAGGTAACGGGTACAATCGCGTGTCAAGTCAACATCAATGTAACAACACTAATCATAACAATGATAATCATAAAATCACCTGGCCTGGAATTTGAAAGAGAAGGCTTTCTGTTTGCTGCTCAGGATCAGTGACTTCCAAACGTCATTGTGTGATTTTGCAGCAATAAGTAATATATAATATACATTATATATGATTTTAACCACACTGCCTACACCTTTTTTTATTATTATTATTATAGTATATTTATATAGCGCACATCTCCACGCAACTGGTGCATGCTCAAGGCGCTGGTATTTTCCCTCGATCATTGGATATCAATCTCAGAGTATACAACTCTTGCTGCCACTAGGCGCACCGAGTTATTGTGGCTTTCTCATCCTTACTAGGTACCCATTCACAGCTGGGTGGAGTGGGACACATAGTCACAGTACTTTGTCCAAGTTTACTGCACGTTGCTGTACCCGCAACTAGGTGTTTGCACGTATTCATGTGGCCACCATCTGGTCATATACCAACGGATTCGTGGGTTCTTTTAAGTGCACAGGGTTGTGTACTGTACACTAGGGGTTGTGACAACACTGAAAGAGTCTGCACACAAAGTTGACTCCAAGGTTTTTACACCTGGTCACAGGTGGGCTCGATCCCGGCACCTCAACCTCGCTGGATCACTAGCCTGGCGCCTTAGCCAGCTCGCTCGTGAACTGTATCGGGTACGTACATAGTAATAACATCAAAGGCGAGAGGTAGTAAGTAAGGGACTCCATGAACAAATTTGGTCACCATGCTGTCATCAGTGGATGCTGGCATAAACCCAGTATATTTAGCGACATAATGGTATGAATACGTCCCATCAATACCGTCTTCACCAGGCTCGTGGCTTTGACTCAGAGGTTCACCCCGAATATGCTGGGGCGTAAATGAAAATGACAACTATAAAAGTCTTTGGAGTGACGCATCTAAACAACCAATACGTCACAATGTCTAGGGTGTTATCAAGCTTATCAAGTAGTCCAGAAGGCCGTCTGATATCAGAAGGAAAGCTTGTATAACTCGATCAGCGGTAGCATCTAAACCTTCTGGATACTTGAACATCTAGGTTTGTCTGTCTGTTTGGCTGGTTGGTTGGTCTGTTTGTCTGTTGGTCGGTTGTTTGGTTGGCTTGTTAGCGCTACGCTACGCAATATTCCAATTTTTTTTCACTGTAAATAATCGAATTTAGACCAGACAATCCGGTGATTGAGAATCATGATAATCGATCTACGCAGTTAGGAAATAATAACGTGGATCAACCAAGTCAGCGAACCTGACCACTAGTTCCACGACAAGCATGGGTTACTAATGACGCGGATCCAACCCGGTTTGTCAGGGATCGAAACCGCCAGGTTGTATCGCCTGCTCAATGTATAATAACTGTAGTTTACGTTTAATTCACTCTCAGTATGCTGTGTATTTCCTTGTTTTATAACAGTGTTTTCCAAAAGTGTTCGTTCTTCTCCTTATATATTGTCTGTTGCAGATATTCACCGGAAAAAAATGTTTTCGTTGGTTCTCTTCCTGAATGCCCTGACCCTGACCTTGGGTCTTGACAACGGTCTGGCCTTGACCCCTCCAATGGGCTGGTTGGACTGGGAGAGATTCCGGTGCAATGTAGACTGTGTTAATGACCCGGAGAACTGTATCGGGTACGTACATAGTGATAACATCAAAGGCGAGAGGTAGTAAGTAAGGTACTCCATGAACAAATTTGGTCACCATGATGTCATCAAGTATCTCCAACCTAAAGGATAGCCCATGCACATATAATGCTATCTTTAGGGTGGTGGTGCCCTTTCCTTTCCTATAGTAAGAGGTGCGCAGTGAAGAGAAGAGAAGATAGAGATCTTGGAAGGGGATCCAAGATTAGGAAGACCTGCCACCACAAAGAAACTGTTGATATGAGTAAAAATGATGACTCGCTTGACGTTACACAGCCAAAGGAGTAGGCACCTAAAATTTGAGGAATGAACTGGGCACGACAAAGTTTCTACAGCTGATTCCAAGGCTCCTCATCAGACCTCGTCATCTCACATGAGAATCTATGTCATACTGCAGCAGACTCAGCTGATTGTGTTGTGTTAATGCTGACCATAGTTGAGTCCGACTGCTATCCGATATGTCTGATGTCTCAGGCAAAGTCTGTTTCATCAGCTGCCTTCTTAAGCGTCTGCGTGATAACATCACCATTCAACATCATGGATACCTCGCAATAAGCATGCTGTTCCACCAGGACAAATTAACTGTGCACAAGCCTGTTGCCGTGACTGCAATGCATGACTGTAGCTTTGAACTCTATTTCCACTCCTACCCTACCTTGGAGTAAGAACTGTGTGGCAAGCGTTATGCAAATGATGATGGCGTCATTTCTACTCTACTCAAATCCACCAGGAGGCAGCCTTCTACAGGCACAACGGAATCATTGGAAAACCATTGGTAGACCTCGGAGTGGATTATGTTGTTGTAATAATTAGCCAGCAACCCAATCAACTCAAAGTTCATCTTTGTTAGGCTCAGACGTTTTCAACTACCCTTGTGTTCCTCTAAGAAATAACAGCCTTAGATTGTGTAGGTTATTTTGGTTGTTCCTAATTGTTCAACGATGTCGCAGATAGTCCTATTGAGTCAATGTCCGCCTGACATTATTTACTATAATTAGCCATTGAAGACAATCTTTGTCCAATGTCCTCAAGTATATATTAAGGGATGTTATAACAGAATAATAAGGATTCTACATTTCCCCATGCTGACATGCAAGGGAATAGTTGCTGTATTTCTTGTGTCAAGGAAACATATCGTTTGCTGCATAGCTCCTGCGGAGAAATGTTTCCTATAGCAGTCCTGTTGATGAATGCGTTCATCTTGACCACGATGTATGGAGGTCGAAAGCACCACAGCGTGATCCTTGGTTTAGCAACAACAGACCAATTCAAGTGGATTTCACCAAAGCGGCAAACGTCTCACGTTATGAGACGTCGCATTTTTTGTTTGGTTAATGCAATATGGATATATTTCCTGTGTTGGCAGAGAGCTGTTGTTCAGACAGACAGCAGACAGGATGGTGTCTGACGGGTGGCTCGAGGCGGGATACGAGTACCTCATTGTGGACGACTGCTGGGAGGCTGAGAGTCGCGACAGTGACGGACGTCTCTACGCCGACCCTACACGGTTCCCCAACGGCATGAAGGCGCTCGCAGATTACGTACGTTTGGGTTTGCAGCTATATTCTTTCTTATGATGTATTTGGTGCAGTGTTTTGTATCGTGCATGTGGTTACATTCGGATTCTTCTGAGGTTTAGTTTCTGGATCATTTACACACATCTCAATCTGTAAAAAGCAGATGCAAGACAGTGGTGGAGAGAAGATGATGTAAGGGTGACTCAATAAGTCCTGCCCCACACTGAAACGATCCTGCATCTGGTGTCTCCTTGGCAATCAGGCAGGCCTGTCGGAAATATTAACTTGTTCACTCTACAGTGAAGGGCTGCCGAAATGGATGAGATGGTGCCTGTGCACTTTCTAGTGCATTGAGAGGCAGCCTCGTTGTTCTACTTCTGGAGATACCAGTTAGAATTGGTCTTCAGCCAGCCGTGCTTGTCTTAAGAGGTGACTAACGGGATAGGGTGGTCAGGCTCGCTGACTTGGTTGACACATGTAATCGTATCCCAACTGCGTAGATCGGTGCTCATGCAGTTGATCACTTGATCGTCTGGTCCAGACCCCATTATTTACAGACCGTCGCCAAATAGATTGGAAATTGCTGAGTGTGGCGTTAACCAACAACAAACAAGCAGACAAACAAACTTCGAGAGCACACTGGTGTTCTAACACGGGTAATCATGATAACAGAGATTGGCCATTCACTCATTCAAGCATAATTGAAGGACTAAATGGAATCGCGCAATATTTTCTATCTAATTGCCAGAGCTCTTAGTAAAATTGTGTTATCGTTTTGGCATTTGACATTTGCAGGTTCATTCTAAGGGATTAAAGTTCGGCATCCATGAGGACTTCGGTCACGAGACCTGTAACCATTACCCAGGAAGCGAGTTCTACCTTCAGACAGATGCCCAGACTTTTGCAGACTGGGGCGTGGACTTTGTTAAAATGGACGGATGCAACGCCGACCTCGGTGACTTTGACTTCGGTGAGTGCAAATCAGATGTCATTTCAAGGTTATCGGGTAGCAAAGATTATTTTAATCAGTGTATGAAATAAGGCCCGTCCGACCGCCCGAGACGGGCTAGATTTCTGCCGGACGGTCTAACTTTACAGCTAGCCAGCCCGATGGACGGGTGAAAAAAATATTCAGATAATGTGTCCACTGGCACTACACTATTTTAATCCGTACAAATGACACCAAAAATAAAAAGTGAATTGTAAAGAACATTTTTCTTTCACAGGTTATCCTGTTTTGGGAATGTATTTGAACAAAACCGGCCGTCCTATGATCTACTCCTGTGAATGGCCGTATTATCAATCACTGAAACACTTCAAGATCGTAAGGAATCTTACTCACAGAGTACTCTAACGTGTGGTCAAAATGTCAAGCTGTTAAAGGAATAAAACATTATTACCACCCTGAAGGACATCTGGGTTACATTACCCATTATTGGTTATAATATGCATATCAGAACATCACAATTGTAATTTGCATTAACTGTGGCACAAGCAAATATATGACTTATACTTTTATATTTGTCCAGCTATTTCTCTTCTCAAAATGTATTATAAAATCTGTTACAAACTGATGTGAATGAATTCTAGGGGTTGTTTATTCTCAAATTCTGCAATCCAGACGTTGACATCCTGAATGTAATGCATTCGAATTATCGCTAAACATTTTATTTACAATTTCATCTGATAAATACTGTCAGTGTCCATAAACGAGATGCCAATAACTTGCTCACAGGGTAAGGGATTTTGTTAATTTGGTTTGCTTTACAAAACAGTCTTCCGTACCAGCTGGTAAAAACAAAATTCAGAAAACTTAAAATATTCTTTTCAAAACAATGACATGATGATAGAGTCAGTTTGAAATGTATTAAACGACAGCGAAAAAAAGACCTCTGCTGATTATATATGCTGCATGTTTGGAACCCAGGTGAATTTTTAATCAATGCGGGACAGTATTGAACGCCACATCGGCGTGAATGAACCAGCAATGGTGCCCAGATATCTATACTTGCCTTCAGCATCTACTAGCTCATTGACATGATTGTTGGATTAAAACAGGGGTTTTCCAAAAATATATGACCATTTTCTTGACGAATAATTATTTCCAAACAAAGATAAATAATTCGAAATAGGTTTTATTCTGGTTCTGAATATTTGATAAGACCTGAAAGTTAACACTTCACAGTTGGAGATGTCGAGAATGCATAAATTCCCCTTACACTATTCCATACTTGTTGTTTCAGCCTGACTACGCAGCCATCCGCCGCACGTGCAACACGTGGAGAAACCATCTTGACATCCAAGACAGCTGGGACAGTATGTTGAAGACAATACAATTCTACGACCAGGACGAGGGCAACTTCAGTCAGTACGCAGGCCCTGGAGGCTGGAACGACCCCGACATGGTCAGACTCTTGATAGACTACTTCTGTACCCAAATTATATTGTCAGAATGTAACGTCAAAATAGTTGACGAGCGGACACTTTAACCACTAGGCTATATACCGTACCTTCTAGTTGTAACAGAAAGACCAGGGAGTCCGAATGTCTACCTGGAAATGGTCAGACTCCTGACAAACTACTATCTCCTTTGAATTTAACATTTGAGAATTAGGGCTAACACTTGTTGTAATAGCAAAGCAAGGGACTTGGGATGCCTACAATGGCGTTTTTGTTCTTGGCATATCCATCATTACTCACTATGGACTTTACTATCGCAGAGGAAAAGCTTTATTGCATGTCGAGATAGACTTGAAAATGGCGGATCGAAAGAGTAAGCCGGTAAGGTTTTACGCCGCTTTTAGCAATATCCCAGCAATATCACGACGGGGACACCAGAAATGGGCTTCAAACATTGTACCCATGTGGGGAATCGAACCCGGGTCTTCGGCGTGACGAGCTGACGCTTTAACCATTAGGCTACCCCACCGCCCCGGTGATCGTGGATAGTGACTACATGTGTGTAGAATGTTCATCATTCCCGGAGGAGTTCATTATGTTCCTGCTATCATTAATTAGTTGTCCTCAGCGTCACTGCCGACCAGGTCCAAAGGTCCATTTGTGTGGTAATACATTGTTCCTGATCTTAAAAATATATGTTTCAGGTTTAAACAGGACGTACGACATTTTCAGACATTATCTCTGAGGCTCTCCAGTTAGTATCCACGTAAAATACGTTGATTTGATGAAACTGGGCATCAGTGATGACGTTTTGGTTCCAGTTCGTCACAGTTGTGATGACGATTGGATTTACGTTCACGTTTTTTTATTACAGTAATATAGAATATTTTGTTGGATTTGATTCCCTCTGCAGCTGATTCTGGGCAACTTCGGGTTGAGTCCGGACATGGAGAGGACACAGATGGCCATGTGGGGGATACTGGCGTCCCCACTCCTCATCTCGACGGATCTCCGGAACATTCGCAACAGCTCCAGGGATCTTCTACAAAACAGGAGGCTGATTGCTATCAACCAGGACAAGATGGGTGTCCAGGGAAAGAAAATCATGACGGTAAAAGTTTCCTGGAGACAGGAATGAAACATTTACTACCTAGAAGGATACTTTTCTAAAATTCCTTTCTTGCCATGTATTATTGCCATGAAGAGTTTTAGAGGTGTTTCTCAGCTTCGTGTTTGGTGAAGGGTTTCTTTTTTATGGCGTTCTACAGTTTTTTATTTTATCCGGTAAAACAACGCCCATCTTTAATGTAAATATTTCTGGATTTTAACGGTTTAAAATATTTCCTTGTCTAGTTGCTGACGATTTTACTCCAAACTAAGAAAATATGTGAAAATAAGTAGTTGCGTTTAATGGTGTAACGATTCATCGATATTATCGATGTTTACATCAACTTCGTCAACTACGCGATACGAGTGCATCGATACAAAACACATTTAGGCAATATATCAGGATATTTATATCGCGAGGGTCCATGATACATCGATGCATCGCCACAAGAAACGATATATCCTGATACAACTTAAATACTACTTAAAGTTGTAAGGAGTATTGCATTAGGAATAGGAAGGGAGTCTCTTTGAAATTCTTCTGAAATTTAAAAACAAATTGAACCTTAAAGGAACTTGTTTGTGTCCGTTAAAGTTGTAAGGAGTATTGCATTAGGAATAGGAAGGGAGTCTCTTTGAAATTCTTCTGAAATTTAAAAACAAATTGAACCTTAAAGGAACTTGTTTGTGTCCGTTATGTTTGTTACATGAACAAAGGAGCTGGTGTATAAGTCAAAGAGTGTGAACATTTTACAAACTCTGTGAACTGTGGAAAACTTGTCTTCAAGTAATTGAAATATGTTTTAGCTGTTTGACAAATAACACCATCTATTAACAACTATTAACTATGTCTAAGCTTTGTTAAGAAAGAGAACAAAGAGATGATTTAGCAAGCAGTTCTTTTGCAGTGATTATGAATTCTGATATAAATTACATTTTGTGAAAGCATTGGTGTAGAAACACAACTTCCTAAGGGAAACGTCAGTTGCAAATTTATATATATTAGATCAGGGTATACTGAATATGTTTGACTGTACTTTCTAAACATTACATGATGAAACTTCATTAGATAAACAGCTTTTTAAGTGTGTGTGAATGTAACACAAGTTCTGCTGTATAACAAATAAAGTTTCAGTCATTTTATCTATCATATATGTTCTGTTATTATAAATTGATAAGTATCGGGATACGTATCGTATCGCCACCATTGTATCGACGATAATCGTCTCGCAGGTTCCTTGCCAATACTTCCATGATATATCGTCTCGCCTCATTAAACTGGTATCGGGATATATCGTCTTGCCACTTAGGCCACGATACACAGCTCTAGTTGGGTTTCTTAAGAGTTTTCCATCATGGACTATGAGGAAGTAACTTTATTTTTCAAGTCTTGATTTCAATACTGCAATGATGATATGATCATACTAATGTTTCAGATTGGTCCTGTAGACGTGTGGACCCGCCCCCTTCTCCCTACCGGTAGTGTGGGCATTGTATTCTTCCACAGTGACATCCTCACCCATGGGTCTCAGTACATCTGGATCACCACCGTCCAGGCTCAGGCCCTAGGGCTCACGTTGTCCCAGGGCTATAACTTGATGGACCCCTTTGATGGCAGCTCTAAGGGCACAGTTAAACCATCAGACAATATCAAAGTCAGAGTGAACCCTACAGGGGTCATTATGTATGTGGCTACACCAGTCTCGTGACTTTAAAGAAAGCCATCGACCGACTTCCAAAGACTAGAGGTCCTCAAGTAACACGTGACCTAAGTACGTCATAATATACTTTATTTATATGTCCCTACAACCACCACAATATCATCACTGAATGTATTGCTTCACGAGCACCAAAGCGTACTCACCTGTGACGTTCAAAAGATCAAAATAATGTAAGCGTCTTGTCAGGATTAAGCATGGCTTGAATTGAGCACGTGATGGCTATATTTATACCTTTCTCTGCTTGATGTTTATGTGATTCAGGTGATTAAAACATTTTATTGTTTGACTACGCCTGTCCAAGTCATAAACCCATATTGGAAATGATTATGTCGTGTTACAACCACCTGTAAATATCCAATGTGTTCTGTACAAAGATACCGAAAAAAACAAGCAAAGGATCATGAATTATGTCATAGATGGTGTTTTTTATGAAGTTGTATCCATTCGCTACACAATTATCACCCAAAATACTGAAGACCCATTCTAACCCAGATCTTCACGGGCCATACACATCTTCAACAGAAATATCAGTACAATATCCATGTGGATCATCAGCTCTATCTACCTTTGCACTTTCGTAATCTCTTCATCTTAAGGTTATGTAAAGATAACCTAAATTAAGGGTCCAGTGCTCCGGATGAATGATATAACATTCTGCTACAGATGTCTACTCATTCACTGGACTGTAATGGGATAAAATGTTGGAAAGTGTTACAGTATGTCATGTCTGGATGTACATATCTGTGAATCATTGATTTAATATATATAAAGAAATGTCAACCATCACCAACGTCTTGTGCAATCATACACGTGAAACGTAGCAAGAGAAAAAAAGCGTATTTTTTTATGTATTTTCCAATTACTTTCCATAGTCTCACAAGGATAGGGATAATGGTATTCCTCTTTGGGTGGCATTTTAGAAGTTGGGAAATACAATGTTGACAAACTATATGGATAGCAACTTCTTTTATTTCGTGAGTGCGACATTTCGATACAGTTCTCATACTGTTGGGGGCAGTGGGAGTAGTCTAGTGGTTAAAGCGTTCGCTCGTCACGCCGAAGACCCGGGTTCAATTCCCCACATGGGCACAATTTGTGAAGCCCATTTCCGGTGTCCCCCGCCGTGATTTTGCTGGAATATTGCTAAAAGCGGCGTAAAACCAAACTCACTCACCCTCACACTGTTGTCAAGCCGGAATGTCAAAGTTTCTCAATATTCTGTATTCATTCATTCTAAACAATCTAATCCAATTTTTACAATTATCATTTCTGTAGATGTATGCAGACACTTTTAATCAAGTTACCTAATAAGACGTCACACTCTTCCTGTTGCATGTTGTTTTGGTAGATACCTCGTTAGTCCTTAATCCGATATTCCAGAACCCATTTGTCACAAAGCCCGTGAAGATCCGGGTTAGAATTGATCTTCAGCAACCCATGCTTGTCGTAAGAGGCGACTGACGGGATCGGGTGGACAGGCTCGCTGACTTGGTTGACACATGCCATCGTATCCCAGTTGCGAAGATCGATGCTCATGCTGTTGATCACTGGATTATATGGTCGTTTATTTACGGATCGCCGCCATATAGCTGGAATATTGCAGAGTGTGGTTTAAAACAACAAACAAACATTTGTCACAAAGCCAATCCATGCCATGTTCATACAGCGTCATGTTGTTTTGGGGCGGTGGGGTAGTCTAGTGGTTAAAGCGTTGGCTCGTCACGCCGAAGACCCGGGTTCGAATCCCCACATGGGTACACTGAGTGAAGCCCATTCTGGTGTCCCCCGCCGTGATATTGCTGGAATATTGCTAAAAGCGGCGTTAAACCAAACTCAGTCAGTCAGTCAGTCAGTCATGTTGTTTTACGCATTGCCTTTATGGGACACATCTGAGTTTGTTGATTACTTGGGAGTCCATCGACCTATCACCTGTTACCGGCCTTCAGACACGTTATTACTATGCACAAAAGTGTCATTACGTGGGCTTATTGATATACTGACATTGTAGGTCGGAAATAGTTATCATAGGTTGTTATCATTGAGTTAGTCATCATGCAAGCAGCCTTGGAGTGAAGGTTCAAGGTCATCTTGCTTGATCTGATATATATTGATTTATTATTTCGGCCTCATAGCCTAGAATACAATTGTATTTGATAGAACACGTGTGAACAATACATGTCACGTGGTGAACAATACAGCAATATTTCTATTTCCAGTTATAGCTCAATAGAAATACATTTTTCAGAAAAATGGCGAGTGCTCGTAAAGTATCCTCATTATTTGTGTTTAATATATTACACAAGAGTTTCAGTGAATAGTGATTAACATTAGATAGGCTTGGGAGATATTTTAATCTCAGGTCATGATACTTTTACAAATAAACAGGACGTGGGACTCGTCCTCCATAACATTTAGGTCACATTGCAAACAGAGTGATTTATATACATGTTCTTTTTTGTTTCTACGTTGGGTGATAATATTAAAATCATGAAGAGATTTTCTAAATTTACATAAGGCTCTTTCTATATTGAACGTTATGGGAAAGATATTTACAACAGTCTTAGAAAAACGTTTGAGGGCTTGGATAGAACTGAACGACTTAATACCCGAAGCCCAAGCTGGCTTCAGGTCTCCCTACTCTACCACCTACGATCTATTCACTCTACAAGCATCGATCTCTAAATATTTGTGCAAACCACGTGGTAGGTTTTACTGTGTATTTATTGACTTTAAGAAGGCCTTTGACAGAAGACAAGTTATTATTTAAATTAGCACTAAAGGGTTGTCATGGGAAAACGTTTAATGTACTTAAGAGTATGTATTCATCAGTTAAATCATGTGTGTGATCAAACTAAAAAGAACGAGTAACTTTATCACATCAGCAGGTGTTCGACAAGGATGTGTTCTTAGTCCTATACTTTTCACCTTTTTCATAAATGAGCTTGTGACTGAAATGTATGATGAATGTGATCACGGTATATTTGTTACACAAAATATTTATGATATAACGCTAATTTTGTTTGCCGGTGATGTTACAATGTTCTCTTATGCTGTTTCGGGGTTGCAAAAGCAATTGCCAAGGTCATCGAAGTTTAGGGGGAGCCACTTTCTCCGGTCTGTTTCCCATTTTTTGCCTTCTCTAAAGGATGTAACAGTGCCATGGTCTAAATTAACATATTGGTTCTATGTGATTTGGATAAACGTCTGCTAGACTGAGTTCCGACAAAGGGTAAGAGTGAGTAGTTTAATGGTTTGAATAATTTCCAGTTGGCTCGACCAAGTGCACGTTAAAAGAAACACACTGAGCGATAATCCTATCACTGAATTGAGTGAGTATGGATTTACGCCGCTTTCAGCAACAACCGCGCTGAATAGGAAAGACCTTCAGTAACATGTACACGTACCACCTACAATAAAATCAATTTCTGCAGACGACTTCCGGGGAGATGTATGGGTTTGAGGGGAAATTGTTTCTCCTCAGAAACAAATGAGGTGTGGTTCAAATATTAGGGAGGGAGCATCATGATGAATAGCACAATTATTACAGCAAGATTTACCAGAATATCTTTAGTGAAATGGTTGTTATTTCCGTTTCAAAAGCGAGTGAGTGAGTATGGTTTTACGCCGCTTTTAGCAATATTACGACAGGTGACACCAGAAATGGGCTTCACACATTGTACCCCTCTGGGGAATCGAACCCGGATCTTCGGCGTGACGAGACAACGCTTCAACCAATGGGCTACCTACACGAATAGCCTCATGAAGATACAAACGGAACTCGTGTATCCATACAGGCAAAGGGGGCGGTGGGGTAGCCTAGTGGTTAAAGCGTTGGCACGTCACGCCGAAGACACGGGTTCGAATCCCCAAATGGGTACAATGTGTGAAGCCCATTTCTGGTGTCACCCGCCGTGATTTTGCTGGAATATTGCTAAAAGCGGCGTAAAACCAAACTCAGTCAGTCATAAAGGCAAAGTGGGAGTTCTCTTCCTTGGTCACATCTGTGAACCCACGCTGTGGCTACCTCAAAATAAATAGGGTTTTTTGTTGTTGTTTTTTTTGTTTTTAAATGGGTTTGGACACGATTGATGTTATCACAGCTGCACGGAATTTCAAAGACCCGATTAAAAGGAGCAAACGTGGAGCAGGAAAATAACAATGACTGAAAATCATGTTGATATCGAGGGTGTTATCAAGATTGGGTGAAGGCCAGACCTGATATCTGAAGGAATGCTGGTAGCACGATCAGTGATTACGTAGTATCCACCACTCTTTGGACGCAGAAGCCGCCAGGTTGTATGATCTGTTTCATGACAGCACCTGTACACATATGTTCAATCTTCAGCATGTATTCCTCTTTACAAAACTTTCGATTTTCTTTATTTGTTGCAGATATTTACCTGAGAAATGTTTCCGTTGGTTCTCCTCTTCCTGAATGCTCTGACCCTGACCTTGGGTCTTGACAACGGCCTGGCCTTGACCCCTCCCATGGGCTGGTTGGACTGGGAGAGATTCCGGTGTAATATAGACTGTGTTAATGATCCAGAGAACTGTATCGGGTACGTTGATTACATCGGATATGACTGGCGACTGAAACGTTCTTAGTCTATGGAGGATGTATGGTACAATATTTCCCGTGCTTACAGAGAGTTTACAGTCGTAGATGAACAGTCTTCTCAGCTACCAGATTCTGTGTCTGACCAGTTATACTAGTGTCCAAAAAACCTTTAACATTCAGTCCAAGGTGACAGAAGTGTGTTAGAAGTTTCTATATTTTACTATTCATTGTGGACACATGCAGAGGAACCGCCTGCATGGTGTAGTGGTAAGAGCGACCGCCCGGAGAGCGGAAGGTCGCGGGTTCGATCACCGACCGCGTCACACCAAAAGACGTTAAAATATGGTACTTGTTGGTCCCTGCCTGGCGCTCGGCATTAATGGGTACAACAAGGACTGGTCGGCTCGGAGTCAGTATAATGTCTCTGAGTTGGGTATTCATGCCTCACTGCGACATGGTATCTCAGTGGGCTAGCACTATAAAACCAGCTTCAGTCTGGGCTAGTACAAGCAGCCGCACATACACGTACACACGCATGTACGTCGTCATATGAGCGAAATATTCTCAAGCACGACGTTAAACCCAATTTCACCTCACCTCACATGCAGAGCAAGAGTTTGTAGGTATATTTGATTCGTCTGTAACAAAGTGAGGGCAAAAATTAGAAGACACCCATGTCTGATGAGGGCTGAAATAAACAAGAAATGGTTATTCGATGATTTGTATTTGACCTGAGCATCATAGTTGTGTTTTGGATGCTTACATTTCGGGGGAACCTTTCAACCTAGTAACGTTTTTGTTATTTGGGGGTCAAATGAATAGCGTAAACACCTAGTTGCGGGTACAGCAACGTGCAGAGAACTTGGACAAAGTGCTGTGACTATGTGTCCCGGTCCACCCAGCTGTGAATGGGTACCTCGTTAGGATGTGAAAGCCACAAAACACGGTGCGCCTAGTGGTTGTAAGAGTTGTATACTCCCCAGGGAGTTGAGATTGATAATACGATGTGCCGTTGAGATTGCCATCCAATGATCGAGGGAAAAATACCAGCGCCTTGAGCTTGCACTAGTTTCGTGGATATGTGCTCTATATAAATATCCTATGATAAATATAAAAATCATGTAAGTTTTCGAAACCCTCTTCGTAATATTTTTCATCTTGACGGTGATGTGACCCAGTCGCCTTAAGATCGTTTCTTGTGGAAAGTTGGGTCTCTAAACAAGGAAGCAATGGGTTCGAATCTCAGAATCCCTGAGTCTTGCTTTGAGAGCACCTTTCCCATTCTCTGACAAAGCCGTGGGACCTGCCTCACGTTATCAGACGTCTGAGTCCATTTAATTCAGATTAATTTCTATTTATTTCCTGTTGGCAGCGAGCTGTTGTTCAGACAGACAGCGGACAGGATGGCGTCTGACGGATGGCTGGAGGCGGGATACGAGTACCTCGTCGTGGACGACTGCTGGGAAGCTCATACCCGCGACAGTGACGGTCGTCTCTACGCCAACAAGACACGGTTCCCTAACGGCATGAAAGCGCTCGCAGATTATGTACGTAAGAGTTGGCAACCAGAATAATTTCTTACGACTAATTATAAGGGCTTTATGGTTTTGATGTCTGATTTATCCATCATATCCTTGGCACAGGAGGAGTGGTGGGGTAGTTTAATGGTTAGGGCGATGAAGACCCGGGTTCGATTCCCCACATGGGTACACTGTGTGAAGCCCATTTCTGGTGTCCCCTGCCAAGATATTGCTGGAATATTGCTAAAAGCGGGGTAAGGCCATACGATAGGATATGGATCGTGAGTGTGGTTTCATTGCAATTCATATGAGATTCATTTTCTGAATCTGTTAAGAACAGAAATGAAGACGGCGATTGTGGTGAAACGAGGGACGGGTGATCGTGTTCAGTAATGTTGACTCATAAGTTGTATCAACAGGACTTCGGCTCTGTCCAATCCTGAAACACATGCCGCATATGACATCTCCTTGGCAACCTTGTTCAAAATATGAAACTGTTCACACAGCAGAAAACCTGATAGACGGTGTCTGTAAACCTAATATAAGGCATTTCACGTTGAATACTTCACAGGGAGCTGAGAATGGAATGGACGGAAGAGTAAAATTGGATTTTTACAAATTAATTTTTAGTTTTGCATTTGACATTTGGCAGGTTCATTCTAAGGGATTAAAGTTCGGCATTCACCAAGACTTTGGTCATTTGACGTGCAGCCATTACCCAGGCAGCGAGTTCTACCTTCAGACAGATGCCCAGACCTTTGCAGACTGGGGCGTGGACTTTGTTAAAATGGACGGATGCAACGCCGACCTCGGCGACTACGACTATGGTGAGTGTCAGTCAGATGTCATTTCAAGGCTGTCAACGCAACATGCCACGAGACTACATTTCTATGAATTGTCCAAAGCACATATTTTTTTCTATCGCAGGTTATCCTATTTTTGGGATGTATTTGAACAAAACTGGCCGACCTATGATCTACTCCTGTGAATGGCCAAATTATGAATCACTGAAAGGCAAGACTGTAAGTCACTTTACCTGATCCCAGATATTATCTAAATATCTAGCTCCTCTAGTATAATTAACATGTTTGAACATATTCGAAAGAAACACATTTGCATTTTCTATACTAATTTATGATTAAGAAATAGCCAAGAATATCAATATAGGTAAATTATTAGTTAAGTCGTACAGTGTCTTATCAAATAAGATCAAATATGGTCACGTGTCTAGGGGTCATGAGACAATGCACTGTTGCAGTTTTTGACAGAATCTCGCGATCTAACATTTACATGTTTCAAGTATGTTTAAGTTTGGGAATACGAGAGTATCACATTTGCAAATAACGTAAAATCTGGTAATCTCGATCAATCACGAAAAAGCATGCAATCGGGAAAAAGCAATAACCTGTAACATTGCGTTTTCTTATATCTGGAGAACGTAGGCATGTCCCATACATTAGTATGAATTCGAGTAACTGTTTCAGCCTGACTTCGCAGCTATCCGCCGCACGTGCAACACGTGGAGGAACTACAGGGACATGCAAGACGGCTGGGACAGTCTTTTTAATACGATACAGTTCTTCGACAAGGACGTGGGTAACTTCAGTCAGTACGCAGGGCCTGGAGGCTGGAACGACCCCGACATGGTCAGACTCTCGACAAACTACTAAATAATATTTTCACAACGTCAAAATGGTGTCTGAGGACCAGGGCTAACGTTTTTTTGTATTGAGTGAATGAGTTTAATTTCACGCCGCTTTTTGCAATATTTCAGCAATATGACATCGGAGGACATAGGATATGGGCTCCACACATTGTAACCATGTGGGGAATCGAACGCGGGTCTTAGGCGTGACGAGAGAACACTTTAACCACAAGGCTACCCCGATCTCTTTTTGTAATAGAAAGACAAGTGAGTTCGAGTGTCCACAAAGACGTCTTTAATCAAGGTGGACTTTTGAATAGAAAAGGAGCCTGAGAGGAAGAGGACACGTTATATTCATGATTGTCGCAATAAAGAAACGTCGGGGATTGGATGTCCACAATGGTGTGTATGTGCTTAGCAGAAAACACATATTGGCAATTTGGCATACCATCATCAATCACCACGGACGTTGACATGAGAGGCATAGTTTCAGGTAGCTAAGGGTTTAATGGGCGAGAAACATTGGGGATCGAAAGGCATCTTTGTCCGGATAGGTTTTGGGTTCACAACCTGGTCCATTTGCATGTTATCAGATCATCCTTGATGTTACACCCAGAAACCTAAGACGATGCCATTTCGGCAGTTTAAACACGTTACCACTGCAGCCGCCGCATCTGTATTTCGGGCAAGTGGTTCACTGTGGGGTAGCCCAGTGGTTAAAATTTTGTGGGAAATCGTGTGACAGCGTATCCAAATATTCGACCACTTTTTCTTCATATCCTCAATATTTCTAAGTCTTTTTTGGTTTATTTTGCCTTTAGTCCCCACACATTCTCAATAGGGTTAAGATCTGGGCTTTAGCTGGACCAGTCTAAAACTTACCACTGTTTTGTGTTGTCCGCAGTTTGGTTTGGATCGTTATCATGCTGAAAAATCCAGTTATCTTCATACATCCGTTGGAAGGAGGTGATCATTTAAAATGTCAACATATCGTTCCTTCGTCAAATTTCCAGTGAAAATACACAACGGCGTCACTCCACGTGATGATATCCCACCCCACATGTGAAATTTCGGGTTGTTTTGGGTGTAGATAGGTTTCACGGTACCTTTTGTCCAAATTTTCATACAGTTCGGAAAAAGCCAGACAGAACTTTCATAAAACAACAACAACATTATCCCAATCTTCATTTACGTGAGTCTAACACCAGTTTTACACGTCTTTTTTGTGCATCTTTCATCAATGGTGAGGGAATGAATTCCGCGCTCTTTCACCCAGTTAAGTCTTTGTAATTCTTGTATAAGGGTTTCATTACATACATGAGGACTTCCTCTATTAATCATTTCATTTCTGATATTCTCAACGCTTTTCAATTTTCCCCTTCTCACGATCTGACCAAGGTGCCGGCGATCTTTAGTACTTAACTTCCTAGGCCTCCCTGGCCTTGCCTTGTGCTAAGTCCCAACTCCTGACTGAATATTCTTCAAAGTTCTGTATACTGTAGACAGAGGAACGTCTAACTAGTTTGCATCAGTCACATCCCTTTCAAAATCATCTTGAACCAGCTTTCCTTTCTCTTCTGCTGTCAAATCCGCCATGTCAACAAAGGAAGCGGCCTGCTACACCAGGGGAGATAACTCTTGATGTATTAAGGTTCATTCTGAAGCCTCCCATACTGAGTACCTTAATACAAAATATAACACATTTTTTAAAATTCTATTATCAGAATTAGGAAACAACGATTTTCTCGATAATTTCTGGGAAACTGTACGTCAATAACTGAGACAAATTGGGATCATTTGATCAAGATGGGATGTGATGATCTAGCGTTTGGTGGATTTACATTCACATTTTGTATTACAGTTGTTTTGCATATTCTTATGGTTATGCTGTAACTGCTTGATTGCTTTACTTTCACAATTGTTATATTTCAGTCGTATTTGATATTTTGATGGATTTTTATTTTATCTTTATATTCACGTCCTCTGCAGCTGGTTCTGGGCAACTTCGGGTTGAGTCCGGACATGGAGAGGACACAGATGGCCATGTGGGCGATACTGGCGGCACCACTCCTCATGTCGACGGATCTCCGGGACATTCGGAACAGCTCCAGGGATATTCTACAAAACAGGAGGCTGATTGCTATCAACCAGGACAAGATGGGTGTCCAGGGAAAGAAAATCATGACGGTAAAAGTTTCTAGGAGACACCATAAAACACTATAAACCAGAACAAAGTTTTCTCTTGATTGTATTTCCCATTCTCCAACATAGGCTTAAGATAGTCGTAGCGCTAAGATCGCTTTGTGCAAGTAGGCCCATCTGTGTATAATCTTTTTTATGGCGTTAAAAGGCTTTACTTCTCAGTTTGTTTTCAAATATCCCAATTATGATACAGTCAATCCGTTGTTTCAGATTGGTCCTGTTGACGTGTGGACACGCCCCCTTCTCCCTACCGGTAGTGTGGGCATTGTATTCTTCCACAGTGACATCCTCACCCATGGGTATAAGTACCCCTGGATCACCACCGTCCAGGCTCAATCCCTAGGGCTCACGTTGTCCAAGGGCTACAACTTGATGGACCCCTTTGATGGCAGCTCTAAGGGCACAGTTAAACCATCAGACAATATCAAAGTCAGAGTGCACCCTTCAGGTGTCATTATGTATGTGGCTACACCAGTTTCGTGACTTTAAAGGAAATCATCGACCGATTCCCAAAGGCTAGAAGACCAACAGTAACACGTGACCTAATACGTCACAATTGAATTCCTTTTAAGCACATGACACCAGTATTGATACAACCAGTCCGACACTTTCGTTGACCATATCTTGCTTACAGACACAATGTCACACATTTTCGACAATATTTTGGTCTATATTATGTATGTTGGGGCATGTACACTCATTTTAGCTTCCAATCCTATTGATGTTATAAAAGACGTATTATCCCTTACGACTTGCCTGAAATCGATAATTGAAACGTCGAGGCGAACAGCTTCCAAACAGAGATACTTACCATAAATGATGTAATCAGTTCCTCCGTACATCGAAAACTGTCGCACGCGGTATTGTCGGTGTTTGCTGAAGTGGTTTCATTCACAAGTTGTGCGTAGGATATTCATAAAGAGCGTTCCAAGGGACATAACTCTATGGGATTCTCTTGAAATAATGTTCAGCCGGTAGAGGGCGCGACGTTGCATTAATTCATTCGAACTTTTTTAATTTGATATTGTAATCTAAATACTTACTTGTTTTGGAATAAATTATATGATAGCTTCCCTTCGGGTTGATAGCATTAGTGAGAGACATATGTTGTTAATTTTTAGAGACGTGTGGTGTGACATCGTGCCTTTAACAAGCAGTATGAGTTTAAAAAGATCAGAGTAATGTAAGTTTCTAGTTAAGATTAAGCAGAGCTTGACACGAGCACTCGATAGCTACCGTTATCCGTTCCGGCAGATTAGTTTGTCGATCAAGGTCTTGTTTCCAGGTGATTGAAACATATATTTACTCGACTCGACCTTTTCTGATGATATAATGATTTTAGTAGTGTTATAATATAATCATCAAATATCCAAGCTGTGTCTTTCGATTGTATTGATACTATGATGGCATGGAGATACCATACCCTGGACAATCAAGGTTGTGGCTAAGTGTTAGCTTTGCTGCATGCAATAGCGATGTCTAAAGATGTTATGCTAAATGTTGATCGCTTGTGTGAATGACCTTTCACGCCAGACTATAACAAATAAGTAGTCTTGCCAACTCGAACAGGTGATAGATCGCATGAGCTCGATCCACAAGGTGACACCCAACCAACCAAATCACCACGATATTAACACATCCTCCTATAGACTAGAGTGTAGTTCCTGTTTGTATGTTTATATTGACATACAGAAATATGTGATTTCAGTCTGATCTTTTCATTTCACGTCGTTTCATAAAAGGATGTTTGAAAAGTAGCTTCAGAAAATCCGGGTTAGAATTGGTCTTCAGCAACCCATGCTTGTCGTAAGAGGCGACTAAAGGGACCGTGGGGTCATGCTTGCTGATTTGGTTGGCAAATGTCATCGTATTCAAATTGCGTAGATTATGTTGATGCTGTTGATCAGTGGATTGTCTGGTCCAGACTCGAGTTATTACAGACTGTCACCATAATGCAGGAATATTGCTGAGAGCGGCGTTAAACAGCTTCAGCATATTTTCCTATCGACACCTAGGCACGATCTGAACAAGCGTTCTCTACACTGTCTCTAGGTCATTCAGTGAGAGCGGAAGGTCGCGGGTTCGATCCCCGACCGCGTCAAATCAAAAGACGTTAAAATATGGTACTTGTTGGTCCCTGTCTGGCGCTCGGCATTAATGGGTACAACAAGGACTGGTCGGCTCGGAGTCAGTGTTATGTGTCTGAGTGGGGTATTCATGCTTCACTGGGGCATGGTATCTCAGTGGGCTAGCACTATAATACCAGCTTCAATCTGGGCTAGTACAAGCAGCCGTACATACACATACACACGTATGCACGTCGTCATTTGAGCGAAATATTCTCAAGCACGACGTTAAACCCACCTCACCTCACCTCGCCTCGGTCATTCAGTCATCTTACCAGTTGATTATTTCTCCAGTTATCTGACACATGCAAGACACCCATGGATTTGCTGCAGTGCTGTATTCACACACCACGTGTGAGGTGACCTTTGTACAACTGTGTGTGAGACGTGTGCAAAGACAAGTGCATGAAGTACAGGCGAACATGACTTCTTCCAAGACATGCATTCTGAATCCACCAGGTTTGAATTTAATACCTGGTGAGACGTCAACGAATGAATGGGTACACTCCTGTTCGCATTTTGTTGAAAACCTTTGGTTAGAATCCTCGTTCGCTCAGAACCTGATATTCAACTCATTAGTCCAAAATCTGACTGTCCTGAACACATTAGCCCAGGTCCTATAGTCCTGAAAACATTAGCCCAGAACCCAGTAGTCAACACATTATCCCAGAACCTGATTGTCCTGAACACATTATCCCAGAACCTGATTGTCCTGAACACATTAGCCCAGAACCCGATAGTCCTGAACACATTAGCCCAGAACCCGATAGTCCTGAACACATTAGCCCAGAGCCCGATAGTCCTGAAGACATTAGCCCAGAACCCAGTAGTCAACACATTATCCCAGAACCTGATTGTCCTGAACACATTAGCCCAGAACCTGATTGTCCTGAACACATTAGCCCAGAACCCAATAGTCCTGAACACATTAGCCCAGAACCCAATAGTCCTGAACACATTAGCCCAGAACCCGATAGTCCTGAACACATTAACCCAGAACCCGATAGTCCTGAACACATTAACCCAGAACCCGATAGTCCTGAACATATTAGCCCAGAACCCGATAGTCCTGAACACATTATCCCAGAACCCGATAGTCCTGAACACACTAACCCAGAACCCGACAGTCAACACATTATCCCAGAACCTGATTGTCCTGAACACATTAGCCCAGAATCGTATAGTCCTGAACACATTAACCCAGAACCCTATATTCCTGAACACATTAGCCCAGAACCCGATAGTCCTGAACACGTTAGCCCTAAACCCGATAGTCCTGAACACAGCCCAGAACCCGATAGTCAACACATTAGCCCAGAACCTGATTGTCCTGAACGCATTAGCCCAGAACCCTATTTAGTCCTGAACACATTAGCCCAGAACTTGATAGTCAACACATCAACCCAGAACCCTATTTAGTCCTGAACACATTAGCCCAGAACTTGATAGTCAACACATTAACCCAGAACCCTATTTAGTCCTGAACACATTAGCCCAGAACCCTATTTAGTCCTGAACACATTAGCCCAGAACTTGATAGTCAACACATTAGCCCAGAACCTGATTGTCCTGAACACATTAGCCCAGAACCCTATATTCCTGAACACATTAGCCCAGAACCCGATAGTCAATGCATTAGTCCAAAATATGATAGACCTGAACACATTAGACCAGAACCTGATAGTCTGGAACACAATATTCCTGAACTAGATAGACACAACCCCAAAATCCGAAACCTGAGACTTTGGAACCGGATAATTCTGAACACATTAGACGTACAGAACCCAATAGCCGTGAACACATTAGACGTACAAATCCCAATAGCCGTGAACACATTAGTCCGAAACCTCGGTCCTTTTCCGACCTCCTACACCTTCGTCTAAAGGATGTAAAAGTGCTGTACGTGAGTGGCATGTACATAAGTGTGTGTTCATGACAATTTCCTCGGCAGTACAACCAGAAATTATTGAGAATTTAAAGATTGTAAATGTTGGGTTTTTTTACTCATTACTCACGTATTAAAAGTGAATATTAGCAGAGCATCACTCCAGATTCAAAGACAGGTGAACAGTTAGTATTTTGTCAAGTCACAATTGGTAGCAATGCAGGCTTCAATGCGGCGGGGCATACTACTGATCAAAGAAGCTAGAAAGTCGTGGTCCATTCTGTCCCAATATCGGACTACCTCTTCTTTCATTTCAGCAATATTTGTCAGATTTTTCTGATTGACACTTTCCTCATCAGTCCCCAAACATTTTCTTTTGGATTTAATTCAGGGCTATAGCTTGGCCAATCTAATAATGTCATATTGTGGGTCCGAAACCAGGCCTGTGAATGCTTTGAACGCTGTTTTGGGGTCGTTGTCCTGCTGGAAAATCAAAAATTTTCCATAGAACACTTTCCATTTCCGTGAGCAGATTGAAGTAAATGTCCCTCCAGAATATCTGTATACCGCTCACTGTTCATATTCCCTTCAAATACACAGAGGAGCGTTGCCCCTAACACAGATATGCCACCCCACGCGTTAAATTTCGGACTGTACTTTGGGCGTTGATACAAAGGTTTTACAGTTTGTTTGGTCCAGAATTTCAGTGTATTAGGAAACAGCCACACAGAACATTCATCTGGGAAAATCACATTGTCCCAATTAAAATTTATATGCTGTAAGCACCAGTTCAACCTTCACTCCTTTCGTTCAGGTTTCATGATCAGTGATGGAATTCCTCGACGTTTCTGCCAACCCATTGCATGCAGCTCAGTTCTAATTGTCTCCTTATAGACAGCCACAGTTCCTCTATCAATCATATCCAGCCTTAAGTTTTCTAAACTCTTTCGTTTGTTTTTAGAAAAAAGAATACCAAGCCGCCTCCTGTCACCGACAGTCAATTTTCTGGGCCTACCTAGCTGCGCCTCCCTGGTGCTCAATGCCATGTCCATTCGCAATATTTGTCAAAACACGATAAACAGTGGACACAGGGATGCCTGTTCTACTTGAAATCACTTTAGCTGATCTGATGTCCTTGTTAGAATACTCTAAAATCAACAGCCTCTTCTCTAAATCATCCATACGGAGGATCACTGAATACATCGTCTGCTATCAAGCAAACAAGGGGGGATAACTCTTCACAAACTATGAAAAAGTGAGTGAGTGAGTGAGTGAGTTTAGTTTTACGCCGCACTCAGCAATATTCCAGCTATATGGCGGCGGTCTGTAAATAATCGAGTCTGGACCAGACAATCCAGTGATCAACAGCATGAGCATCGATCTGCGCAATTGGGAACCGATGACATGTGTCAACCAAGTCATCGAGCCTGACCACCCGATCCCGTTAGTCGCCTCTTACGACAAGATAGTCGCCCTTTTATGGCAAGCACATGGGTTGCTGAAGTGTGCCTGTTTATCGACGCGCTATGAGTGACGTGGAGTGAAATTTGAGTTCGCGGGAAATGTTCTCAAAGGAAAATAAGCTCTGGTTCAGATCATTTCAAGTATGAGTGGCCTTATAAGCACACTAACTACACTTAACAACTCTAACATCGAAAACCTGTCCATGAAAAAAGTTGGCAGGATCAATGTAACCCATGTTCTGACATACCCTTGTGTCGAGACATAATACAAATACCATAAGGGTAATAGATTCAACATTTAAACACTTCGAGTCATAGAAAACATGTCCATTATATTCAATTTATATAAAGTTATTGTTGTGGATGGATTTGAACCAATGTGTCAAGTATCCACACACAGTGATGTCATCAGCTTTAGCACAGCATTTCAGAGTGACCTCCCCTTGACTTCACAGCCCCAGTTTTCACACGTGCGAGTATGATTCGTCTGCAACAAGCCACTCGTGGAGATCCCGAGGAGGATAAGAAGAGGGCAGAACAGGAACTGAAACAGGCTCGACTCATGACGATACAAAATGTCATCATGTTCGGCATTACATGTGGAATAATAAGAGGATGTAAGTAAACTAGTCCGTGTGCAGGACACAGGCATATAAGTTCGTTATATGTTGTGGAATAGAAATTTATATGTGAACTAAAATCTTACGGTTTGGGTAATATAATGTTAATTCACAGGTTCGTCTGGGATATATAGTTCAGTCTTCTAGATATATTCCAATAAAATACTGCTAAAATACTATTTAGTGTATGCAAATATAGCCAGTCAAAAATGAAATAATAATTCAGAAATAGCCCATTATTGGCTTCTGCAAAGGAGCCAGCTGAAGCAAATTATCGCCCTAATATCGAATGATAATGATTCTTGAAAACATTGAGGTAGGGGTTACCATGGTTACAGGTGAGAGTTTTACCATGGAGGATCCATTCCAATGTATACTGGTTCTTCAGTAGAATTTTTGTTTGCAAAACTGTGGTAAAATTATGCATTCATGAATAATCATGATAAAAAGAGCATTTAACAACAAGACAACAGAAAGATTTCCTACATTGTAGTACATTTCTTGTCTTCAGTGCCATGGGTGGTGCAGCAGATTATGTAATCAGCAATGGAGATCTGTGTCCAGCTTGCTGTGAAACAACAGAGGTCCAATGAACAGCTCTGATGACAGATTCACCATGTTCCCAGATACAACACCTTCTGTTTGCAAGAAAGAGGACAGATTCAAGGCTGTGAACGCCTGAGAACACTGCATGGCTTGTGATGCTGGACTCTTTTATAACTGTGTGAAGAGTTGAGTGCAGAGAGGACAGTGTACTAAATGTGTGTGTGAAAGAAATGTGTATTATATTAAAACCTCTTATCTGATACATATGTGTTCTATTTTATTTATTAAGACAAAAACTGATTTGTAACTTCTCTTGACAACTATGTCCAAATAAAAATATTTCAAGTGGTAAGAGTTCCACCCATAACCTCCGCTTGAAATGTATTTAATTTATTTGGATTATTTCGAGGGGTTTGGGTTACGTTTAGGATTAGGTTCAGGGTTAGGGCTTTTATAAAAAACATCTATTCTTAGGCATAGAAGGATAAAAACAATAGGGGTTACGGGCAGAAATCTTTCCTTTCAAGTTTGTTGACTCATGTTTCACAGCTTTTAATCATGACATGCTTGACCTTGCAGTACACGACATACAGATGCCTCTGTAGGTCTGCAAAGCTGTTCATCTTACCCATCTCCTGTCTACCTTAAATTTTCATTCCGACGTGAAGTAATGAAAAGAATTCTTACCTCAATTTTCCTCACCACTGTGTACATTTGTGTCCTGGTGTGATGAAGAAAATTCTTTTAACCCTGCACACTTGCAAAAAACAACAGGTCAGTTTGATCTATCTTCATCTTGTAAATTGTTCTGAAGCAAAGCAACTTGATCTACAGCATAAATTAAGGACTATTACAAAGTGATCTAAATAAAACTTCACAACTTAAGTGTATGTTTTATCACCCACATAATCTGGATCCATATTATTTTCAAGGATGGTAGAGGTACCATGAAGGAAATTTGAGAGTATTCTGCAATGATATATATCACTTTTATCACAAGAAAGCCATGTCTTCAATTGCAGAGTGTCCCACAATAATTATTATACTGACACATATGTACTACTTTAGAAATTACCGATCGTAATACGGAAGTGTTCTTTAACATTTTTACAAGAATATCATCATCTGATCTTTACCTTAGACAATAATTAGGAAATGTGCTGGTGCAGATAATAGGGGTGAAATGGTATGGTCTTACCATGGTACAGTACGTATTGCGGTACAAGGCCTTAGGTTCGGTTCGGTATATTTGATCATAATGCAGAAAATTTACAAGAGCCGTCTAGCAAAGAAATGCATAGATTTTGACAAAACGATTCGATTTCTAGACATTTTAGAAAAGGTCTACAAAGGTTAATAAAATGACGGTATGAAAACCGAAAAAAACAGTTTTGGATTGGATTACGGTATACCGAATCAAGGTAAAAATACCATGGTTCTATTAATACCGCAGTATACCGTTTCATCCCTAGTAGATAAGTGTTTAAGATTACTGGATCTTCTCAGGTGCGGGGGACTGATACTGTTCTGCACCTTTTGCAGGACATAAATCCCATTGCTGATTATAGTGTTATGGAGTCTTGACAATAGAGTGTTGTGACCTTTTCTAAGTTTCTAAGATGTGTGCAGCAGAACACAAGACAAGATTTGTTCATGGCATTAAATTGTGTGTATAGTTCTGGCTTTTGTGACAGGTCAATTGTAAGTCGTGCTTGTGGTGTAACGGATAAGGGTGGTTCAAGTCTCGTACTTGGATATCATGCCTAGTCACATCACAACAGTTGTAGATGGTACTTATGATGTAATGTTATGTAAATCATAAGAAAAATCATAGCAATAGCTTTGCAATACAAACGCTAATAACATAAAACGTGAAAAAGCTAAAATGACTGAATTACAACATACAAACTAAGAAATCAAATCCCCAAGTTTCTTCAGAAATGAGTCAAGCCCGTTTGTTAATTGGGTGAGTCCACTAGTGAGTAGGGTGAACCAAAGCAAAGTGTAGGTGTATTGAGAAAACATGCATTGATTAAGTGTAGATGAACTGGGGTATAGGTGAAGTGAGAGTGTAGGGGTTATGGTTGTGAACCTTAGCCACTGGTATGAGAGACCCAGATTATTTAGAAGCTGGGTAACCTAAGGCATAAAGGCCTAGTTCAAGATTATTGTATTTCAGTAGTGACTTGTCAATCAGCTTGTAAATACCTGTATTTGCAGGGTATGAAACTCCCAAAAATGTCAGCCAGACCACAGGGCTGGTTAGATGTAAAACTTGCCAGCCCTGACCAAAATTTACCTGCCCACAAAATATCTTCATATATATGTCTAAATTTTAACCCGACCGTCGGGCAGGTGAATTTGAGAATCTGGCAGTCCATGTTGAAAATAAATCAGGCAGGGAGGTAATTCGAACGCTGGTATTTGTGATAGTTTCCTAGTGCTATTTTTTTTAGTGCAATCCACGGAGATACTGTCTCTGATATGGCAGACCAACTCAAGCCAAACAGTCCTTGTTTTGTAGCAACAAGTACCAGTTATAACTTCTTTTTGTTTGATAGTCTATCTGTTACACCACAGAGTATGTCCACAGACAGACAGTTGTGACATATACTGGTAGCATGGTGGATAAACAACAAATATGACTCGTTACTCCTCATACCACACACGTAAAATACATAGTGATTATATACCTGAACAGTGTGTGAAAATGATGTATTCAATATAGCTGTTGTGGTGTTTTTCCACATAAACATACCACACAAGTACAAAGGACCGTCACAAGGATCACCCATGTAAATTTTAGTTTCACGAGCCCTATGGTTTCATTGATGCGAAAATGAATACACATCACACACCAAAGTATCAGCTCATGATGAAAATTCTGCCTCTCATGCATTTTCAGTTCATGAGTGCCAAGTGAGTGCGTTTAGTTTTACGCCTCACTCCGCAATATTCCGGCTATACGGCAGCGGTCTGTAAATAATTGAGTCTGGACCAGACAATCCAGTGATCAACAGCATGAGCATCGATCTGCGCAATTGGGAACCGGTCACATATGTCAACCAAGTCAGCGAGCCTGACCACCCGATCCCGTTAGTCGCCTCTAACGACAAGCATGGGTTACTGAAGATCAATTCTAACTCGGATCTTCGCGGGTCCATGAGTGCCAAGGCTCACCATTACCTTACATCTACATGTATGTGTCTGTATGAGAGTCGATAGAGTTGGATTAAGAAGAACTGAGACAAAGTACAGAAATATAACATTTTATTTGGTGGGGAGTATATAAGTTAGTATAAACTACACCAAAATTTTCCTTAATATCATATGTACAATATCATAACTATATACATCACATACATATTCAAAACAGACATTCAAAAGGAATGGAATTTAATAAAAAAAGGAGAAACTACAATGCTCCTTTCAGTTACTTCAATTTAAAATTTGTGCCATACATATCAGTGTTCCAAACTGAGGGGTTTCCTGGGGTCTACTCAAACAGTATTTGAATGAAGCCCTGATCCCTACACACCTTATTATCTTGCATGCACCATAACAGTAGTGATAAGTACCTTTCATGCTTATTAAGCAGGTCTTGACCATCAACATAATTATCAACATTACCAAGGAATACTTATTGACATGATTCATATTGCACATTTCCTACAGGAACAAATTATTCTGAGCACTAACTCATGCTTGTTTTGACTCCTTCATCAAATAAATGTAAATTTCTAGGATGAATTATTGTAACTTTAAACAGTCATTGTCTTGTCAAACTAACAAAGGATGATGCATAGAAAATATATCCCAGGTGATGTTTTAGCATGGTGGTGACATGGTTAATGCCAATCCTCAGATAATAGTGTTGTTTGTAATGATTATCACTTGTTGATGTTAGTTCTTGAAGTATGATGTCAGTTCCTGAAGTATGATGTTAGTTCCTGAAGATGCCATTCCAGCCTCATACTTGTAGTTCTTGAAGTATGATGTTAGTTCTTGAAGTATGATGTTAGTTCCTGAAGATGCCATTTCAGCCTCATACTTGTAGTTCTTGAAGTATGATGTTAGTTCTTGAAGTATAATGTTAGTTCCTATATAGATGCCATTTCAGCCTCAAACTTGTAGTTCTTGAAGTATGATGTTAGTTCTTGAAGTATGATGTTAGTTCCTGAAGATGCCATTTCCAGCCTCATACTTGTAGTTCTTGAAGTATGATTTTAGTTCTTGAAGTATGATGTTAGTTCCTGAAGATGCCATTTCCAGCCTCATACTTGTAGATCTTGGGCCATTGTCTGCAAGTCGGGGACATTTGTGACCTCGAAGTCTAGGAGTATCTGGCCAAGAGCTTTCCCCTGAGCATCACTCCGCAGAGATGCAATACCACCACCACCCAGCGCATTAGTCAGCAGGAAGTTGATACCATGTATGCCTGGGGCATCAAACCTGCAACAAAAATAACAGGAGAGTGATGTCAGTGTACATTATGAGGAGTGAGTGAGTGAGTGGTTGTTCGCCGCTTTTGGCAATATTCCAGCAATATCACAGCGGGGGACGCTAGAAATGGGATTCACACATAGTGCTCTTGTGGGGAACTGAACCCGGGTCTTCAGTGTAACGAGCCAACGCCTTAACCACTAGCTACCCCACTGCCCCATACATTATGAGGACATTATCACAGGTGCATATTATACATATATTATGTACATAGCAGGGGCGGATACAGCTTTTTGAGAAAGGGGGGGTGCACACTATTGAGAAGAGGAGGGGTGCACGCTTCATTTTTTCACCCGAAGTACATTTAACAAACTTTCACCACAAAAAGGTCAAGCACCCCCTTCTGGGTCCGGACAGCATGTTCTGATACACACATCAAGTTTACGGAGAAAACGTGAGAAAGACACTTTTTCTCCAGCCCTGATACCCCCAAACTGACCTCACACAATTATGTCATAATACAATACAATTAATTTGCATTCATAAAAAAGGGAAGTCATCAAGGATACTATCAAACCTTGCACCTCAAACGTAATTAGAAGTAACATCATATCGGAATGCAAAGGGAGATAAATAAGTACTGGCAGTCTTACAAAGTGTGGCTCACGAGAAAATGTATTTTCACACATGATATCATCATGTTGCTCAGTACAGTGTTAGAAATTCCAGTAGTGACGTATGTGAGCATCGATCCAACAATCCATGAGCAATCCAAGTTAAAGCATGCTGACCGTGTTAACTTCTTTGGCCATGTGGACACGGTATGATCAGAAGGTCCATGGTTCAAATCCTAGCATGGGCCTCTACACATCAAAGGAAAGATTGAGTTTACCTCTTGACTCTCCTACACACTGGTCCTATCCTGTCTGGGAACAGATGAGAGAAATACTGCTCCACGGCTTCTGCTGTCAGTGCTTGTTTGATGTATGGCAAGAACAGAGGATGGCGAGCTACCACTCCTGAAACAGCATCATCTAGCTTTAAAGAGGATCTGATTGGCCAAAGGGTAGCGCCAGCAAGCATATCAAGTCACTAAATTCAATTTTGTCTGCAAATTCATACATATATATATTATTTTTCTCGTAAATCATGATTATCATAATTCAACAGAGAATTTCTCAGTTTCAATAAGAGCAATAACAACACCATCCTCGATAATCTCCAGGGTATACGTTCCGATAAATCTCCACTAGTACCCTGGGTGCATCTACGGCTCGGCCTGATAATTTTATTACCTCACTTTGCTGGGTCCGCCATCTCACAGTAGCCAATCAGATAAGCCGTTACAACATAACTTGCCAGTGTCAACACAGATAGCCCCCGCAGCCATGAAGGTTTGCTAGCTGTGCGACACCGATTTAGGGAAAAAATCATAGACAAATCGACAGGTCTGAAACCTTCAAAACATAAATTCTAGAACTCCTTCAGAGTGCCTCTGCAACAATTGTGGTGCCAATTTAATCGGTTAGATAAAATAAGCGAAAGTGAGTTATGATAGAAGCCTTGTGATTGGTATGCTCAACTTCCCAGTGTGGACACCTGATTGGATAAAAAGCCAGCAAAGGGAGGTAACAGAATTATTAGGCCCAGCCCTAAATGCACCCAAATGCATGCCATTAACTTTCCATTTCAGCAGAAGTCTAAATGTTCATTTTTTAGTTTCTTTTAAGACCTTTTTAAATGAAAACCAAAAATATTACCCTGTGATAAGTAAAACATGTATTAAAATATACAGAGTGGCGTTTAACTTCATACACATTAAACAAAACTTGAGATATGCACGACTCAAATGGACTTCCATGATAGAAGAAAAAGCTGTGAGATTTCTGTGACAAGAGACCGTCTCTGTGGTGTAGTGGTAAGAGCATCCGCCCGGAGAGCGGAAGGTCGCGGGTTCGATCCCCGACCGCATCATACCAAAAGACGTTAAAATATGGTACTTGTTGGTCCCTGCCTGGCGCTCGGCATTAATGGGTACAACAAGGATTGGTCAGCTCGGAGTCAGTATAATGTGTCTGAGTGGGGTATTCATGCTTCACTGCGGCTTTGTATCTCAGTGGGCTAGCACTATAAAACTAGCTTAAGTCAAAGTGGTGCTGTGCTGGAAGCACATATTCCTCCTGGTATCTTGAGCATCCAGGGGCTCCTTTCACGAAGCAACCTGTACTAAGGTTAACCTTAACTCCCATTCTTTAACATTGCACTAAGGTGTAAATCACTAAGGTAACCTTAGTGCAATGTTAAAGAATTAGAGTTAAGGTTAACCTTAGCAAAGGTTGCTTCGTGAAAGGAGACCCAGGTCAGTTAGTTTTACAGTTACACCTGAATATACCGCCATCATCCATCCAGACATATTTTGGCAGTATATCCAGGTGAGTACAAGTACAGCATATGCCATACAGCAAATCAACTTGGCAATGAACACACCAATTAACTTCCCTTCTCCTGAAACAAACCTGTTTTGATAGTAAGAGGATTATTCTATCACCAAACATGTAACAATGTACATGTTTTTAGATAAACACTTTATTAGAAAAGTACTCTATTGTTCTGATTTTAAAAAGAAATGGATTAACTCTTGAATTACACCAACATGCAGTGGATTTGGTAATCCAACTTGGAGTTATATCCAGGGAATTGGAACATTTGTTCTCAAAAACCTCGGAGGAGGTGGTATATCCAGTTTGGCATTATATTAATATAATTATATAGAGAGGAAATCTGTTCTGGCAACTCCAGTTTGGCAGTATATCCAAGGGCGGTATATCCAGGTGTAACTGTATATATTTACTTCAACCAAACATTGAATATTACAACTTTGAAAAGAGTTTTGTTATAAAATACATGTATAACCAAGCAGTTGAGTTGAAACAAAAGTATCATTAGTACCAGAATGCTTTATCTGTTTTCATGAATTCTATAGTTAGCTTGTTGCTGAACACCACCCAGCAATATTCCACCCCATGGCAGTATGTAACTAAGTGATTCAGACAATCCAGAAAACTGATAACAGCAACATCACTGGGGAACAGTGACACTCTCTCAACATGGTCATTCATAATGACTATTTTATCCAATGTCTCCTCTTTTAACCGCTATAATCCCAATTCTGTGTGTGAAATTTATGCTGGTCCAGTGGTCCCTGGTTAGTAAAAATTCATTAGGATCACTAAATGATAAGTTTGCAGTGGTCCTGATGGCCAGTGAATTTTTTAAGTAAATCTGCAAATATTATTTTAGACCAGTGAAGTACAGACAGGACCACTACTTATTGTCCACTCACTGGTCCTGCGGTAAAATGGGAAATTTTGAAAGGTTTCTTTCCCTGCCCATGGGCCCTGTACCTATGTTCCCCTGTATACTAGTGTTGGGAATTGGTTAAAATCTCAAAATAATTGGTTAGCGTCATTTATGAAATTTGTTAATGCACATTAAAATAAGGGGGAAAAAATGTAGTTCTTCTGGGATCTTTTGGCAAAATTTCACATCTTTAAAGGATGACTAGTATGTTAGGAACATAAATTTCTTGGAATCTTTAAGATAAATTCAATCATGACTTGAAACGAGCTTGTAGTGCATCCGAAATGTAACAGACAAAACCAACCATGTGAAAAATATTGTTAATGAAAACAAGTCTTCCAGAATTGTTTGTGTTCGATTATGAGAAATTATGATCGATTGTTTGGTCGTTAAGTCACTACGACCAATCTTTGATTATTTCAATTAATCGGACCACCACTACTGTATACACACCTATGTTGGCATTATTTCCCTTGTCACCACTCCTGGTGTAGGCGAGGTCTTCCAGCCTGTAGGAGAACTGTCCCGGAGGTAGTTTAGGCATCTCTTGCTCATCGGCCGAATGAGGAGGGTAGGCTCGTTGGAGGTACTCAGCCGTGGGCACGGTTGGGACCACGTAACTTTCCACATGCTCCCCATTCATGCTGATATTGATCTGTAGTACATCAACATTGTAAACTAGAAGCAACAGATGATGCAGTAAACATTGATGCAACTTAACCTGGATCACTAACTATTCCAAAGACTTATAACTAGGGCTGTAACGATGCATCGAACTATCGATGGATTGCAATTGTTTAGTCTCTGATTGCAATTAATCGATGGTAGAAACGAAAAATTAACTATAGAATACGTGACTATCGATAGTTTAGTAATTGACTTTCATTGATAAATGCGCAAAAAAACCCTGGATGTTTGGGTGGAGACTTTCAATTCATTGAGTTTATGTTTTAACGGTTTACTTGGTCTTGGTTTCAAGTTTCTTGTCAATTATTAAAAGAGATTGAAACTACTTCAACTTGTTTTTATTTCATATAAACTATACATTCACTTGGGAAATGACTTCAAATAAGTCAACTGAAGGAGAAGAAAACTATTGCAATAGTATTGAAATAGTATTGCAATAGTTGGTCGCAACAGTATGTTGCAATAGACTACCGCTATCGCAATAGTTGTTTACCCCTCAATAGTCACCCCTACTGATAACATAAAATACAGAAACCATACAGCTTTATAGGGTATCTGAAAGATGTTTCAGTACAAGCATGACAGGAAGACTGTATGCTGCAATGCCAACAAGTGATTGAGTGTGGTATGACGCCACTTTTACAAACAATCAAGCCATAAATGGCAGGGAGTCAAGTATGGGCTTTACAAATTTTACCCATGTTGGAAATCAAACCTGGGTCCTCAGTGTGATAAGTCAACACTTTAACCACCATTCACAACACCACCCTCTGAAACCCTTAAGCCATGACAGTTCAACAACTACAAATATGGTATTTCTTTTCTCAACGGTGAAATTGGCTGATAATTCTTTATCGTAACCACTAAGGTTTACGTAACTGAAGGTATTTCTTTCTTTTGATAAATAGACCTCTTTCTACTAAGCCCCTCGCCAACGTCAGCCACAGTGAGCTTCAGAAACAATATTCTGCATGAATTTCCTTATTTGATTTAACATAACTGAACAAATAATGAGTGAGCGAGTTTGGTTTAACGCCGCTTTCAGCAATATTCCATCAACATCATGGCAGGGGACACCAGAAATGGGCTTCACACATTCAGAGACCACATACCGGTATATGGTCTCTGACACATTGTACTCATGTTGGACATTAATCCCGGAACTTCGGTGTGACGAGCAAACGCTTTAACCACTAGGCTACCCCCACTGCCCCACTGAACAAATAAGCACCCTGGATGATGGTATGTGAAAAGTTACAAGGGAGTGTTTATAAAGCATGCAGTCTTTATCAAAATGTCATGTTCATTTACTTACATTAAAGTTGTCTCTTGGATAGAGAAAAGAGAAGAGCTTGAGCACTGGCGATCTGTAAGGAAAGACATTCAGTATTTCAGAATACAGCATTAAAGGTTAACATGGTTCTAAAATAAAAAAAGTCAGCTTGTAAAGACTTGTAAAGTTCAGAAAGGACCTGAGTATTACAAGTATTTGATTAGCTGGCAGGTCATAGCAGCCTCCAAAATCTAGCAGTTCATTTTGGGGACATAATATGATTGTTTTGCTAAAATAACAAGTGTTTGCCACTAATACACTGGTATTACAAGTATTTGATCCCTAGATAGCAGCTCCGTAAAGATAATGAAATATCTATATTTACTACTTTTTATTTTTTGCTCACATACAAGATGCCTGAAATGACTGGTGTCTGCATAATCACCCAATGTAGGCTGTCAACATAATTGAAAACATTGGGTGCAATGTTTTATGAGATATCACATTTAAATAAGTTTGAAAAGTGGTCAAAGTGTCGTGGTGACCTTGAAAATAAGGTCAAGGTCACCCAAATCAACTGGTGTCTGCGTAATCCCCAAATGTAGGCTGTCGCCAAAGTTTGAAGACACTGGGTACAACCAGTGTTTAAAACTCCCAAAATTCCAAGCCACACAGCCGGACTGGTAGCTTTAAAAAATTACCAGTCCGGATACAAACTTGCCTGTCCGGTTTTCAACAATAAAAAACAAAACAAATCAAGTTTCTGAATACTTTACTGCATGTATCGTAACGTTAAGGCTAAGGCTTGGGTACAACAGTTCATGAGATATCACGTTAACAAGAGTTTGAAAAGTGGTCAAAGTGTTGTGGTGACCTTGAAAATAAGGTCAAAGTCACCCAAATCAACTGGTGTCTGGGTAATCCTCCAATGTAGGCTGTCATCAAATTTGAAGATTTTGGTTACAACAGTGCATGTGATATTCAGTTAACAGTTTGAAAAGTGTTGTGTTGTGGTGACCTTGACAATAAGGTCAAGGTCACCCAAATCGACTGGTGTCTGCGTAATACCCCAATGTAGGCTGTCACCAAATTTGAAGACATTGGGTACAACAGTTCACGAGATATCGCATTAACAAGAATTTGGGACGCTGCATATGGGGCCACTGAATAATAGTCCCCTTTCTTGTGGCGGGGGACAATAATAATCAATTTCTCACCATGTTTAATGTTGTCATTATCTGAATCAGTACAGGATAATCTAAATGTCATGACATGTCTTTAAAGTGGAAAGGAAAATTTGTGAAATAGTAGGCACTTACACTTTTGGTCGACCACCTGCGATATTGCACAATCCTGGAGCTGAAAAGTCATTATTGCACTGCATTATACCACTATATTTGTAAGACACAATGTGCCAAATAATCCTATCTGCAAGACTAGGGTAAAATGAAGCAGGTACTGATTATTAATCCTATCCTTCTCTCTCACCTTCAGGTGCAATCTCCCCACTACCACTGCCCTTAAATTAATCAACTAATACCCTTCTCATCACTCACTGGAAGGCACACTACCTAATGCTGCTTATTGCTCAAAATATACAGATCGATAATCAGAGCTCAGTAATCGATCAATAATTGATTATAATCATAAACCCCACCACAGAATTCATGTGGGCAGTAATTGGACACAATCATAACGTTGTGCAAACAAAACAGGCACTAATTAATAACACCAACAAGACAATCAAGAATACTTCCTGTTGAGACCCGAATGTGGATGTTGTTTACTTTGCAGTTCTATGAGTCAGGAAACTGCATCAGTTGTTTCTATCTTGATTTAACAAACATAACAAGAAGAAGAAACATACTTTCTAAAGTGTAATTTGATGTTTCAGTTTCCATGAATATCGATAAATGCTGACGCAATTACTTGATCTATTGCTCCAACACTAACACTACCCATCCCTTTCCTTCACTAGCATCACTCCTACCTACCCATGCCTGTTCCTGCAGGTGCTCCAACACTAACACTACCCATCCCTTTCTTCACTAGCATAGTAGCATCACTCCTACCTACCCATGCCTGTTCCTGCAGGTGCTCCAACACTAACACTACCCATCCCTTTCCTTCACTAGCATCACTCCTACCTACCCATGCCTGTTCCTGCAGGTGCTCCAACACTAACACTACCCATCCCTTTCCTTCACTAGCATCACTCCTACCTACCCATGCCTGTTCCTGCAGGTGCTCCAACACTAACACTACCCATCCCTTTCCTTCACTAGCATCACTCCTACCTACCCATGCCTGTTCCTGCAGGTGCTCCAACACTAACACTACCCATCCCTTTCCTTCACTAGCATCACTCCTACCTACCCATGCCTGTTCCTGCAGGTGCTCCAACACTAACACTACCCATCCCTTTCCTTCACTAGCATCACTCCTACCTACCCATGCCTGTTCCTGCAGGTGCTCCAACACTAACACTACCCATCCCTTTCCTTCACTAGCATCACTCCTACCTACCCATGCCTGTTCCTGCAGGTGCTCCAACACTAACACTACCCATCCCTTTCCTTCACTAGCATCACTCCTACCTACCCATGCCTGTTCCTGCAGGTGCTCCAACACTAACACTACCCATCCCTTTCCTTCACTTCATCACTAGTAGCATCACTCCCACCTACCCATGCCTGTTCCTGCAGGTGCTCCAACACTAACACTACCCATCCCTTTCCTTCACTAGCATCACTCCTACCTACCCATGCCTGTTCCTGCAGGTGCTCCAACACTAACACTACCCATCCCTTTCCTTCACTAGCATCACTCCTACCTACCCATGCCTGTTCCTGCAGGTGCTCCAACACTAACACTACCCATCCCTTTCCTTCACTAGCGTCACTCCCACCTACCCATGCCTGTTCCTGCAGGTGCTCCAACACTAACACTACCCATCCCTTTCCTTCACTGGCGTCACTCCCACCTACCCATGCCTGTTCCTGCAGGTGCTACTTCCCTGGTGAAAAAATCCAGCGCCTTTCTCTGTGAGTGATGAACTGCCAGCCACATCACTGCCTCGCGAACTTCCTACAAGAGAATCATGGTCAATCTGGGGACCTCTTATTTCATTGCCACATAAATTCTGCATGAGCACATCATCAGTTCTGACTGTAATATATTATTAGGCATCTTGCAAGATGGTAACAATAGACAAGATACCAATGTTTGATCACAATGTACAAAGTCACTGAGCCTATAACAACAAATACGACTTTATGGCTAACAACATTTTGTTTATTGCATACAGCAATGTTCCTTATAGATTCTTACACCATTACCAAGCTAAATGTAATGTAAATCTGCTTCTTGTCACAACATACCACATAATATATACTTCTCATCACTTGATTGTATCAGTTTTAATTTGATAGAGGTGTAAGAATTTACAGTGAAACATAGCTCTATGCAATAAACAAGAAGTTGTTATCCATAAAGTCATATTCTTCATTATTGACTCACCAATTTCTACAATGCTCATCCAACAAATTGGACCATTTATAATATTTCATAAACATTCCTAATACATTCATGAAGCACATAATATCCACCTCAAAGATACTCAAATAATGCATAAAGTGAAGACATTATTTCCTGGTTAACCCATGCTGTCTGTGAGTCACTAGATGGTTAACACTTATATCCCACCAGGTACTAGTATTGAGAATTGGTTAAAATCTCGTAATTGATGACTGGTTCATTACAACTAATCAATCATTGAAAATAATAGGTCAGCATCATTTCTAAAATTTTCCTGGTTATTTTTGTTTACACAAAAACAAAGACAAAATTGTGTAGTTCTTATGTGGTTTTTTTTGCAAATTGCACATCTTTAAGGATGACTAATATGTTAGGAACACAGATTTCTTGGGTTCTTTAAGATAAATTCAATCATGACTTGGAATGAGCTTGTAGTGCTTATGAAATGTAACAGACAAAACCAACCTTGTGAAAAATATTGTTGATGCAAAAAGTGTTCCAGAATTGTTTGTGTTTGATTATGAGAAAACATGATCAAGTGCCTGGTCGTTTAGTCACTGCGACCAATCTTCGATTATTTCAATTAATCGGATTACCACTACCAGGTACCCATTCACAATTTGTTACTGATCCTGACCATCCAATACATATCCGCCACCTCTACAAGTATAGTCTAAATTACATGACAACACATGAGATGACATTATACAGGTTAACTGGGCAACACCAATGATAAGGGTACACACTGACCATAAACTGACTATTCAGTGAGGACTTACCTTGGAAGATTTAGCATGTGGGCCATACATGTGATCTGTGCTGAACACTTCCATGTTGATGTCTGAGAAGTTCTGAAGCTGGAGTTGACTGAAGATTCGCTGACACCTTGAAACACACACTGACAGATCAACAAAGGCTTTCATGCCCATTGGATATACAGTGCTTGAGTACCATACATAAATCAGCACATTACACATGCTCCATACATATAATATAATATAAGTTGTTCACTGGTCTCGAGGGGGACATGGGCTGATGTACCCTCGATGTACATAAAGAAACATCGAGGGTACATCAACCCATGGGCCCCTAGGGACCAGTGAACAAAGCATTTATCTTACCGAACATCTCAATGGTAATTTTGAACTGTTTGAAGCACGGGTATTGGATCATAGTATGGAGTACCAGACAATAAGATGCCAAGAAAAACAAATTAAGAGTTATCTCCCTTCTATCAATTTGCATTCACAAAACATCGGTAATTTCCGTACATCTACGTGATTCCATGTTATTCGAGATAAAGAATTACTAGTACGAAGTACCAAATGAGTTCTGCATTCCCAGCGGGGTACATAAAATATTACTTGCTTGTAAGCGGGGTACACTGAAAATAATAGAAGAACGCTCAGCCAATCAGAAAACGACATTGATGTGTGAGGCAAGATAAACTTAAATGCCAGAGACTACCCAGTCTTGATTACCCCCACTAAGCATACTCCACCAAAAGATTGGTGAAGTCATATGCATGGACCACCAAACATCAATTATGGCACCAGTTATTTGCCAAAAAATAATTTCACCAAACATCAGATATTTATTGCCTTCAAATCTGAAAACTAATAATAATAATAATAATAATAATACCGGTAATAATAATGGCACTTATATTGCGCTATATCCACGCCATAAAGGTACGCTCAAAGTGCATTGCCTCAAACGATGGTAACAGAGGCAGTTGAGTTCTTCACAATGGCATGAGTTTTAGGGGTTTTCTTTTAGGTAATGCTTCAAAAGGTGGGTTTTAAGACTGGTTTTAAAAGTTTCTAAAGATAAAATCAACTTCAGTGATTCGGGAAGAGAGTTCCACAGTGTAGCGGCTGAGACAGAGAAGGATCTGGAGATGAAAGTTTTCAGTTTGGTGACAGGCACCTGACAGAGGTGTTGTTGGTTTTAGCACTGAGTTCTTGAAGGGAAGTATGGGACAGTCGAATCACTCAGATAGTCAGGCCCGGTACTATGGACAGCTTGGGAAGTGAGCGAGAGTACTCCATTCAGTTTTTCAGTAACTTTAAATCAGTAAAATATTTCAATAGTTGTGACAAGACATGAGAATTTTTTAAGTTTGTAGTTTCTGTGATGATGGATTGAAGAGCAAATATACTGAGTCAAAAAAGAAACTTCACATTCTTTCTGCAGGGCACTATAAAAGAACAAGAGATGGTAAGATGGTTAAATTGGTATTATTTCATTGCTGAGATCTGTGTGATGTACTCGATCCACTGACAGTGTCCTAATGAGTTTCAGTAGGCTACACCGCCGTTCCAAAACATGGGTATACAGAATGTCAAGTCACAAGAATAAAAATGCGAAATTTCTCAGTTCAATATCGTGTATGGCCGCCCCGCGCATTCACCACTGCCAAATACCGTCTCCTCATCGACTGCCTGATGCTTGTGAACACGTGGTTGGGGATTCTGCGCCACTGCTCTTGCAAGGCAGCGCCAAGTTCCTGCAAATTCTGAGGTTGGTTCCTAAGACCACGAAGCCTTCTCCCAAGTGCATCCTATACGTGCTCTATTGGATTAAGGTCAGGGGACCTCGATGGCCAGTCCATGGCGTTGATTCCAGTGTTTTGAAGGAAATTTCGTGTCAACATCGCCGTATGTGGCTGAGCATTATCATGCTGGAACTGTAGACCTGGGCCATGAGCCACCATGAAAGGAACGAGTTCAGGGGTGAGCACCTGGTCGCGGTAAGCAGCAGCTGTGAGGTTTCCGCGGATGACCAGAAGTCGGGAACGGTTGTTCCCACAGAAAGCATCCCACACCATGCAACTTCCGCCCCCGAATCTGTCGACATCCTGTTCACAACATTGGGCATACCGTTCACGACGTCGTCTCCAGAGTCTATGCTTGCCGTCCGCGAATCTGAGGGTAAACCTGGATTAATCGCTAAAGACGACTCGATTCCAGTCCCTCTGGGTCCATCGGAGGTGACGTTGGGCCCACAGCAGACGTTGACGTTAATGAAACGGCGTCAATATTGGCCCACGATATGGACGTCGAGAATGGAGATTGGCAGCCCGCAACCAATTTCGAATGGTCTGTGAGGACAATCGACCTCTAAACATCTCAGCTCTGGTTCATGTAGCCGGCAGAAATCTGTCACGTAGGTGACATAGGACGATTTGACGGTCTTCTGCTCGTGACGTCACACCTGGGCGACCCGACCTTGGGTGATCAGAAGTGGTGCCAGTTTGTTGTAGACGACCTCGCAAGTCATACACCGTACGACGGCTGCATCCCATTGCTCTTGCGACGTCAATAACTGATCTTCCCGCTTGCAACATGCCAACGGGACGTTCACGTTGCACATTTGACAATCTTGGCATTTCAAGTACCGTTAGAACTGTGGTTTAAAAGTGTTTTTTTCAATTCTTGTGGTCAATGCAAACACGTGCATATGAAGAAAACTTCCATGCGAAGATCACGTGATCGACTACACGTGCAAAACCTGATTTGGCACGTACGTCATTTGCATTAGGAATGGATGGGTTTGAGTGGGTTTTGCTCACGTTTTTCTAAAGTCGAAAGATAGGGATCCCATTTCAGATACATAGATGTATCATCAGAGAAAAATTATTCAGTATTTTTAAAAATGTAATTTTCTGAGTAAAATTGATATTTTATACTTATCCTGACTCATGCTTATTTGCTTGTCTTCTTCTTCTTTGCGAACATAGTGGAACACTTGTATCCCCCAACCGAAGTTCCCTTCAATATAAAATCACTAATTAGTACTCACCATGAGTTATCTTCCCCCCGTAAGCTCGGGAACGAGGGCGCCACCTCCCGCCATGTGCCTCACTCTCTCCTTATATAGCGAGCCCAACACTTGAATTTACAGGGAAATCCAAAGTGTTATGTAGGCGGAGACGGAGGGAGGCTTACCTCATGAGTCAGGATAAGTATAAAATATCAATTTTACTCAGAAAATTACATATTTTTCCTTATCCTGACTCATGCTTATTTGCTTGTAGAATCCGACGGCTATGGAGGTGGGAATATATAATACTTTGGATTTGGATAATTAGTGATTTGAACTGTAATGATTGTAATAACCCTTTGGTAACTTCATAAAGGCACTGAACTGATGAATTCCTGCTGCTAACTTATCAGCTGCCATATATGGGTTATTACAATATATTTATCATTATGATAAAAGTATATACAACATTAATATAAAGCTGAAGTTGTTAATGTGATAGCATAAACTCCTGTGAGATTATAGTTAATATACTTTTATGAAGTAACCAAAGTACTAAGCTTAAGATATGCATAAACTTAAGCTATATGAGTATAGTACTGTGCTTAAGATATAAATTAACTTAAGCTATATAATAGCGAAAAAACTCCGTAGAGTTTGTTAGCTAATACATTTATAAAATGTGACCATATTACTGAGCTTAAGATATGATGAAACTTAAGCTAAAAATATATAATAGCAAAACTCCTTGGAGTTGTTAGCTTATATATTGTATGACATAATAACCATAGTACTGAGCTTAAGATAATAGATTGAACTTAAAGGTCACATGCAACCAAAAAATCAAACATAATTAAAACACAATTATCACTTCTTCATGACATATAATATGCATTGCTGATGATGAAAAAACAAATAAACAAAATTATAAGCGTATAATCGCAATCAAAAGTGCAATATTTTGTACTTGGGTTTACCTCCCTCGAAACGAAGCAGCCGGGATACCGAACCCAGTCAGAGCGGGTGGGTGTGCACTCAAGTGTAACGGCTGGTTCATTGTGTGTGTATCACGGGTCATTGTGTGTGTGTGTATATATAGAAAGTTGGGTTTTGTAAATACATGCTCATTTTTTGCGTATAACATTTTGCAATCAACAGACATCATAACATGTCATGTGTTCAAGTATCACACCTCCCTGTCTGTGTAATTACATAATGTGACAGAGACCGAACTCGGGCCATAAATCAATGCGTTTTGTTTATGGTGTATAGCCTGATTGGTGTTAAGTTCAAATTGCATGTGGTCAGTGATCGCAGTTGTGTATTGAATATTGTCATTAGCAGACAGGCAGGCAGACACACTGGTGTCAATAAAACAAGACATTGAGTTTTGTCTGTGACAGCGACATATCTATATCACAGCAGGGATACTCTACAACAGGGATAGGTCACTCGCTTGCTTTCTTTACCATTTGTACTAATTAACGTGTGCCTCGTCATGCTCCAACGCACACAGTGACTTGGTTCGGTCCCAGCGCAACTTCGGCTGCGTTTAACAGTACTTCAGCCAGTGTATTGTATCAGTCGGAATTTTACAATGAATGAATGAATGAATTAATTAAGAGCAAGAATTATATGTGAATGAATGAAAGAAATTAAGAAAAAGAACATATGTGAATGAATGAAAGAATAAATGATACACCACGGCCATCCCTCCCCAAACATGTTAAAGAACGCAAAACTATCGGTAGAACACATGTGTTAACATCAGCTGTCCTTTTTAAAAAAAAAATTACTTTGAGACATTTTTTTACATTAGTAACTAATTCAGATATCTTAGTACATGTGTGGAATGACATGGGCATTGACAGAATGTTAACTGACACTGTCACAGACCCTCAAGAACAGAAAGTTTAGAACTATCACAAAGCGTTGTAAACACCTTTCCAGTTTTGTCAAATACTAAGATCAACAAGAAAGAAAGAAGTCTTAGAACTATAACCTCCAAACATCACAAGCACCAATGGCATTATCAGAACAGATCGACGATATGTCATATTTATCACACACCTCAAATACACCCTAACAAAACAAAATAAACTTAAAACTATCACTATTAC